AAAGTAATAGGAAATAAATACTTGGCCATCAATCCAACAGTCTTATGGATTTCCAGCCCACAAAAGAATGGGCGAATACTAGGCCACCAGATTGAATGGCAGGGAAGTGGAACTAAAGCCGAAGCCTGTATCCGTCCTTCACCAACAATCGATCGACTTCCTTCTTGTTTCTAATCCTATCTCAGATTCTCAAAAGTTCCACTTCATCTTCCCCAGGTTCTCCAGCGATTCCTTCTTATCATATCTCTTCATCCTCACCAATCTGAGAATCCCTAGCACCAGCCCCGCCTGTTGGCTGGGGAGTTTGATTATTATGTATGTTGTATGTGTTGTAACCACTTATAATGTGTGTAAATAGTGAAGATTATTATGCATCTTTGTATGTGTTTTTTTCTTCTTCCAAGAAATGTCAAAAGAGAGAACTATACAAACTACCCGAACACCTCCCAACCTATTACATCAATGAAGCCACCCAACAAAGTCGAAAGAACATAACTCAAGAGGAGAAAGAAGCAGGGCTTTCTGCGCCACTCTATGGGCAACCCTGTTAGCAGTCCGAGGCACTGCCCTAAACTCTAAGGAGACAGAATCAGAAGCAAGGAGAAGGAAGCAATCCCGAAGCACTGGTCCTCCTAGGGAATCAGAAGAAGCACCCTGACGAAGCTGACGAACCACCACTTCAGAGTCTCCTTCGATGATGACACAAGGTAGTGACTTGGAGACCAACAGGGAAATGGCGTCTCTGGCAGCAAGAAGCTCTGCTAGGTAGGGATCAGTAATGCCGGAGTGCTGAAACCCTACTGCCAAAGCTACATGCCCGTCTGCTCCACGAACTACTAGACCAGACGAACAACCGGAAACACGAACTGCAACATCAAAGTTGATCTTCAAAAAATCATCAGGAGGAGGGACTCAGGAGAGAAGGCGAGAACTTGGAGGATGGCGAGGAGGGGCAGGCGCAGGAGGAAGAGAAGAAGAGACTTCACGGACATGGAAAAAACATTGGCGGGCTAAAGACTGGGCACGAGGTTGTAAATGCTCAAAAACCACCTTATTTCGAGACTTCCAGATTCTCCACAATACGCAAACGTACAGAAGAACATGGGTTTGGAGGTGCTCAGAAAGCATAACATGTCGCCACCAGAGACTGAAATTCACAGTCGGGGCCGAGGTAATAAAGTCATTTAGGCCCATAAGCAACCACAATCTGGTGGCCAAGGGGCATCTAAAGAATAGGTGTTCAATACTTTCTGGACTTCTCCAACAAACCGGGCACCGGGTACGACAATTAATCCCTCTAGACTCAAGTGCAACCATAGTTGGAAGAATCACTCTTAGACATTGCCAGATGAAGAATTTTAATTTTGGAGGAACCACAATATCCCAAGTTTTCTTCCAGATAAGGGGATCTATAATATTCACCAGGGGTTTCCGACTCGAGACCAAAGAAATTTCTAAAGCTAGGTGGTATCCCGTTTTAACTGTATAGGCGCCATTTTTTGTAAAGTGCCAGACTCTTGTGTCTCTTTGTTGACATCTAGGAAGAGGAGTTTTGCGAATAAGACTAACAGTAATGGGATCAAAACAGTATTGAAGCCTTGGGATATGCCACTCTCCTCCACTTCCTCTTATAAAGAAGGAGACTCTTGGGGAATTTGTTATATTCGGAAGGCGAACCAAAGGAGTGATGGGTTTCTCAGAAGCGACCCACTTGTCCTTGAAGGCTACAATGTCTTGTCCATCTCCAACTTGCCATCTTAACCCTTGGAGAAAGAGGTCTCTTCCAAACAAGATACTACGCCATCCCCAAGAGGGCTTGGAACCTAGGGTAGCATCTAGTATTGATCCTTGATGAAAATAGCGACCTTTATATATCGATGCCAAAAGAGAATCCGGATTCTTCCAGTTCCTCCAACATTGTTTGGCTAACAGAGCTTGATTAAAGGCACCAAAGTCCCTGAATCCTAGACCACCTAGAAACTTACTATGTGCTAAACTTTTCTAGGAAACCCAGTGGATTGGATGGTCCACATTATCTGCCGAACCCCACCAAAATCTAGCCACGTGACTATTTAACCGCCGACAATTTTCTTTAGGGATCTTAAAACAAGACATGCCATGAACTGGTAGATTGGTAGCTGATGTCCTAATCAAAATGTCTTTACCTGCTTTAGACAGGGTTCGTTGCTTCCATCCTTGAAGTTTTTTAATGAGCTTCTCTTCCATGAATTGGAAAGACTCCTTTTTTGATCTAGCAATCTTTGTATGTGTTGTTACTACTTATAATGCGTGTAAATATCAAAGATATGAAAGTGATAACGATATACATGTTTACAAATAAAGCATTATAATTGATATGCGATATAGTCCAACGTATCAATGAAAATGTTTTCCAATATTTATCATATTTGTTGATGACGACACAGGTTATAGATATGAAATTGAATGATTTGAAAGGGCATGTTGCGGATTGATAGTCAAAGACGAATGACCTAACATGATAAGTAAATTGTCCAAATTACCCTTCAGTGAAACCCTCACAGGCCTAGAAATTCAAATCCCTAGAAACCCAACCCATGTTTTGCCTTTATATATTATGTAGAAATATAAATAACTTAAGATAAAAAATATATATAGAAGCATCATCACCAAACATATTCCTAGAGTTTAATCAAAGAAACAACAATAAATAAAATGTAGCCTAGTTGGTTATAATGTTGTTTCGTCATCTAAGTGACCAAGGTTCAAACTCCAATGATAACAATTTTAATATATAAACATGAACTGGGTGCAATGACAAAAATGACCTTCCTAGAATCACTCTCAGACCACGAAATTTGAAATGGGTGCAATGACAAAAATGACCTTCCTAGAATCACTCTCAGGCCATGAAATTTGAAATGAGAGAATTTCAACCCATGTACACATAATATAATAGCACAAAGTGAAAAACTGTTGCTCCATTTCAAATTTCCTGCCACGAGAGTGAATGTAGGAAGGACGTTTTGGTCTTCACAATTGCTTATTTATTATTTATTTATTCATAAAAAAAGACATGTACTGGGATTTGAACCATGGTCACGTTAAATAATAGCAAAATCATAACCAATCACACTAAGTATATTTGTTGTGCCTTTTTGAATTAAAAATATACATGAACCTAAATTCTGAAAATCATATGAGTTTTTCAACAATTAGCCGGTCACTGAATTTCCCATAAGTACTTATTTGGTTTTGATACTTTGATTTTCATATTTTGATTATTTTAGTTGTATTTTAATACTTAATTTAAATTTCTATCCATCTTATCTACACATAATATAATAGCAGCAAGGAAAAAAACCTTCCCCCATTTCAAATTTGCTGCTCCAGGAGCGTTTGTAGTAAGGGTAGAATAGGTAGTGCTAATTTTTCTCTCTTTCTTCTGTGGAACGGGCCAACTTACCGTACACGCGCGGACTTGAATGGGCCTAGAGATTGTTGCGGCCCACAAAAACAGAATAGGTTTCAGCCACGCGCATCTGTTCGGCCGTACTTAAGATATCCAATTCATGGGTTCCAAGCCCATGTTCACACTCCAATCCACCAAAACATGAATTTCTGGCAAGTCGTATACAATTTGAGAATTGATTTCGACGGGAGTGCGAATTTGTTGTGGGAGAACGCAAATCCGATTAAAACTACCCTTTTGCATAAAGTTTGAAAAGAAACTTATTAGTGGCAAAAATGGCTCTTTCATCGGCATTTCGGTTAGTATCGACTGCCGTTTATTTTCCCTACTATTGTAAACACACTGTCTATTATTTTATCTGACTATGGGGCGGTTTGGAAGTTGCGATTGTTTTGTTGAGATTGTCATTATGCATGTATTGTATACAATGTATCGTTTTTTTGTTTTTTAGCAGAAATAATACATGGATTGTTTCTATGATGTGACAGAAACTATCACTCATTTTGAGTGATTGTTATATCTCAACTTTTAGTTGTGATTGTTGAGATAGTTGAGTTGAGATTGTTTTGTCTAAACTTTTAGCTTATGTGACATACACATTCACACATACCAAACGTTGTATTCTACAATGCATTAAATTCGACAATACATGTATAATATTATACATGCATTCTCAACAATACATCTATTTAACAATCGCAACTTCCAAACGACCCCTGACTATGATATAAAAAAACCCTGGGTTTTACTTGGCTGATTTAGGAAAAGGAAAATGGATTTTTCCCATTGCGCGCACAACAGCCTAGCACCACTGAAATTAGGGAGAGATCCAAGCACAAATTTGGGGTCGTTTGTTTGTTGGATTTGGGTCATGGATTTGGTACCCAAATTCCAAGCTTGATGGATTTAACATAAGTCCATAGTTTGTTGAAGGGTGCTAAATCCGTGGGGTCCACGGATTTGGTCTTTATTTTGGAACCAAATCCGTGGACCCCACGGACTTGTAAATCCCACATATTGATTTGGGATTTGCAAATCCTTGATGGTTAGTTATTTATTTCACAAATCCATCACAAATCCATCATGCAAACATTAGACTTTTCAAATCCATAATCCAATAAATTCAACATAAATCTCAAATTTTTGTTGGCCAAAACCCTCATTTTTCAAATCCAACAAGCAAATCGGCAAATACACCCGGAACTGGCTGGGCTTGTTGACGCACCGAGCCGGGTACACGCAGAGCCGACAGGCCCATTTTAGCGGTTGTTGTTTGAACCACCCAAACCTGGGCTTCACACTTTTACTTGGCTGATCTGGAAAAGGATAACCGAGAATGGAATTTTCCCCACCGCGCTCACAGCAGCACTGAACAGACTGCTGCACAACCCTAGTAGCCGCTTCCGGTTCGTCGACTATTCTCCCTCCGTTTCCTGTCCACCGACCGGCGGGAACCCTCCGTCAGCCTTTCCGAGTTAGTTCCAGCACATTTATCTCCGCTCAACTCGCAACCTTCCCTACATACCCTGCTTTCTGCGCCGGGGCATCAATGGATTCTCGGCTGGCAAATACTTGGCGCCTGACCGTAAATGAGAAGAAGTTTATCGAGACTGCTTTGGCTTCCGACTTGAGAATCGATGGCCGGAAACCCCTTGAGTATCGGAAGCTAACTATCAATTTTGGAAGGCAGGTTTCTGTTCCCATTTTCAGACCCTTCTTTTTTTCTTGTTGGGTACTTTCTGTCATGTTCTCTTGCTGGAAGCTGTATATGAGATACTGGGTTTAATATGGACGAGAATGAATTTTCCGCTGATTACCAAAATTGCTGGTCGTGAATTTTCAGGGAAGACGGGTCAGCTGATGTGCAGCTAGGCCATACACATGTGATGGGTTTCGTGTCTAGTCAACTTGTTCAACCTTACCGTGAGCGTCCAAATGAAGGGACAATGTCGATTTTCACCGAGTTTTCACCAATGGCCGATCCTTCATTCGAGTTAGGCCGTCCAGGAGAGTCTGCAATAGAGTTGGGCCGCATAATTGATCGTGGCTTAAGGTACATGTTTTCTTTTTTGAGTTCGTCCAAGTTGACACATTAGGAAGATTATGCTTGTAGGATAGTATGCATATTCAGTTGTCCCTATGATCTAATGTATATCCATTTCCAGATGCAAACAACCAACTAGTATTTCTCTCACCCAGTGTACATACTGGTGATGTTAATTTTATGTGCTGAAACTAATTTTGGATTGTTAGAAGGAAGTATGGATTATCACAGGAGCTAGTATTGTTCATGAGAGGTAGACCTGTGGACCTGTGTAGTTGGGTCTTTGTGACATCAATTACAGTGGATAACTGAAATTATTCATGCAGGGAAAGTAGGGCTGTGGATATGGAATCACTTTGTGTTTTGGCTGGGAAGTTAGTTTGGGCCATCAGGATTGATCTCCACATCCTAGATAATGGAGGGTGAGCTCTCTATCTTCTCTTTCTGGTCTTGTTTCTTTGGTTTCTAGACATTGCTTATGGTCTTAGTTATGAAAACCTCTCGGCCTAGTTACTTATTTGGTCTGGTAACAGAAATCTTGTTGACGCTGCCAATGTGGCTGCTCTAGCTGCCCTGTTGACCTTTCGGAGACCAGAGTGCTCATTAGGTGGAGACAATGGACAAGAAGTGGTTGTACATCCACCTGAGGTTAGAAAATTAACTTTTTTTTTTTATCACTCAGCTAAACTAAATATGTGCTTACTTATCTTCGCAATTTCTTGTACCGAACAGTATGCTTTGCCTGTTGCAATCAGTGGAACCTTCATATAAACTGTTGCAACTAGTTTGGATGTCAGGAGATAATTATCTAAACCATCTAGAGTTTAATGAGTGAATGTAAGGTTTTGACTGAAGGAACAGACAAGACACCCAGGAGAAATTCCATGGATCAAGATATGGTTCCAATGTGAAAAAGATGGCAATAGGTTGCATTGAATTATCATAAAAGAATTAGTAGCACTGTGGTTCATACTCCAAGGACTCGTACTAAGCATCCAATTCTCTGGTTTATTGCCACATGAAAGAGTTCGCATGATCACTACTAGAAGAGACTCATGGTTAATATAGCTAAATTTATATTTTATTTATTCTTTAGTGGATATAATAATTTTTTTCGTTCAAAATGGAGATAATAATTTCTGCAGTGAGAGTCGTACTTCGTAGGGACATGAACTCTGAATATTGTTCACGAGTACTAGAAAAAAGAACGATGCTAATAATTGTAATAAAAGATTCTACATTACTTAATTTATAATTAATTTGCTGGATCATCTCTTCCTGTTAAGCTGATTTGACGTTTTGTAAATATGTGAAGTAGACCCTTCAGTGACTCTGATCAGGAGCTCGATGTGGTCAATTCATTTTCTTCATATTTGGATGCCTGTAAATCTTCTAGACTGCACGTTTGTGTCTGTGTCGGCTATCTTCCCATCCCTACTAATTAGTACCTTTAAGCTTCAGAGCATTTTGAGTGGTCCGTTGATTGTTGTTCTTGCATTCTGCAGGTGAAGGATCCGCTTCCTTTGATAGTTCACCATTTGCCTATAGCAGTGACCTTTGGATTTTTCAGCACAGAGTACACCATGGTATGCTACTTAATGTCCGGAGGTCCTTTTGATAAAATTGCAGCCTATGGTGCCTCGAGCATGATGTTAATCTTTTGTGCAATCATTTCATGCATTACCTATCATTCAGGTGGTAGATCCAACCCATAGCGAGGAGGCTGTTATGGGGGGCCGTATGACAGTAACAGTTAATGCAAGTGGCGATATTTGTGCCATTCAAAAAGCTGGAGGAGTAGGTGTGCCACAGAGTGAGATTATGCGATGTTTACGACTTGCTTCTGACAAAGCTGAATCTATTACCAAAAACATAAAAGACGCGGTAAGTTTTTTTGTTTTCAGTTATTATTTTCATATCTTCTGAATTTATCTTGAAAACTGTCTTGTAAACTTATTTGGGGCATAATTTTCCTATTGGACAGCACTGATGCGATGAATAAATTTGTGCTTAAATGTTTATCATGTCTAGTGTTCTCTTTGCCAAAATTCAAAATATTGGGCGTTCTCTATCAACGTTTGGTATTTGAATCACTTTCTTCTAGATAATCAATTAGGCTATAGTTAGATTTTCAACTCTCAGTTCTTGTACTCGGTGGTTATCATACAGATGGAATTTGTACCAGGTGTTTTCATAGGTTAGAATGAGCATTCAGCAAGATCTAACATTCTTGGCATGTATAGATGACATGGTTTTAGTGCGCCTGTTTTTAAAAAAAAAGTTATTTTGGTAGGTTGAGGCGTTCAACACGGAGAGAATGTTACGCAAGATCAAGCGACATTCTACTGCCGTAGCTGCCAATGTTAGTATAGAAAATGATGTCAAAGGGCAAAAAGACAAACTCACTGCGCAGAGAGTAAATGAGTTATCAATGTCCCAGATGGAGAGATTGAAGCTAAAACCTGACGAAAGTTCCATATCCCAAAATGATGGTTTAGGTAGCGAGATCAGATCATCGGATCAAATCAGTAATCAGCGTGCCGAGGGAAATGCTCCTCTTTTTCTTGGAGGGCCCTCAAGCTGGTAAGTTTCACCATCTGGAAATTCCATCTGAACTTGTTCTGCTGTACTACAAACCCTTAATGGGTGAACTTAGAACGAACCGATTCCTCGATCCTGCTTCCTGATGCTTCTTTTATGCTTTTTGGCACACGTAAGTAGCTCTATATATTTGAAATTATCTGCAATCTCCACTCTAGTCTTGCTACTGATGTCTACTGGCACTTCCTTTGTGTTAGATAACAGATGAAGCATACTTTAATTCAGCACTTCATTTTCTGTCTTCATAAAAGCTATTGAAAACAACTGCTTAATATATACCATAAACTTCCCCTTGTGGTTTTGCAAAATAAAAATTGCTGTTTAGGTTCTCGACTTGCTGTTCGAGCCTGTCTGAGATGAGTACTATTTGTTGAATTAACCAAGTCATTTTTTCCATTCTAGTATAGTATTACCAAATTGTCTCACTAACTCCGAAACGGTATCTCTTCTCTTAGGGACCCTCACACACAAGGTGTTGATCCAGATTTCCTAAAAGCTTCTCTTGCTGCACAAGGTACATTGCTTGTTTACTTTTAAATCTTGGATGAATGCTCTGATTGATGGCGGGAGCTTCACTCTCTTCTAGTACCCCTGAGGTTCTAGATGTCCACCATGTTGTCAAAATTTTGAAGTGAATAATAGTTGCCATTCCTGGACATTTATACGGGTTTCTGCGTAAACTGCAAGTTATAGATTTCCCGTGTTTGATTTACGTGCAGGAAAATCGAACCCCAAGGCTGAACAAAGTAGCGAAGACAGTGACGATGATGTAGCAATGCAAGAAAAAGAAGTCTCTGAAGACGTCAAACCTCCGAGCTTAGCAACAGATTCATCCGAAACAGTAGAAGAACAAAAAACCAGCATAGTGAAGAAGACTCTCAAGGACGCAGTGAAGCCAAAGAACAGGAGAAGAAAGAAGACGCGCTCTTAACTTAAACGCTAGCTAAGATTCATTCTACAAACACGTTGTTTTACTTTTTATCTGTATCCCCCCTTTTTTCTGGAATAGTTTTAGCTGTGTTGCGGTGCTTGTTTTGATACAATTATGTGGAAATCAGGGCCAACGACGCCATAAAACCATGTTGTTGTTCTTCCAAAACTGGCGGAGATAAACGGCGTCGTCCCTGGCGACCCAGTACGTGTTGTCCATGTGAATCCTCTCCCAGGGGTCTTTCTCTTCCTCGTTATACGCATCGAACACGACCTCGACGTTGCCCTTCGCCACGTGGCACCAGAAGAGCGTGATCCCGAAGATGTTGGGCCTGAACCGCCACTGGTACTCGGACCCGGGCGGGACGACGTGGACCCCCATATCGTTGTTCTTGGACCTGCAGTGGACCGTCACGGCCCGCCCGCCGCTCAGCTCGTTCACGATGTGGATGTGCCTGTAGGCCCACCACGAGCCCTTCTTCGAATCCGCCAGCCCGCCTGCAGGAGCGCCGGTGTCGGTCGTGGCGTCTTGTTTTTCCGGTGGCGACGTGGCCGGGACCACCGTGTCCTGTACGTCATCCGGCGGAGCACCCGCGCTGCCGTCGGCTGATGCATGTGGAGCGAAGATGGCCAGGCAGATGATCGCAACCGCCATGGGAGAAGCTGAAATTGGTCAAGTATTTATAGTTGAGCTTGAAATGCATGTTTACTGAAAATAGTGAAGAGTGATTTCAGCTTCACCACACAGGATTAAGAAAGCTATGGCTCGTAATAGCATTGGTTGGAATGCCGGTTGAAACACTAGGAATCACGTAACAGCTATATGAACACAAAATGAAAGAAAGAAACAGACTCCTTATAAACTAGTAAGAAAAATTTCAGTGGCTAATTTGAGCTCCAGGCTAGGGTTAATGGGTCACAAATAACCCAACCCAATCAACTTAATTTGTATCCGTTTTGCCCGTTGGGTCTAGTTTATTAGGTTTATTTATTTGTTTTCACAACGAGGGGTTGATTTTATGATCCATCTTTGTCGATCTTTGGAATCCGTGATCTAGATGCGATGCCAAGAAAACATCAATGGCGACTCTGTTTTTCGTAGCTTAAAGTTTTAGGCTGAATTTTGAACCTTTTGCAACGACTCCTTCCGTCGCAAAGATGTTGTTTCTTGTAGTGTCTGTAGCCTTCAAAATCTAATAAAAATATCCTTTTAAAAAAATTGGCCGAAATCATTGGCAGTATCCCTTTGGAATCTACAAAAAATGACCAGAAAAAAATCCGCCCAAATCGGTGTTCAATAGACTTAATCATCGGTGATAAATAGCCTCAAGCCGAATTCATGATCTGTAGCATTCAAAATCTAAGGAAACTGGCCTTTCGCAAAACAAGTTTGAAATCAGTGATTGTACCCCTTTGAAATCAGACAAAAATTGACAAGGAAAAATCCGCCCAAATCGGTGCTTAATAAGCTTAATCATCAGTGAAAAATAGCATATGAAAGAATCCGTTATCTATAGCCCCTCAAAATCCAAAGAAAATGACCTATCGAAAAAATCACCCAAAAATTATGAAAACATCCCTCCGTAAAAATTCGCACAAATCGTCGATCAATATACTTCATCATCGGTGGAGAATAGTCTTAGACAGAATATGTGATCTGTAACCTTCAAAATCCAAGTAAAATGTTCTTCCAAAAAAATCGTCTGAAATCTGTGATGGTCCCCCTTTGGAATCGGCAAAAAATGAATGTGGAAAAAATCTGCCCAAACCGGTTCTTAATGAACTAAATCATCAGTGAAAAATAGCCTATAGCCGAATCTGTCATCTGTAGCCTTCAAAATCCAAAGAAAATGGCTTATCGAAAAAATTGCCCAAAAATTATGAAAATACCCTATGAAAAAATCTGCACAGTATAGACTTCATCATCAATGGAGAATAGCCTCAGGAAGAATCCATGATCTGTAGTCTTCAAAATCCAAGTAAAATGTCATTTCGAAAAAATCGTCCGAAAACTTTGATGGTACTATTGGGCCAAGTATTGGAATACGTGTTCCCCCGACATCAAAAGAAGACAACACATAGGCTAGAAGCCTCGGACGCGGTCTTGGGACACACTAAAAGAGTGCCCGACATGGTATCTAGTCAGACAACGGTAGACCATCCGACAAAAGTTCTAACGGACACCTGGTCATCTCAGTACGGAGACTGACAACGGTACGTACTGCCTGCGCATTTAATGAAGTTTGGAGGCGTCCGAAGACGCCTGACACATCATTAAATGCGCTAGCCGTAGCCAAAGTGAGTATAAATACCCCCAGATAGGTAGCATTTATGGTAATTTCCAACCACCACTCTCTCTCTCTCTCTCTCTCTCTCTCTCTCTTATTTACAACTTTCTCTTACTAACTTTGGCATCAGAGAAGGTCACAGGATCCCCCTAAGGACCTTTCTTGCAGCACGTGACCGCCCCCACGATCGTGGATCATTCAAAGCTCGTGAGCATCGCAAACCGCCTGGTACTAATTAGACACAAACAGGTACCCCTTTGGAATCGACCAAAAATAAACGAGGAATAAATCTGCCCAAATCGGTGCTTAATAAACTTAATCATCAGTGAAAATAAGCCTATGGTTGAATCTGTCATCTGTAGCATTCAAACCAAAGAAAATTGCCTATCAAAAAAATCAACCAAAAATTACGAAATTGCCCTATGAAAAAATGTGTAGACTTTAAAATCCAAGTAAAATGCCCTTTCGAAAAAATCGTTTGAAATCTGTGATGACCCCCTTTGAAATCTGCCAAAAATGGACCCGGGAAAAATATGTCCAAATCAGTGCTCAATATACTTAATCATTGGTGAAGAATAGCCTATGGCCAAATCCGTCTATAGCCTTCAAAATTCAATTAAAATAACCTCTCGAAAAAATCACTCGAAATTCCCATTTTCTCAAATTGTTTGTTTTGAAATAAATTATGTAGACCAATTTGCCATGGACAAGGAAGAAGAAGAAGGAAGAAAAAAATTCTTTCCTTGCCAGCATTATCAAAATTGAATGCCCAAATCGTGCTCGGTCTCTAACCTATGACAGGTTTAGCAGAGCGTACATGCATGTCGAAAAGAAGAAGCCGATTTGATGTACTACGTAAAATATTCCACGAAACAAAAATAGTAGTCTATAATATATTAATATGCTATATGGAATAATCAGGGCCATTTACGCCAGAAAACCATGTTGTTGTTCTTCCAGAACTGCCTCAGATAAACGGCGTCGTCCCTGGCGACCCAGTACGTATTGTCCATGTGAATCCTCTCCCAGGGATCCTTATCCTCCTCGTTAAACGCATCGAACACAACCTCAACATTCCCCTTCGCCACGTGGCACCAGAAGACCGTGTTGCCGAAGATGCTGGGCCGGAACCGCCACTGGTACTCGGACCCGGGCGGGACGACGTGGACCCCCATGTCGTTGTTCTTGGACTTGCAGTGGACCGTCACGGCCCGCCCGCCGCTCAGCTCGTTCACGACGTGGACGTGCATGTAGGCCCACCACGAGCCCTTCTTCGAGTCCACCAGCCCGCCCACGCCTGTCCCCGGCTTCGGGGCGCGATCGTCGGTCTCGGCGTCTTGTTTTACCGGCGGCGACGTGGCAGGCACCACGCTGTCCTGTACGTCCTCCTGCGCCGGTGGACTGGCGGGGGTGGCGTCGGCTGCTGATGCAGGTGGAGCGACGACGGCCAGCCAGAAGATTGCAATTATTACCGCTATGGGAGGAGCTTTTGTGATCCACATTTTGATATGGGGATTATTATGTCTCTAGTTAATTACTCTTTTTATGTGTTTGAATGTTTTACATGAATAAGTTGAAATTGGTCAAGTATTTATGGTGGAACTTGAAATGCATGTTTACTGAAAATAGGAGAGTGATTTCAGCTTCACCACACACGAGTAAGAGAACTATGGCTCGATCTCTTCTGATGCCAAGCTCTCGATCGAACTGCCTTTTTTTTAGGTTTGTAGCATTTGTTGGATGCTGGGAAAAACCCTTATTGAACCTCCAAATGGATCCGGTCTGACCCGATGAGTAGGGATTCAAAACGATCTCCAGAAATCCCCGGTCTAACCCTTAAAGAGGTTGAAGAAGAGAGGGACGAAGAGAGGAAGAGGAATGAAGGAAGGGAGATGGTGGGTGGGTGGGTCATGGAGGTTAGGTAGATATGCTTTGTGAAAAATAAGTTTTTAAATAGATATATGTATGATAAATTTTATTTCAGTCATTAAATCTTTAATTACTACCTTATTTGTATATATATTTAAAAAACGTCTAAAACGGCTCAAATCGGCCGAACCCCGATCAGACCATTAAAACTCAAACCCCTTGCTTGACCGGCTCAATGACTTAAACCGGTTTGACAACCTTGGATGCCGCTTGAAACCAACAGTCACGTAACCGATGTAAGAACGGTAACAGAAAGCATCGTGTTGAAAGAACCCTCTTGTTAGGGATTCTCGATACTGATCTTCAACACCCATAACTACTTGTAACGAATATGGATTTAGGGTTGAGATTATGGATTTAGATGAGAAAGAATAGAATAGAATAGAATTGGGAATCGACCGAGGCTTTGGATTAGGAGAGGATAGAAATTAGGAGTTGAGAGAGATTAGGTTTAGGAGAGAATACTTTGCTTAATACTTTCTTAATTGATTATGACATAAACCCAAAGTACATATTTATAGGAAATAAACCCAAAACCCTAACAATTAACCCTAATCTACTCGACCACTCTAGCCGCCTAACCCTACTAATACGTATAACACTATTAATAATTATTATTCTAATAATATATATCGCTAACACGTGTCTTACACTAATAAGATAATTTCATTGACTAATTGAGCTCAGAGTTAATGGGTCATATACATCACCCACCCAAATCTTTGTGAGGGGCTTCATCTTGTCTGCGGTGACCTTAATCTTATAATTTATCATAGTGCTCATTGGCAATATATGAATTACCCAGACTTGAGGTTGCTGAATGAAACCCTAAATGTTAGTAGTATAATTTGTGCTGTGCTAGAATGGCCAGATCCCTAGAGGGAGAAGCTAGCTCCGTCGAGTGACAATCTTGCATGCGTTTGCCCGAATTCGTCATCATATCGGCTATAGTTTAGTCTTTCCCCAAGCTTTCATGTAAAACTTCAGAGTTCATCTTTTCTTTCTTCTTTTCCCTATTCTGAGCTTTGGTTGCTCACAGAATAAGACACACTTGCTCGAGGTTACCACTCATCGAATGTTATGTCTGATGAAGATCCATTTATTGGTGAAATGAGTGCTAGTGGGACATAAAATTGGGGCATAAAATCTGGACAATTTTGAAGTATATGCGAATAATGATCGAACTGTCATTCTATTTTGGTGTCTGGCGACATCTAAGTCATCTTTCTATAGTGACAATTTTGAACCATAATTGGGTTTATGCCTTATGGTAGGGTGCATAACAAGATCTCTTTCTTTGGTTTTATGTGGAGTCAACTTTAAGGGTTGGGATTATAAGTCTTCGAATTTTCCCTACTTTTTTCACCGGTTTGTATTTTCTTTGTTTTAAACCGATTTTTTTCTTTGCACAAATGGAATAGGTTCATTGTGACTACAAAAAGATATCCATTATATATATATATATATATTTGGAGAGAAAAATTCATGCCACCCATTACCACTTCGATACCACTCTGTGCACCTTCATTTTTTACTCAAGTTTTAAAATATTATGCACATAAGGAATGGATTTTATCGTGATATATTGTGATCTAGAAACTTTAAAAAAAATCAGCATCAAATATACAACCCTGGTATAGGGCTGTAACTGGTGAAATGTGTTAAATTGTGGTTAGCATCAGGGGCGGAGCTATGGGGGCCCTCGCCCCCCCCCCCCCCCCCCAGAATTTCGAAACTTACGTATAAAGTCCTAGAAATTTTCGAAAATTACGTATAAATCAACGTTAAATATATTTAAAATCCGAGTGACACATTATTAACATAATCTTCTTGTAGTCTAGCGGATTTGTAGTTGAATAGTAGCCTAAAGGTACCAAGTTTGAGCTTGGTAGGCAGCTTTTTTATTTATTTTATTTTCAGTTTAATTCTTCAAGTTTCCTGCTTGGTCTTATAACTCCGATGATTTCAAATAACGTTAGTCAAGTTATTCAACTTTTACATTAATATTTCATGGATGTGTTTTGGATATGTAATTAAATAATAATTTATATAAACACTAATATAATCATAAATTCATATGCAAGGTATAATAATATTGAAAACATTACATGTTAAAGTGCATGATAATTTTTTCATAGTATAATCATTCATTTTGAACAAAGCATACTAGAATACTTTAAATTAATTCTATTTTGATTATTTTAACTAATGTTATGTCGTTATAAATTTTTATTTTTTTTATATTTTTGCGGTTATGTACTAACTAATGTTATTTTTGCGGTTATTTAAGGGTTGGGATTATAAGTCTTCGAATTTTCCCTACTTTTTTCACCGGTTTGTATTTTCTTTGTTTTAAACCGATTTTTTTCTTTGCACAAATGGAATAGGTTCATTGTGACTACAAAAAGATATCCATTATATATATATATATATATATATATATTTGGAGAGAAAAATTCATGCCACCCATTACCACTTCGATACCACTCTGTGCACCTTCATTTTTTACTCAAGTTTTAAAATATTATGCACATAAGGAATGGATTTTATCGTGATATATTGTGATCTAGAAACTTTAAAAAAAATCAGCATCAAATATACAACCCTGGTATAGGGCTGTAACTAGTGAAATGTGTTAAATTGTGGTTAGCATCAGGGGCGGAGCCATGGGGGCCCTCGCCCCCCCCCCCCCCCCCCCCCCCCCCCCCCCAGAATTTCGAAACTTACGTATAAAGTCCTAGGAATTTTTGAAAATTACGTATAAATCAACGTTAAATATATTTAAAATCCGAGTGACACATTATTAACATAATCTTCTTGTAGTCTAGCGGATTTGTAGTTGAATAGTAGCCTAAAGGTACCAAGTTTGAGCTTGGTAGGCAGCTTTTTTATTTATTTTATTTTCAGTTTAATTCTTCAAGTTTCCTGCTTGGTCTTATAACTCCGATGATTTCAAATAACGTTAGTCAAGTTATTCAACTTTTACATTAATATTTCATGGATGTGTTTTGGATATGTAATTAAATAATAATTCATATAAACACTAATATAATCATAAATTCATATGCAAGGTATAATAATATTGAAAACATTACATGTTAAAGTGCATGATAATTTTTTCATAGTATAATCATTCATTTTGAACAAAGCATACTAGAATACTTTAAATTAATTCTATTTTGATTATTTTAACTAATGTTATGTCGTTATAAATTTTTATTTTTTTATATTTTTGCGGTTATGTACTAACTAATGTTATTTTTGCGGTTATTTAAGGGTTGGGATTATAAGTCTTCGAATTTTCCCTACTTTTTTCACCAGTTTGTATTTTCTTTGTTTTAAACCGATTTTTTTCTTTGCACAAATGGAATAGGTTCATTGTGACTACAAAAACATATCCATTATATATATTATATATATATATATATATATATATATAGGGTTTACGCTAGCGTACGCCTGGGCGTACGTTAGACTACCGTACGCCCGTTTGAGTTTTGCCATTTAGATCATGAATTAACCGGAGTTTTGGGCATGATACTATACCCTAACCACTAATGGATAAACCCCAGTCCCTAGTTTTCTAACCCAAATCATGAGATTCGTTTAATCTTGAAATGAAAATCAACAATAATTTCGTCAAATCAGAACCGTTGATTTTCATTTCAAGATTAAATGAATATTATGCTTTGGGTTAGTGAATTGCGGACTAGGGTTTACCCATTAGGGGTTAGCGTATAATATCATGCCCCGAACTCCGGTTAATTCATTGTCTAAATAGCAAAACTCAACGGGCGTACGGTAAGCTAGGGTACGTCCATGCGTACGCTAGCCTTTGCCATATATATATATATTTGGAGAGAAAAATTCATGCCACCCATTACCACTTCGATACCACTCTGTGCACCTTCATTTTTTACTCAAGTTTTAAAATATTATGCACATAAGGAATGGATTTTATCGTGATATATTGTGATCTAGAAACTTTAAAAAAAATCAGCATCAACCCTGGTATAGGCCTGTAACTAGTGAAATGTGTTAAATTGTGGTTAGCATCAGGGGCGGAGCCATGGGGGCCCTCGCCCCCCCCCCCCCCCCCCCCCAGAATTTCGAAACTTACGTATAAAGTCCTAGGAATTTTTGAAAATTACGTATAAATCAACGTTAAATATATTTAAAATCCGAGTGACACATTATTAACATAATCTTCTTGTAGTCTAGCGGATTTGTAGTTGAATAGTAGCCTAAAGGTACCAAGTTTGAGCTTGGTAGGCAGCTTTTTTATTTATTTTATTTTCAGTTTAATTCTTCAAGTTTCCTGCTTGGTCTTATAACTCCGATGATTTCAAATAACGTTAGTCAAGTTATTCAACTTTTACATTAATATTTCATGGATGTGTTTTGGATATGTAATTAAATAATAATTCATATAAACACTAATATAATCATAAATTCATATGCAAGGTATAATAATATTGAAAACATTACATGTTAAAGTGCATGATAATTTTTTCATAGTATAATCATTCATTTTGAACAAAGCATACTAGAATACTTTAAATTAATTCTATTTTGATTATTTTAACTAATGTTATGCCGTTATAAATTTTTATTTTTTTATATTTTTGCGGTTATGTACTAACTAACTCCCCCCCCCCCCACCCCCGAACTTTAATTTCTAGCTCCGCCCCTGGTTAGCATAATCCTACCATCATGTATATAGCACCATTACTGCAGGATGATGCTAGAGGTATGAGTTGGCTGACCCTCCTACGGGTTTAATCCCTTTACTGCAGGATGATGCTAGAGGTGATACCTTCGAGCGCCAGGTTGTGGCGAACTCTTCTTACCCCATCTAATCTCCCTCGGTAACCGTGCTTTTTCTTGGCTGTTGCCTCCTTGCTATGCAAAAAAAAAAAATTGTATATAGCACCATTGTACACTATGATATAGTGGTACACTTCCGTACCACCATGGTATAATCTTATATATGTTGTACAAAGTGTTACCACAAAAGTATAGACTAATAATATGCCTAATTACCGGAAAAAAATAATATATACCTATTTTTTCCAAATTATATCAAAACAAATGTCATTTTGAAGAAAACAATTGATCTGATATCTCTAAAAAAAAATCGGGGTTCCGAATTAAACCTAAAGAGATATAACCCGGATCCGCTCGCCATAATTGCAGAGAAATCTAGAAGTTCATCCTGGTGGTATAGGTTTAGGGAATCCTAGTGCTGCAAGGATTCCGGATCACTACCGGATTAAAACCCACAATTTTGATTAGGAGTCTTTATCCTGATATAGACCTAACAATCCTGGTTACACTTGGTGTCATCAATTAACCTAATTTTTAACGTTATAAAACTCGTCCATTGGTCCCTAGATTACCATCATAATGAATTATTTAACCGAATCTGGGAGAATCTCAAACCGACTCCTAAATCCTGCTTTTTCAAATTTTAAGCGTAATATACAATGGACTGCCTTTCCTTTTATCTTCTTAATAATAATTAACAGGCCTTCACAAAAGAGGAAGAAACGAAACACATTAAATTCCTTCGCCAGGACTCCCTGGCTTTCAATAGTCCCGCCGTAAGCAGGAAAATCCCAGTCGTCGTTATAAACTAAACGACAGAGAACGAAGAAGAAGAAGAAGACAAGAAGCAAAGAAAATAGCGCTAGCAATGGCGGCGGAAGATCTTCATCGTAATCCCGGCTGGCCACTAATATTTGAACTGGTGAGGACGGTGGATTACCGCTTCTTTCATTGCCGCCGGTGCTCCTGCTGCGTCGCCTTCCCCGATACTTTCTTCGAAAAGGTGCCTCTCCCTCTCCCGTCTATGTTAGCTGTAATTAATTAGGTTAATTATGCTGATTGATTGATGATGCGTAAGTCTTCCGTAATGAATTTTGCATGCAAGCTAACAATCTGTTAATGAGTTCATGCATGTGTGATTGGGTAATTTTTGGTATTAGATTAGGGTTACTGAATAGTACTTGATCAGTGATCACCATGAGACAGCTAAATAAGGGCTTAATCTTGATTGTGTGTAAATACTATAATGCTCTGTTACGGTGAACTCCACATCGAGTGACACGTAATTTCTGGGTGATATAGAGTCGAAAGTAATTTCTCGCACCATGAATTGAGTTGCTCATCTCATCAATCTTGATGACAGATTTTTTTCTCGTTTTGCAGGCCGAGAACTACGGTTTATTTGTTGCTGTGTAAGATAATCATCCTTTTCCTTTATCCAAACTGCTCTCCCGCAGTTGGAGTTAAAGTAGTGTCACCCACTACTATAATTTTCAAATTTGTTACTAATTTTTCACGTATTTCTAATCATATTTGGAAGCCCGAGCGCCACAATATGGCTACGACTTTTCATGACATGATGCATGGAAAGATTGAGCACATATATTTTGATCTAAATCAAAATTTATTTCGTATTATGCATGTATGGATGCAGTATCAATTTCAGACTGGATAAGCAGAAGGAGGAGAACAGAGGGAATGTGTGCATCACAACAGCGGACGTGCATTGTCTTCAATGCAATAATCTCTTCGGCGTCAAAGTGGTAAACCAACAATCTATTCTCAGCTCAACTCATTTCTTCGATTTGGTTCAGAAACAAATACTAATTATAGTTTCTTTATCTTGTTTTTTTTACATGCAGATCAATGTGACGGTATCAGACAAAACCAAAGATTCACGAGAATTCTTTTGGCTCACCATGTATGTATATATGCTCTCTCATTGTTGTTCACCTTCAATAACCTCGTAAATCTAAAGAAACTACATAGTATCATCGTTACAAGGAAAATTCTAGAGCAACCTCCAGTAAATTTGGCCTTTCTTATACTTTTAGTGAGATAGCGTTATGAATATAACAATGTTATATATATAACGCAGTCATGCAAGTGAGTGAAAAACAATATAACGATGTGGACGTTAATTGATTCAGGACTGAGTTGGTGTATTGGAATGGGCATGAAGAAGTGAAGGCAAGCTCGGTAGAACCACCCAATCGATCAAGACGAGAGATTGAAGAACAGATCGAGCGCATTTATTGACATAAAAATTTGCCCATTTGATAAACAAACATTGTTACACAATTACAAGAACACTAGCTACTCTCCTCCATACGATTTACAATTTTTTTTTTTTACTTCCCATGATGCCACGGCTTTTCGAATGGCGAGCGACGAAGCATAGATGAATGTTAGAATTAACAACATTTTAGATAGGTGATTAACTTTTTCACATAGTTGCTCTCTAATGTAGACATGAATAATAGAGTGGCACATTGTTATTGTCACATGCCTACGTAACGTATTTGTGTGATTTTCGACAATATTAGTTGCTTGGTTACGATGTATCAATTCTTCGATAAAGCTTTATAGCTGTCGAAATTATTTGTGATCATTTGATTAACAGAATGTATCAGCCAAACCATCCTTTCGTGAAATCTGATTCTGATAAGGCATCAAGACAAACCCTAGAGAGAACCAATTGACTGTACAGATTTCGTTCATATACAGAAAACCAAGCCAAGATCAAAAGGAATTCATGGTGATGACGTAACACCTCTTCATCTTCATCATCTCCCTCACAGCTTCACCGCACGCCTTGCTCACTTCTCCATCATCATCACCATTAACGTCACCAACCAACTTCAGCCCATCTACCCTGCCTTCGCCGTCGCCGGCGGCCGCAGGCCGGATTTCGATCAGAGTCGCCCCTGTCATCGAATACCCTGTTTCCTTCATCTCCAACTCCGGCAGGTACCACATCCGCAGCCTCAAGTCCGGAACCCGACTCCTACCCATTGTCGAATTCGACGAATCATTATCGCCAACATTCATCGAAGACGACGATACAGAGTCTCTCAGCTCCAAAATCTCATCTTTCCCCATGGTAACCTTCCCCTGTTTCGTTACGTCGCTGAGAATCACATTTTCCAGAGCAGAGTGCTGATTTTTTCCCCCGGCCAGAAGCTTCTTCACGAGAGAATGCCTTGCGGAGGCAGCAAGCAGGCAGGAAATCGTCCACATTATTCTCAGCTTCAGATTGTCGTCGCTCAGAGTCCCCTGATCATCTCGTTCTTCTTCTTCTTGCTGCTCCCCTGTTCTTTCTCCTACTCTGTTCTGCAGGTTGTTAATTGTTCTTCTTCGGAATGACGTGGCGCCGAGGATGACGCAGCTCTTGATCTGGCTCCCGAACTCCGCGTTCCACCTCAGAATCGGATCCCCTTCCGCCCCGCATCCGCCGCCGACGTCGGCGTCGTCGGAAGGCAGCCGGAGGTGGACCGATTTGAGCTCCGGGAAGGAACAGAGGAGGCGGGCAGGGGAGTGGTAGGAAATAGGGGCGGGTGGTTCCCCGTTTGATTTGGAGCAATCGTGGCGGTGGATACGGCGGCGGTGGAGGAGATCACGGCTGGGTTTGGCGACGGCGGCGATCAGCTTGCGGAGGAAGCTGAAGAAGAGGTTGGAGGACGAGGAGGGAGTGGGGTTGAGAGGTGGGAGGGAGAGAGTGACGGAATTGGTTTGGACGGCGAGGGAAGCGAATCTCCGGCAGACGGCGAGGCAGCGGAGGAGTGATTTGGCGTCGGATTCGGCTACTTTGGTGAACACGGCGTGGAGGAGCTCGTCGGGGAGACGGTCGAAGGGATCTGTGGCCATTTTTTCGGGTTGTGTGTGAAATTGATGATGTGAGTTTAGGTGGGAAGAAGAATGGAGGTTGGGATTTAAGAAGGAAATGGAGGGAATGGATTTGTCAAGATTGTTGCAGTGCCCGTTTTTGAAGGGTTGAAGAAGAAGAAGAAGAAGAAAACTAGAAGGAATTTGACCGGATCATCATCTGAACGCTGCCAGCCTGACCGAGACACACGAGTTGCTGACTCCGCACACCAAGGTGGGAAGAAGAGAAGAAGAAGAAGATTGAATAATTAAATAAAAAATAATCATGTTGCCTAAGAATAGTAATGAGTCTGTGGGTAAATCAAAATGATGTTCCATAACAAAGATTTGAAAACTATTTATTTAAAAATCATAATTTTTCTAGTATGAGTTAAAATGATCGATTCCAATATGTCACAAAGTAATTGAGATTTAGAATGAAATAAAAAAAAATTTGTCATAGAAATTTCAGAAAAGGGGAAAACAAATAGTTATGAGTTTATCTATACAATACTTTTGTAATTCGCATTTCAAATCACAAAACTTAAATGGGAATGGGACGTTGGTCGATCAATAACAGAGCTAATGATAAAGAGGGTTTGTTTTGCTACGGCAACCCTGTTATATCTATGAGGCCGACTCACTCCTACTGTCACTCTAAAAAATGGCCAAGTGTAACCACTTCCTAAAGCGTAGTATAGCGGGTTTGGGTTTTAATGTCAACCCAGGTCCTAGATGTGATGACTACTCAGCGAATTCTTATTATTTAGCGGTGAAACTTTAGTGCAGGTTCAAACAAGCAAAGCAATTAAACGGTTGTTTTCAAGTCGAGTGAGGTCACCCGGATATGGTTCCCCCTAGACTGCAGTTAAGCCGGATTGTAATTTACCAAGTTTAATTTCTATGATAGTTATACTGCGGAAGGTTCTTAAACAGTCTGAAGTCTCGACTAAAGGTCTCCAGACCCTCTCAATCTGAGTCTCCAGCGGGCGACTAACCTCCACCAGAGTAAACAGATTGAGGCCCTAACGAACAAAACCTCCACTACCGAAGTAACTTTGGTACAGAATAGTGAATTGGCTCCTCGACTAAAGTCGCCAATTCACTATCTTCAATTAATGGTGCTCTATCAACCTAGGCAGATATTCTCTTTCTAGGTTAAAGCAGAAACAACAAGAATTTGATCAGGATTCATGCCATTCAATCATTCAAACCTCAATTGAATATAATCAAATCATAGAATCTGTACTTGGGTTCATACAATCAGACCTAACATACAAATCTAGGGTTCTCCATACCCAGATGAATAAAAAAACTACTCCACAGAGAGAAATGGAAAATCTAGCTCAGATGCGGAAACCATACTGTGAAGGATGATAATCTGCTTCTGGCGCTCAATCGGATCTTCTCCAAACTCAAGCCCGGCTCCAATGGTGATGAAGATCAAGTTAGAGCACTTGGGAACTCTAGTTCGTCACTTTCTCTCTCTAGGAATCGCTCTGTCTCTCTAAAACTCGGAACCCCTTCTTCTTTGGCTCAAATCTGCCTAAAAAGGCCGACCCTTGCCATGTGTTAAAAACACGCCCGCGTTTTGGTGAAAACACGGTCGTGTTTTAAGTTGGACACGGCCGTGCTTCTAGTCACTCCCGCCCGTGTTTTGGGCCAGCGCAGGGGCAACTTTGATCAAGCCTCGGCAGTAAAAACACGGTCCAGAAACACAGCCGTGTTTTGGTTTAGTCCAACCCGTGTTTTGGCCTTCTCCTCAGTTCAGCTCTCGGCAATAAAAACACTGGCGTGCTTTTTGGTGTACACGGTCGTGCTTTTCAGGCCTCATGCCCATGCTTTGGCTCCAGCTCGACCGAATGACTTCCAAATGTCCCGACACTCGTGCTTAGCATTTCCTTCGCCGTCTGGGACCTGAAATATGATAAAGTAGCACAACCAGGCGTAAAATAGGCCAAAAATACACGACTACGCCCCGCAAACGGATGAGAACTAGGGGTGCAAACATGTGCAATTACATTGTTATCAGAGGCACAAAGTGAAAGATTAGTTTATGTTATAACGACTTCTCAATCTTAAAATATAATTAATTATGAAATGATGTGGCATCGATTATGGGTTAAAGTGATTGATTTCGAGTAAGGTATTACACTAGTTTATTTGGTAAACATAAGCATTCGGGTCGGAAATTTGATATAACAAAAGTACATATAAGTATTTAGGGAAAAAGTCTAATTTACCATTATATGTAGTGACAACAATTCATCAAATAATAAACTTCTCAATCAAATACACTCAAATCAACTCCTGAATTCAACATTTTCAAAACTATTTGAAAATGAGGTAGACCTCAATTTACTTATCTTTATACCCTTCTACAATTCTACCAATTCTCTAATATAAAGTTTAACCAATTCGTGGAATTGCTTTAGCCATCTCATAGCAGTACTCCAACAATTTTTAATAATGTTATTCTCATACAAAATCAACAAATTAGGAGACCGACTTAAATAATATATTGTAATTCCTTACCTAAATAAAAATTTCACCCACTTTTACTTCTATTAATTATTAATTTATTATCAATCTCTCTAATGGAGACCACCTAATCATACTTGCTATTGCAAAAGGACATGGGATTAGGTGCTAACCTTTATAGGGGTTAGCACCGTGATAACTAGCAAAAATCACTATGGATTATTATAAAATTAATACAACATCTAAGCTAAATCACTACTAATTCAAACTAGTAGTAGTTTTTCCCTTGGTTAGGCCGGTGCTAACTATTGTACAATTAGCACCGTAGCCGTTCCCACATCTATCCTTTTGTATCAAGCAATGTAGTGTTAGTAATTGAATCTTAGCTTAGATTTAGACGAGGAACCAAACCCAAGGTAGTATAAACATAGTTGGTCGGTTGAACTTTAGTTTCCTTGAACATTAATTCCTTAATTACTGATAATTAGGTGGCGTGGATAAGATCAAAATCATATTTTAATAAAGAAAGGGGTTCTGCAAAATCGCCGCCTAAACAACGTGTATCAAGTAATCCTCGTTACATTCACAATAATAATAGTATTAGGTTTCTAGTTTCTACATTTTCTCGTCCGCCCAATTCAGACGGCCAGCCCTAAAATATTTTTTTTTCCGGCCAAGTCCGAGAGAATTGGAGGATATTGTTTTTAATTACTTTTCCACTTTGATCGGATGAGGTGGCGCTGACTTTGCTGGCAAGTTGATGACTACTAGTTATGACGTGTACGGAATTCTTATCTGGCAAGTGGTAAGCTGATGGTTGCCGCCGGTAGATCAGCCACCAACCATACGACGTGGCAAAGGGATTGACATGATTCGACCCGGTTTAAAATTGAACCAAAATCGGTTATAGACCAAAGGTGGGTTTGGTTTAATTCAAAACGGAATAATATTTTTATTAAATTCCATTTGATTCGGTTTCAATATCGACCTCATCCGGTATATGACGTACAACTGAACACTTGCCCACCCTCTAGCTGCTAGCAAGTTAATGAGGTTTTCACTAATGATATTTATCAAACCTAATTATCCCTCTAAGTAAAAGATTAACAAAAACATTAATGGGTGGTTTGGACGTTGGTGAAATATGGATAACCAGTTTTATCAAAAAAACAATCTTCCGACGCCGCAAATCTTACCTATCTCTCTCTCTGTTTTATGATGTGTCCTGATTTGGACTGTAATTTCTTTTGTTTACTGTCTGGGAGAAGAAGAGGATGAAGTAGTTAAACGTCCCTATGTTCCACATTTGACATTACCATGACAGCAAGCAGCTAAGCTAGTGGCTTAGTTCTATATGTACAAAAAGGTCTTTGGAAGGTGTAACAATTGGAATTTGGCTGGTGTGCTGCATATTAGCCACAACCTAAGTCTCATTCAACCGTGTAGAGGTTGAAGATGGGGTCCGACGAGAGGTCGGTTGGGGTCCGAAATATTTAAGGGGTCGGAGTTACTTTCGCTAAGCGTTTTATTTATTTTTGACATTACCCAGATACGATTTGTCAGAAGGTGTTTGACACTGTAGCTTTTGTCTAACTGACTCCAGACATGGAGATGCCGGCTTCTACAGGCTTTGTTCATTGATTTTTCTTCTTCTTCTTGGGCTTTCTCTTGTGATTTTTGTTTACATGTTTTGAGTTTTGACACTTATTTCCGATCGGATATAATTAGGAAAGAATTTTCAAAATACTTTCATGTTAACGAAAAGGTATATGTCAGAACTGTCATCAACATCGAACAAGACATTGAAGGTATTATTCCCTCAATTAAAAATGGGTTCGACTCGATGAAAAATTACTGTGGTTGTTTTTTTTATCCACAAAAAAAGGTTGTAGTTAATTAGACTACTTGAACAAGCACCCTAAAGGTCAATGTTGGATGGTAAATTACTAAATTTCCAACTTGTGACATCACATCTTGTCAGGGATTATCAGTCTTTGTGACCACAACAAATTGAGAATATATCTTTCTTTCGAAAAAGGTCAACAGTATGGAAAACTCTCTTTTGAAAAACAAATTTAAACCTTTTCATCTCCTTTATCTTCCTTTCAAAGATGCAAAAAGCTGACTGGACTTGATTGCATTTCAACATAAACAATGATCAGGGCTTCATTCAAATTCATGCTCATGTAAGAAGAAGCCTTGCAGAAGGAGGTAGCAGCATCATAAGCAGCAAATGTATAATACAACAGCATATTGTACAACAGTGTTCCGCATACTTTGAACCAGCACTGAACTGAATGAGAAACAGAACGGACTGTAATTACAAGGCCAGGCTTTTTGTAGTCCCTTTTTGTGTAGTTCATACTTCATATTGAATCAAATCCTGGAAGGAATGAGGGGAATGGCGTTCTGCAGGTAAGCACTTGCTGCTGCAACTCCGCTCCCAAGCTTCACCGGGTACCCGACATCCTTCAGTATCATCTCCACTCCAGCTAGGCACCCCAGAAGTTGCAGCTGATCGTTCAAACAAAAAGGGGAGCAAGAACTTCGATAAGAATACACGATTCCGATAGAAAGAAAGGAGCTGTTTACATAATGATGTGTGTAGAGAGATGTACATACCTCATTCAAGTTGCCCAGATGGCCTATTCTGAAGACCTTGCCAGCAACCTTGTTAAGGCCCAAGCCTAAGCTGAGGTTGTATCTTTTCCATGCCCTCCTAACTATCTCTGCACTGTCAATGTATGGAGGAACCATCACAGCAGTCACTGTGTCACTCACCCACTCCTCCTTCTGGGTGCAGTTCTTCAACCCCCATGCCTCCACCGCGAGCCTGCACCACGCCATTCATTCATTCATTGATTACCACCACTCTAATTGCAACAATAACAAAGCGCAAAACCTTTCTTCATTATAGTTAGTTTGACTAGCAAATCTATGACGAGAGCAGATTCTTCACCTAGTGGCTTTGCCCAAGCGGGCGTGCCTGGCAATGACATTGTCGAGCCCTTCCTCGAAGAGAAGGTCCAGAGCAGCTCTGAGCCCATACAGCAGCTGGATGGAAGGTGTGTATGGCCAGTAGGTCCCTATCTTGTAGAACTTCAAGTAGTCACTCCAGTCGAAGAACACCCTGTAAGATTTAGCAGTCTTTGCAGCCTCGAGAGCTTTCGGGCTAGCACACACAATTCCCAACCCAGTTGGAAGGGAAAGAGCCTTCTGAGAGCCAGTCAGTGCCACATCCACTCCCCACTCATCCATACGGAAATCAAGTGCACAGATTGAAGACACTCCATCCACCAGGAGCAGAGCCGGGTGGCGGTAATCATCTGCACTCCAACCACACAAACAAAAACAAAAAACCCCTCATTTTCAGGTACCAAGATAAGATACAAAAGAAATGAATTGCAAGTTGTATAGTCCTGTATGTGACACTCACCGAGAATCTTTCTGACCTTGGCCAAGTTGTTGGTGACACCAGTGGCGGTCTCATTGTGAACGATGCAAATCGCCTTGATGGTATGCGAAGGGTCAGCAGCAAGCTTAGCTGCGAGGACATCGAGCTTGGCACCTTCACCCCAATCGCTCTCCACAACATCAACATCGAAGCCCAGGCGCTTCTGCTGATCAACCCACAGCAGGCTGAACTGGCCAATCAGGAACGAAATCGTCTTGTCCCCTGGCGACAGCGTGTTGGTGAGAGCACTCTCCCATGCCCCCGTACCTTTAAGGGAAAGCCAAAACCAAACATTTGGGTTATGAACTTATGATCAATATGATGACAATTATATTCCATTTCCAACAGCAGACAAAAGTTGTATGATTTTTTTACCGGTGGTGGGGAAGAGGAAGGGAGTGCCGGTAGTGGTCTTGAAGATCTTCTTGACGTCCTCGAGGAGTGTCTTGGTGAGAGCAGGGACGGCAGGGGAGCGGTAATCCTCGTTGTTTCGGTTCATGGCGCGAAGGACCGGCTCCGGGATGTTGACCGGACCGGGGACGAACAGGTGGTTCCTGCCGGGTGCATATGTGTAATCCATGTTTTTCACAGAGTAATTAATGTCTTTCAGGGCTCACTCTCCTTCCGGCCCTGCCAAAATGAGCAGCGAAATCAGTACACTTGATGCAGTGGAAAGAAGCGATCTGTGAAATGATAATCTGAAGTGGGGAACAATCACCACAGAAATGACAACAAAACCATCAGAGCAAAAAGTTCTTTGCTTCTTCTTCTCTTTTTTGGGTTTGAAGTTGACAGGATCCAGAGTTTACGTAAAACCGCAGTAACTACTTATTATGGAAGATCTCCCTCCGTCACCATTCATTAACAAAAAAGAAAAATCACGAGTAAGCAATATCAGCCTATGACTCTGACGTTTCAGGAACTGCGTCCAGAAAGAAGAAACAAAAACGCTAGCCACTAAGAACTCGTAGTAATCTATGAAACTTGATAAGCCAGCCACGTGAGTCGTGACATCCAATTCACAAACATTTTCTGACGTGGGCGATGTTAGGAAAATATGATTAATAGATAGAATATTATTAAGCTTCATCTATACGTAAAATATCCATATTTCATCCCCCAGAAAACCAATCTCAACTTTTGATGAATTAAGTATTTCATCCTTTTCGCTGTGGAAGTTATATATTTAAGTTGTGGCTCTTAGATTTTTTCTTTTTTTTTTTCAACTTCCAGTGAAAAATGTAACACTTGGTTCTGATAATGCTAGATTATATGTAGGAAGCGGTTGGTATTATGGAGATCACAAAATGAACAAGTCAAAAAGCCTGCTCTCCTCTCGAGTCCAAATATGTCCGATGATAATAATATATCTTTCCGCTCGGTCCTTGTTTGTACAAAGAAGAATCATGGAGGAAAATAGACGATCGGCTTTAGCGAAACAAAAGGATCAACAACAATACGTGTATGGTTCCATAACAGGAAGAAGAAAAAAAAAAAAGTTTTACGATCGACGGTACATGGAAACATGACGGAGTAAGGCCGACGACGACGAGGAGCAGAAAAAGCACACAGCCAACACAGCAAGTGACATGCACAACATTAAGTTAGATAGAAGAGTGGGAAGAACGGCGGCGTACCTATCGCCCGGGAATTCTCCGGCGACCGATGTGCGTGTTTTGGCGAGGGGCAAGCAATACACAAGACAAAGAGTGATATATTTAAACAAGGCCAAACGGTAGAGAACGGAGGAGATGGAAGTTGGGGATTTCTTTTCTATATGTAAAAAGGAAAGGAAAGGGAAGAAAGAACCACAAGCCTTCTACTACACTAATCCAACAAAAGTGGGGCCTACTCTCTCCCTCCCCTTGGCAAGCAAGATCTCTCACTTGGGATAAGAATTTACCCGCGATTGGTCTCCTGCGGCTACCATCAATCCAACCATATACACAAAATACAAATACTACAACGACATGCAACCTGTTTCTGCTCTTCAGAATTTTTAACCGTTTACCACCTGACCTGAGGTGAATGCATCGTGAAATCAAGACTAGTGTATCGTAGGCACGTACTTCACCTTCCAATATCAGACTTGTGCCGCGGGCCTGTCACAAATCCTAGTAGACGTTACGTTATATCGACATGAAAATTGTCCACAAAAAAAAGGTGATGTTTGTGACACATAAATCATACTGGTGTTAGTTCAAACCCAATCACATCTCCCCAACATGGTAGTGGACTGGTGGTGATACGTTCAAAAAAGTTGAATGGGGTCTAAAGGCCTCAGTAGCTCATTTCCTAATAAGGTGGAAACAAAAGCAAAGAAGAAAAGAAGATGCAGATAAACAGAATCACGAAAAAGCAACCGTGTAAATTAGCACAACATAATTGACTAATTACAAAGGTAAACTACAACAATAATCAGGATGTAAAAGTAAAACCCTAATCTACCCAATGTGAAAACAAAAGGAGAGAGGGAATCGTGGAACAAAGATCGATCAACATGAGGTAGAGAAAGCAACTGGGGAAGATAACGTGATAACGGTGTGTGTATCAGCCACACCCTCCATCGCGGGAACTAACCACCACACATAGACACAGCAACACTAGCAGCCAGCCAACACCTGTTTTTTCTGATAGTTGCTGATTCCTCCTCCCCCCACTTTTTTGTTGTTTAGCAATAGGGGCATATATGGCCTCTTTGTCTCCCCAAGCTAGTTATCCATACTCTGAGGCTTCCAAGTTCTAACCTATTCTATTCTCTTCCTCCCACTCTCTCCACTGATTCCCAGGCCCACCTTTTTTGTTTATTCCCATAATAAAATATCAAGTTGGCTAAAACTGCAGTGCATTGCATTGCATGCCTTCTTGTACACATTCTAACCACACACAACTTAAAGCACAAAACACCAAACAAGCAATGCTTAATACGAGTAAGCTTGGTAGCAAAACAACACACTCCTCTTCTAGCAGGTCACACCATAATACTCTTCCTGAATTTGTCAGGTCTCGGTTTATATTTGTCTCGACAGACTTCTACTCTCATTCATTCCTCATTCACAAGGAAGACTCGACCCGAAGTTAACGACCAGATTGTTAAATAACTTGGAGCAAACCAATGCAACTAAAGTGTATATGGGGATATGGAAAGGGAAGGGGTACCTCTTTAGTAACCGATCGATGTGTGCTCGACCAGGCTCTGCTTACGGAACACAAGCCGGAAGCAGCACAGCAGCACCAGGTCAGCTGCATCACAGAGTTGGCAGCCTTATCCTTGGCCTAGAAGCAATTCACCACTGCATGGACTTCAAAGAAGATGTACAATTGTCAGTAACTCGGTGCATCAGATTCCATTCATAAATCATAACACAACATGACAACATCAGATACCAAAAAGGCTAGGGATATAATTACAGAAAGAGAGAGGGAGAGGACGGGGATTCATTCAGCCATTCATCCAGGTGGTAGATAAAAATGAGCTACTACTCTTCAAAATGGCACAAAATTGATAAAATGTACAACTTTTCTCCCATTAAATCATCATACATGTAAACTGTTTTCAGGCTACTCACTTCTCTGTGTTCCAGATCAAAGTGAGGAGTTACTAATCTCTTTTTCTAAACTCTTTACTATGTATGTAAAAACAAATCAATCCTCCATCACAGATTCTCTACCAAGAACTAGAACTGTCGCGCAAGCAAAACTGTTTCCTCCTGCTTATACGTCAAACCGACTATCAGATTTCTTCCCCCATCCAACCAGCCACCTTTCACAGTTTATGCCAGTTGCCCATCTCGCGGATATCTTCGGTATCAGCAACAAAAGAACCACGAGCAGTGAGCTCCAAAGGTTTATTTAATAGAGTGAAAAAGAATAGCACGGCCAGTCCACCAAACGGCCGATGCAGTGTCCCCCAGTGGCTGAGCTTGTAATAATGTGACCAAAGAGGAATGCCCATGGGGGCATGATTGGTCTTTCACTTGAATTCTCATCATTCCGTCAAGCACTTGGGCTTAGTTTGTACCCTGACAGGAAGTTCTTTTCATCTTGGAGGAAAACCAGCTTGCCGCATTCTGTAAGGCCTCCCATTACTGAGCTGCCTATTATCAGTTGGTGCTGCACCAAGGATCCCCAATGAATTAGGGTCAACTACACGGTTGCCATTAGTATTCATCAACCGTGGTTGAGCTTGGGGGAGGGTATGCTGTGCTTGTAAAGGTATATCAGCCTCAGCTCTTCTCCGTCTTTTCCATGCTTCGAATTTCGCAGTGTCGAGACCTTTTGGAGTAGGATCGGACAATTGATAACCAGATTTCTGCCCTCTCTGCCTATCAGCATGACCTGAAAATTGAGGGAAATAATTTGACGAATCTCCATCTCCATTCATATACGAGGGTCCCACCCCTGCCTCCTCATCCAGCTCCTTTTTCAGTTTCGAGTATGTCTGTTCGAGTCTCTCTCCGGATAGATTTGAATAGGTTGAAACATATTTCCACAGCCTCATTGCTAATCCTGAAAAGAACATTCATTTCCAGAATTAAATAAATGACTAATAACTGAAGCTGAGGTAACAAAGGTTAATAAGCAACTAATTTAAGCAAAAGAAAAACGTACTATCTGGCTTATAAAGGTCTTCGTATTCTGATATTATTTGGTCGATTCTTCTTCCAATTATCAGCAAATAGTTCCGGATCTTTGAGAGTACCTGGATAAAATGGTTCAAGTCGAATGTAACAAGTGAGATGTAACATTCACATGAAACAGAATTACCACAATCAATTCCACAGCACACCTTTTCCTTTGGGAGGTCCGCACTGGTAGTCTGCAGTCTGTGGAGTCGCTTTAACGTTTTTATCTCATCAACCATGACATCATGGCACCACTCAGTCCATTTCATTTGCTTAAATTGCACGCTAAGTTCCTCATTATCTGACATCTCACCTTCCTCTTTCACTAGCGGCTCAACTCTCTGTTGTGGTTTCTGATTTTGCCTATTCCTGCTGCTATGGGTATTATTAACTGTGCCGAAATTAGGTTTCACCTTCTTGTCCTTCATTCGAAGTGCTGAAGAATTTACGAGAGGCCCAGTTTCCTTCTTAGAAGCCTTCCGTCCTACTTTAACCTTGGCATTCTTACCACCGGCAGCTGCAAGTTCCTGATACAGAAAGAAAGCATAGACTACAAAATTTTAGATACGACATGAGAAACATAACTAGATAAAACATATTCTATAGTTTAGCAAAATATTGACACCAGTTTCAGTCTTAACCCATAAAATTATGCAGGAACATAACACACTCCAACCCATGAGCACCGGAAGAGTCCGGGAGTCACGAACCGCTCAGTACGATAAGGGCAAAGGTTATGCACACAGTTCAATACATTACAAGGTGAAGAAGCAACAGTGAAAACTAACAATAAGGAGGGAAGATATGTAGCAAGGCAGTCCCTCGTCCAGTAACCACATTCATTTTGCACATCTAACAGATTTCAGACTCACCATCTCTAAGAGAGCATTAGCCCGGTCCCTCAAATTAGGGGCACGAGGAAGAAATGTCTCATGGTGTTGGAGTTCTGCTGGGGCGATCTTCTTGGAGAGGCAAAGCCTTTCATCTAACCTTATCTTCTCCCAGTTACCAAACCCATGGTGATATATGCCCAGAAGCAATCTTGCATCATCAACTGAGGAAACAGGCACACAAATCACTCCACATACGAACAATTGCCAACAACTTCATAAGACGGTGACTGAAAATTGAATGAAACATACTCTGATTCCAGCCACAGCCCTTGGACCAGTTTGAAGGTTTTAGGTCTGACAACACACGGAATTGTGCAACAGGATTCTCATAACGGTTTATTCGTTTTTCCAGTAGCTGCAGTTCTTGAACACGAGTGAGCAAATCGTTGGCCTTCACCGAAACACCAAAAAAATCTAACAATGGTCCCTACACGAGAATGCATTGACAGTGTTAGCCCCAACCTTAAAAAAGATTCAATAAAAACAGAAGGTGATACACCAAAAGGTGGCATGAGCTGTGGCAAAAAACGAAGACAAGAAAAAATTAATGAGGCACCTTCAAAGTAACCAACCTTTGGGTCCATACTTTCTACTTCACTAGCCTCTTTGCAACCATCTACCAAGGCATCGAAAAGCTCAATCTGTGCATCTTGTGGAGCTGCTGCAAAGGCTCCGCCGACTTCAGCAGCTATCAAATCAAGTTGGCTAAGATTCCCGAATTTCATTACCTGTCCCGGAATATTTACCAGAAAAATAATCAGTTTGAAAATACTAGATATACTTGACAAACTATACATCATTAACAAACTATACAGCATTTTAATGAATGCTAGATATACTTGACAATGCTCCAGAGAAGTGCTTTGAATTATTCAGATAGATGTCCAGAAAAGCCATACACCCGCCAAGTTATTAGTAGCAGAAATTCCAAGGGTTTATATAAGCCAGCTCAGTCATTGTCAAACAAAAGGGATCTTATAATTCTCAGCTGAGTTCAACCAATGTATATTTCCTACAATAAACGAATACCACAGCACTTTAACAATAGCTCTTATGACTGACCCTAGGAGACTAGCACATCCTCCATTGAACCCTAAAATTCATTTTCTGGAACCTATTTGAACTGCCACAGAAAACCATGCATCTAATTTAACGCTTTTGACTTCACTAAAAAGCAACAAATTCAGCTGTTACCGCCCCTTGTGCAGCACAAGGATTCAGAATCAGATACTGGCATAAAGCAAGATGTCTCTAAAGACAACTACGAGCATACCGCGCGAGAAAAGCGTAACGCATCCCTCTTAGACAGATTCCCATACGACCAATCTCTGACTTGAGCAGAAGCTCCATCAATCATTGACACCAATGGGGCAGAATGATCTGCTGCTTTTCTACGCTTCTGTGCTCTTTCCTGCGGTTCTGGTGGCTCAGAAGCTTTCTTTTTCCGTTTGCTACTTCTCTCGGCTGGGTCAGTCTCAGCATAACTCTTCGTATTTCTTGCAGCACGCGGAGCTAAAGCATTCTGGAAACCAGGGAACGTAATGAGTCAACAACTCTACTTCAGGATAAAATTTCCAATTCCAAAATTTTATGATGACATAAATGGTAATCATAAGGCAAATGGATGATGTCAAAAGCAACATCCAGAAACTGGGAATGAAGACAAACACAATCCTAAGAAGACAGAAATGAGAAATCTGCTGCTGCAGGTGACAACTGTATCTAGGAACACATGTAAATGGACAGGGCCCCAACCCTAGCAGGAAAACAACCTAATATGAGTTGAAACTCATAAAGCATGTTTAGTTGAAATAAATAAATAAATAAATAAATAAATAATACATTGTACTAAACATTTTGTTATTCACTGACCAACTAGATTCCTTTGACCGAATGCACCGAATCACATTTCCCTGTCAGAAATGTTCAATAATAGGCTTCTGAAAGGCATCACAAGATAGGTCGTATAGTCAGAATCTTGACCATAGGCATCATTTTCTTAGCTCATTCTATTCAATGTTATAATATAACATATTTATTTCAGCTTTTTCAGTCAAACAGTGTCCCTATAGTAAGTGACCATTGAGAAGCACAATATCCTCGAGGTGATTTAAAATGACTTAAGTGTGAGCATGCCAACTATTTTAAAGTTTTAGATTGTCATTTTATACATGCTTAGAGTCTTAACACTTAAATGGACACTCTAAATTGTCTCTGTCATTAATAATATTGTGTAAGAGTCGGCAACTGAAAAATCAGATGCATGTATAAAAGGCAAATATGTGAGAGATCATACTTCAGCATCAGCTACAGCATCTGGTTTTATCCACCTACTCCAGAAACTTGTATCATCTTCCGCAGAACCAAAATTAGCAACCTGGAGATTATCAGCAGAAAATTTATTGCATGGTTAATCTGAAAGCATAAATATGTTGTACATCAAGTTAACAAGGCAGCAAAGCAAAAAAACTAAGCATTAGATGCAGAAGAAATCAAACATGAATATCTTCTGTATAAAGGGTCTTGCCTTAAATGCACTCAACAGTTCATGCCCTTCCTCTTGTTCACCTTCCTTCTCTTCAACCTTCTCTGCTCTTTCCAGGATTTCATCAATATCCATGCTTAAGAGCCTTTTCTTGTTTTCTTCATCACTTCTTTCTTCTTTAAAGAGTTCCTCAGCCCCAAACCGCAAAATTGCAGACAGTTCATTCTGCAGATGTGGGAATAAGAACTTATTAATGTTGATAGACAGCCGCCAAGTGTACAAGTCTGTTCCAAGTTCCAACATATCCTTACTTTGTCAAAATAACTTCCCTTCTTTGCTTCTTTCTTTTCCAATCTCCCCTCAGCATTCAGCTTTTGGATAACCAAATGGTCAAGAACCTATAAAAGATGTCATGAACCTTGTAAGATAGTAACCCATACACATGTACACTACTTACGCACATGCATAGATGGAATAAGCCAAGAACGAGAAAGGAAATAGTGAAGGATAATGGAGTTCAACATAATATAAGCACACTACCATTTTCTTTTTAGCTCGCTCGAGGATATCCTCCTCAACACTTTTGCTTGTCACAAATCTATAGATGTTAACAACTTCTTGTTGTCCAATTCTGTGAGCTCTACTCATAGCCTGTAAATGACAACGTAGCAAGTTACGCTTGAAACATTCAGTAAAAGAAGGCTAATGGCACAACCTATGAAAGGAGGAGAAATAAGAATTTGAGATGCGATCCAAATCTAGACCTGTAAGTCGTTTTGTGGATTCCAATCTGAATCAAATATTATAACTGTGTCAGCCGTTGCAAGGTTTATACCAAGACCACCCGCCCTAGTTGATAGAAGAAAGCAGAAATCATCACTTCCAGGTGCATTAAAATGCTCCATTGCCTGATGACGCAACTCGGCCTTGGTACTCCCATCAAGCCTCTGAAATTGAAACCCTCTGTGTGACATATACTCGGCAAGTATGTCCAGCATTCTGACCATCTGCAGCAGCTCAGTCAAGGCTCAGCTCATTAACAAGTTAAGATCAAACAATAAATCTCAAATTGATAAGCATAATCAAACAATATACAAATGCAGCATTTTAGTACACCACACCGCTTCAGCTTTGACCATAGGAATCAAAAAACAGACAGAGGGTAGGACATAGACAGCACCCAAGTCACAAGAGGAATGCAAAAAGAAGAGGCAGAATAGAAATGTAAAGGTCCGAGTACATATAAGCTCAAAACATACTAACACAATAGAAACGAACCTGTGAAAAAATCAGAACACGATGTTTTGTCTCGTGCAATCGGACAAGCAATTTGTCAAGTATTACTAGCTTTCCACTGCTCAAGATAATTCTCTCCAATTTGCTTCCATCATCAAAGGTATCACCCCCATAACCATGGTCAGCACTTTCAAAGAGAAAGGGATGATTACAACATTTCTTCAACTCCACCACAATGTTAAGAAGTGACACCTGAAAATATGAAGAACAGAAATTGAGTAATACATGGCAATTTTCGGACAGAAATTACTAGAGGATAGCATGACTGACATGCCTAAGGTTTCCCCCTGAGACATTCAAGGCTTACTATTACTAACCATCAAAAGCAATTTTAATATCATGAAATAATTACAGATTAGCAAAAACATGCAACCGCCAAGAAGGGGCAGCACAGGGTAACTCTAAAAATAGCTGACACACGACAAGTAGCAACCTGATTTCCACGAACTCCTTTGTTTAAGTCATGGAAGTTGCGTTCCAAGATCCATTTATAGTACCTAAGCAACAGAAAGAAAAAGGGTTCACAAACTAAGCTGGAAGCATGATTATGCAACTGTATCAAGACAGCAGTACTCACTGTTTCTGTAGAGGGGACATTTCCACCCTCAAAATACGCTCAATTTTTGGAGGCAAAGATTTCTCCACGTCTTTAATGACTCTTCTGAGGATATGGGGCCTCAATTCCATATGCAGATTAGCAAGCTACAAAAATGACAAATTAGCCCAAATAAATGGAGCCAATGGAACCTTGCCTTCAGAGCAGTGGCAAATGGTCAGACGACATTTCCATGCATTTATTCATACCTCATTTTCATTGAATGAACTAAGATTCTTGTAGTTCTGGACAAAATCATCTTTGTTTTTGAATTTATCTGGATCAAGGAAATGCAGCAAAGCCCTGGTATATTTGGACATCAAAACAATATTCTGTTTAGAAATGAAACATATAATTATTTTGGTATAATAGAGGAATGACACATCAGATAACAAAGAAAGAAGAACATGTCAACCAGAACCAAGCAGTGAAGTCCTTCAGTACATTACGTGCCAACAAATTATATCTTTAATTCAATAAACAGTCATGAGGCCAGTGTATATACCAAACAATTTCAACTATTTTGTTGTGATATGACACAGCAGAAGACAATAAAGGATTATTTAGTAAATTACGCATGCTATCATTCACGCTCAAATTTCAAAACGAAGAAACGTATTATGGAAACCAGAAAAACAAATAGTTATACTTTCTTTGACATGTAAAGAAAAGAAAAGCAAAGAAAGAGAAATACCCCCACAAACGAGCAACACAGTTCATAATCAATAAGATCATTTTTCAGGATTCATGTTGGAGTTAACTAATACATTTAACAGACACGCTTCGACTGAGAGCTGAAAACAAAACCATTTGTTCTAACATGTCAATACCATAGTTCTTCCACACTGTTTTGCAGTGGAGTGCCAGTGATCAGCAACTTGTTTTTGGTACTGAATTCCTGAGGGGAAAAATAGTTCATTATGGCAAATACAAATGAATGGGCAACACACTATTGAACAATAAAGATAACTATTTGGATATTGGTCTTACAGAGAGAGTCGTGTACAGCTGCGCCTCACTATTCTTTAACCTGTGAGCTTCATCAACCATCATATAGTTCCATTTGATCTTTGACAGCACTGCTTTGTCTTTCAGAACAACTTCATATGTGGTCAACAGTGCATTAAACTTTGCTGGCCTACCAACTTTCTTCTCATTGTGGAACTCATATTGTTGGCAAACCTGTGTCAGTCCAAGAATTCGCAAGAACAAATCATAAATAGCACCTTGACCAGGAAGAGATAAACTACACCAAACTAGAAGAGAAAATACAGAATTGAGAGACACAACTACAATCATGACTCCCCAAAATCCCTGAAGCTGTAGTATTTACTATTTAGATATCCCAATTTATATTACACAGCTTGTTGTTGTTCTAACGTGCGGTAGAAGGAACAATGTCAATCTATTGTCAGACTGTCAAGTGTCAACTAGGGGAACTGATTACTTCATCCAGGGCCCTACGTATCCAGACATCTTATCCGCAGCAAGAACATGGATCTAGGTTTCCACACATCATATGTTTACCAAGAACAACAAATCCTATAATAGCCAGGCGACCGGAAGTATGAAGTATGACGCTGAAACTTCTTCCAGAAATATTAATTCAGAGCAATTACTGAAATAATGAAATTGTAATAGCCACCCGGTTGAAACAAAATAGAATTTGCTGCATTAAAAACAAGCAAAACCTTACCTCTCGGCTGGCACGCGTACCAACGTATACTATTATGTTCATATCTGGAAGCCACTTTCTAAATTCTTTCGCCCAGTTAGATAGTGTGGACAAAGGCACAATAACAAGAAATGGGCCAGGGATCTGCTGAGCATACTGCAGGACAAAAAGAGTTATGTTTACACAAGTTAAAGAAATATGCAGATCAAATTCAGAAGGTCAACTGAAAGGCATACCTGAAGAAACCCAAGCATTGAAACTGACTGCACCGTTTTCCCAAGACCCATCTCATCAGCTAGAATGACATTCGTATCATTTCTCCAGCTGTTCAAGTATAATGGAGAAGATTATAAATGTGTTGAGGTGAAAACCCAAATTCATATTCCACTTAATCCATCAATGTAAAATAATACCTGTTCACAAGAAAATTCAAGCCCTCCAGCTGATAATCACGAAGCTTTCCTCCTCTCAACCATTCAGGCTGCTCATCAAGCTTTCTCAAGCTTGCTACACATAACAATAAATCCATAATTATAATCAGAAGATAAGAGCATCAATGATCACCACTTACAATTTTAAAAACTACAGAAGATCATTAACTAGGCTCGAGCATCAATTAATAGTTACGCAAGCTTAGGGCGAAGGTATGAGGAATGGCTCTGTAAATGCAATTGCACACCTTTGCCTTTCCTCCGCTGAAAATCCACCATTTTCCCTTGTACAGCTGCAATTGCCGCCTCACGTGCCTGCGCGGCAAAAGAGAAGTAATGGACCAAACTGCTTCAGGGAAGTAAAAGGGAAGCGATGGCCAAGCTATTCCAGAACAAGCATCACTCGTGAGTTACTGGCATAGTACCTTATATTCATCTATCGCATCTTGAGCAAATGCAATGTCGACATCTTTTTCCCTACAATGCAAGGATTTCAGCAATCAAGTAAGAACCAATACCAATGCATCAAACAATAGATTATTATGAAAATAGTAGCAAAAAAATTGTATACCATCGCACAAAACTATTTGCACAAGATATAATTTGCAAAGGTAATAAACCAAAAGAAACGTGAAGGAGAAAGAAATAAAATTGCCAGAAATGCAAGCTACATGGAATCTAACATAAGTTACCAGGTGGCCTCAGCATAAGAGAGTCCTTGCCACTTGACTAGATACTCCGGTATAATATTACCAGAGCTATCTTTGCTTATTCGGTCAGAAACAACTCTTTCCACCTGACATGAAAAGATAATTGTGATAGAATTGAGATCAACAGATGCCGATGCAACAACAAAGAAATGGTTGAAGATTCCAGGAAAAAAGTAAAACCTGACTATTTTGTTTTATAAGATCCAAATCCATTTCCCTGCTCACATCGTTGACCTCAATCTGAATACACAAAAAATAAAAACAGAAAGAAAAAGCATCGGTAAGAAACTGGTGCACCAATCATCAGAGCCCCAAGTAAATTGAAAAAGCAACAAAACTGAAGCTATCCAGCCATCAAAACTATTCACAGAGGCCCTTGCCCAAAGTACAACCAAGACAAGAACCTAGGAAGCCACAAGTTGATAGTCATCTATACAGCCATTGCTCTGAGCTTTAGAATAACAATAACATCGAGAAACAAACACTCGCACGGCATGAGGGGGAGCTCAAAAAATAACGAGAATTGGTGCCGTGGTAGTGCTACGAGACGCTCAGCTCAAATCTGTTGCACGAGAGCCCTCAACAACATGAATATTTTCATAATAACAAAAACAAGAAGGACAACAAAAAAACTCAGAAGAGGAGATTCCAACCATCATAATAAGTCATACGACCACGTGAGAATCTATAGACTACTTGATAGAATTATACTTCACCCAACCGTAAGTCTCCAATATTTTTAGAAGGCATATCTCCCTTCTAGACATTTCAGCAATTCTTACATCAGAGATGAGAGTTTTCAAACAAACATGAAATAAGATTACCTCTTCACGCGAAAGCATCCTCCGATACCTGATATCTTCTACTACTTTTTTGGTATAGTTCAGCACCTTCTTAAAACCGCTGAGCTGGAAAGCCAATATCAGTCAAACAGCAGGAACAGATTCAAAGGAACTGTTAGACTTGGACGTAAATATTATCAATGATGGCTAGATATGATCACCAAAAAATAAAAACTCATACATTTTGTAGTTCAAAGAAAGATTTCCACTGACAATGCAAATGTGACTGTCCTTTCCACTTTATCAAGAACTCCACTTCATTCCAATCTGGCTCGGAAGTGAAAAGGTGAGTTGCAAGAACAGGTTCTGCTGATTTATTCTTCCTAAGGGCATCTTCAGCCATTCCCTTTGGCTGATGCCACAACACCTTTTCTATGGAATCTCCATCTTCTTCCTCAATTTCCTCCTAGAATTTAACACATAAAGGAAGAATAAGAAAAGAATCCACAAGAAAATTCAATACATTCCAGTTCAAGATGCCTCCAAAAGACAGCATAAAAGTTCACTTATAGGCAAGAGCACCAAGAATAAAAATAATACTTCAAGGACACCGAGTATATGAAAACAAGCTTATCCATCTTGGAAATATTAGACAATGACAGATACCATTCTACAAAGTTCTATAATCTACACAGGAAGCCAACCTTTTGAGATTTGTTCTTCTTTGTCTCATCGATTTCTTCACTTTCATCACTTTCAACGTATGACACCTTCCGGACTGACCTACCAGAACTACGCACTTCATTGTTTCGTCCACTAGTATGTGCCAACATAGTGGAGCGAGCATTAGACTTCCGAATATTTGCTCTTCTAGTCAGACTCTTAAAGTCTTCATCACTCTCACTCTCGGAATCCTCAGCAGAGAACTCATCCTCTTCATATGATGATTTGCCTCTTCTAGGCCGTGCTTGAGTGTGTGTGGGCCTGCGCTCTCTTGCAGATTTTGCAGAACGTCCACCATTACCCCGTTGTCTTCCCTTAGGCCTTTTTGTCTTATAAAAATCATCATCGTCATCATCATCTGAGACATCCAAATCGTCATCAGCATCATCCGAGTCAGCACCCCAGTCTTTATCCTAGGATCATCAGAGAAGAATTTATCATTATGTTCCACAGAAGAAAAACTTCAAGAATCAACAAAACAATAGGAGATGCAATATGCAAGCTTTCCAGCACGGAGCAACAAGCAATTGAACACGAAGTTTCATTAAAGAAAGATGACAGATCTTGAATAAAAAAAAGAAGAGCATGCACACCAATAAGTAAGAAAAATAGCAAACCCCAGTGAGCGACAATAGTCGAGGAATTCAAACTGATGATCATATATACGTCTAATCTTAGAAATAGAACCCCAATCCGCGTAAACTTCTAGAACTGGGATCAGGTTGATTTCCAAGTTTCTCACATCATAAAATCTTTGAATATCCAGCACTTATATTCCAACCCACCAATGCACATGCAAGGAATAGAAATATCAAGCAATTATAACCCAACCACCAATGTTTAGGTACTAAACATGGAAACAGGTTTACAATTAATGCCAATGAAGCATCACTAAAGTTGATTTTATCTTCACCCAATATATCCAAATAGATAAGTTCCTAGACAGTAATTGCAAAACTGCAATTACATAGCGCCAACTGATCATCCAAAATGAAAAATATAAACAAAGAACGAAAATTTGATATATCTAAAGGAAAAGACAACATAGAATTGATTGCTCAATTGCTTCAAAAAAAAAATATTGCTCTAAAGGAAAGGACATTTACATATTAAGGCACATAACAGAAGAAAATTCCATATGGTTCAAATGTGCGATCCATATCTTCAAAATGCAAATCAAAGCAACTCCCCATAAACCTGGGGTTCATATAATTCACTTTGCCAACTTCTAAGCCTGGTGCATACTGCAACTGAATAAACTCATTTCCGCATCAACATACAGGGTCGTTAATATTTCATGCATGGTAATTGGTTCAATCACAAGTTGATTATCATAACAATTAACAACTAGCATATAGCATAGGTCACATAAGAACTAAGAAGTGGCAGACGAGAAATAGGAATCAAAATGTAAGCTATGAGAATGAAAGTGATGCTGACCTTTTTCCCTGGACGAACACTAGTGCCACCATAATTTGGGTCAAAGTCAACATCCTCTGGGTCGTCTTCTGCAATAAATAAATAAATAAATTAGGTTTAGTCCAAGCTCCCAGCGCATCAGCTTTTCCACAAACAGAGTTATACTGAAGCACAATTTTGCATGACAAGCCCAGTAAGATTACAAGAGAATGTAAGCAGTTACCATCGTCCTCTTCCTCATAATCAGCATCACCCTCATCATTGTCATCATCTCTATTATTCCGCATAGCTCTCGAGCTCCTGGACGAATTGTTATTGACAGGCGCAGGCTTAGACGGTTGCCTAGAATTCAGACCAGCTGAATTGCTAAAACCCTTAAAGTGAGTCAAATCAGTTGGATCTTCCCCATCCTGCTCGTAATATTCATCCGACAACATCTCATCAGCAGGAACATCATAATGTCCCTTCAAATCTCTATGCGATTCTTTTGCCTCTTCATCATACTCTGATTCTAACCTGTCATCCTCGCCATCTGATACATTATCTTCTGACCCCTCGACGTGCTTAAAGTCTGATTTTGAGTCCTGCCCCGAATCAGATACCCCCTGAGCACTCATAGGTCGGCAATCTTTCCAAAAACTTGAACCCCATTTCCCAGACACATTTCCCTTTCCAGAAGAAGGCTGAAAATGTGAATTACTTGCACCAGCTTCATGGTCAGGAGCTCCATCATCCAGCACCCTACTCTCCCCTAGTTCAGTCTCACTTTCATACCGTGGATCGATGTTCATATCGAATTCTCTTTCACTGGAAGTCCCATCAACATCCTCGCTTCCAACCATTCTACCAGGATTCTGCCCCTTTTCTTCAGCTCTGTTTGAGATTGTTTCAGCAGAATAGTTCCTAAAGAAGGCCATTGTCGACCATGGATCCTATATGATAATTACTCCACACGTAAATTAAACTATCTTGAAGATCCAAAACCTGATCATCAAATACAAGAATAAGTGGCTTCAGATAGAAGGCAATGACAGGAGAGCAAGATGAACTACGTTTGCTTCTTAGTCCATCAATTCAGAAGGTATGTAGAACATTAGCGTTTGCAATAGCTTCACATAAGAGGGCAAGAGAAAGAGAGTAAATACTCTGTGGGTCAGCCGGCACAAAAATGCAGAAAAGCTTGAAAACATCTCGAAGGATTGGATACGAAAGACAAACGTTAGGATGGACATTGACTTCTTGAGATCAGAATCAACAGCAGCAGACTAGTAAATCACAGAACAAGTGCTCGAGAAGTGGAAACGAAGTGAGAACTGGAGCAATCATGAGAACTACTGTACGTCACACTGACGACCGAATTTGGCGCAAAATTCAATCGCCACGTAAATTGCATCGATCCCAGGGGACAAAAGGCTCGCTACCGTATCACATAAAGGATAAAATCACATCAAACACAGCAAGCTGCAGATCCACTAGCTAACAAGCAATTCCAAATGAAACAAACACCTGAGGACTCCCAAAACCCAATCCCGAAACCCTAATGTCGCACAGCGACCCCAAATTCGGAATCGGAAACCCTAAATTGACGACAATCGACAGAAAATGCAAAAATCCGGACGCGGAAATGCAAACGGATGATTGAACGCGAGGCTGACGTTCCTCGGACGACGAAAGTGGACGGAGGCGTCCTAATTAGGTCAAATGACTCCAAGGAAAACGAGAGAGCGGGACAGTTTGATGATTGCGCACACCTTTGAATCGCCGGTGAGGCAATCGGCCGGCAGGCGAGGAAGGAATTTGGGAAAGGATGGCGAAACGACGTCGCGTTTTTCGGTTGGTCTGAGTCTCGGTTTTTCGGCTTCGTTTAAAAAAACTTCGCCGCGAGTTTCGATGTCGGGGATCGGGATGGAGAATCGGCGGCGAAGGTGGTGTGGGCTGGGTATAGGTATGCCGGTGGGATGACGTTGACAATGTTTTCCGGCTGGAAGGGGAGGCGGGGGGGGAAGAAGACGAGGGGGTGGCGATTTCGGATTAATCGTGGATTGGCAGAGGAAAGGAGGAAAATACGGGAAATTAGAAAATTAGAAAAAGAGGAGAGGGCGCTGTGTTATGTTATGTGTGTAATTGACAAATTGTTTCTCAATCGAGAGAGAATACTTTTCTCGTTTTCTTTACCTTTGTGCCCTTTGGAGATGGCTGTCGAAAAGCAGAAATTACAGGTCCCGTTTGGGGATTTAAACGACGTTCTGAAAGGAATCAGAAACGTGTTTGTTTCTAATGAGACCTTTTTGGATTTTTTTCTTTTCAGTCCCTCTATTTTATTTTTATTTCACTAAACTAAAAATGTACATTCATCGTGTCGAACCCTATATACTCTACACAAGATCACATTTTCCTACCTGAGGCGTCTTGCAAACTATCCCAATGTGACATTATTTAGTTCAGGTTCGGATTAATCTGACGATGGAAAAACATGTAGAGATAATTGTTTTGGAGGAGCCAAGCAAGATTTAATAAAATTTACCAAAAACATATTATTTATTAAGAAAGCAATTTACCTTATACTAAGAGGCTAGTATAAGAACACGTTTGGTAAGGAAAGATGAAGAGTCGTTAGAGATCATGTCATCATGATGACTATTGGTTGAACAAGATGGTTCGAAGAAGAAGAAGAGTTTCATAGTTTGTCGAGGTTAGGGCATCGCCTCTGAATGACTTTACTCCACGACCCACAACCCCACAAGGTTTCAGAAGTGTAAGATAGTAAAATCGAGCTAGCTAAGTCGTAAAGTTGCAAGGATGCAGAATTGCTCTGCAATCACATCATATGATTCACATAATTGCTAACCCACATCACCGAGATTTTTTATGGTACTGGCAAACCACAAGGATGAAATGTTGTTCCGTGAACTTGCAAGGTTGCAAAGTGCAATGTTGCATAGCTGAACTTCATAGGGTTGCAAGATTCCTCCAATTCTATTAAGATGCTATGGCTAGTCGTTTGGAAGTTGGGATTTCAGATGATGTATTTGGCCAATACATGTAATCGGAAGAATTCGTCATTTTTTTGTCTTAAAAAGAAACAGAATACTTGTATTTGAACAACAGATGGGACCACTAGAATCATTCATTATGAATGATTGTAAATCTCAGCTTTTAGCAGAGATTGTGTTTGAGGTATTGTTAGCTTACTTTTTCTTCCTTATGCTTTGAGGGACCACCAAAATCATTCAATCTCCAAACAATGTATTTTTCAAATTCATACATTGAAACAATACATCTAATTATAATACATACATTGATTAAATACATCAATTTAGAGAATCCCAACTTCCAAACATGCTCTTAGTTAGCCTATGATTCTACAAAGCTATAAACATCGCAATGTCATGAGGTTTCACCGCCAGCCAACAAAACTGCACAGTGATCATGGGAAAACCCTGAACCTGCAAGGTCGCATCATTAGCCACAATATCATTTTTCATATAACCACGAGCCTACAATGTCATAAGTTTGCACCGCGAGTTATTGAAGTTGCCCTACTATCAAGTAGGGTGGGAAACAGTGTGGCTGCGGTTAAATGCACCACAATTTGCGGTTAACCGCAACCGCAAAGTGTCTATATTCACCAACCGCGACCGCACATGGGACAGTTAGCAGTTAACGGTGCACCGTGGTTACTGGAGTTAACAACCGATTCAACTATGTACTTTTGATGTCGAGGGCTACGAGCATAGCAGAGCTGATGTGGACGAGCATAGATAAGCCAATGTGGACGAGCAGAGTAGAGCCGATGTGCACGTATGGACGACAGGTCTGGACTTTTAAAATTTGATGTCGAGACTCGTCGTCTGAGGAAGTCGAACCTGCCGCTGCGCTGCTAAGCACCGAACTAGAATCGTTTGTCTGCTACTCATCTTGCTAGGTGACAAGGGACGGTGACAGGCTGATTTGTTGGGCGACAAGGGTCGACGTCTCAACTCTCTCTCAAAGCCTCTCTTGACAGACGACAACGATTCACGTTTCGAATGATTAGGGTAGGGTTTTGGCCAATTTGGGAAAGACAGTCGTATAGTGGGGGAAGGGAAGGGGTCGGGTGTCTGTGTGTAGGGATGGCAACAAAACCCGAACCCCGGGTACCCTACTCGATCCAACCCAGTCAACGTGGGTAAAACCCGTGTTGACGGGTTTTGGGCCTGATTTGAGTTTAAACACGTTCACTATTCACTGGGTTGGGTTGGGTTTGGGTTTAGTAAAACCAGCCCCATGGGTACCCGCCCACACTCATATAATTAATTTTCCCAGTATATTTAATATTCTAAACCACTAATCTTCTTTATGTGAAGACGTGTCTAATTTTTTCTTTCTAATTGTCTAGAATGAAGTTGATATTATCGAGTGGAGAGTGAAGAAGCTTAATTGACAGGGAGGAAGAAGCTTTCAATTAATCATGTTGTTTATGGTAAATTTGTGATTTGCTTCAATTTTCTTGAGTTTTTTAGATTGGTGTTGAACAATTTGTATGATTAATTTGTCATTTGCTTGAATTTTCTAGATTGGTGTTTTATATATAGATAATTTGTATTTAGAGATTGATATTTGACTTTTATTTTGATAGGAACTTGTTATTGTAAATTTTTTACTACAAAAACCCATGGGTACTGTCACGACCCGAAATGTCGTGACCGTGTTGATCGTCTGAAGAACGCTACCATCTGGTTGTCTTGCCATAAGAGGGGTAAAGGGGGCGACATTAGCGATAAGGCGTTGTCTGCCTGTGCATCGTTTCTGGCTGAGTCAGGATGTGGCTATGAAGGGGATCGTTGCAAGAGAAGGCACAACTGGTCGGAGGCTATTGCCGTCTTCCTGATGAGCTCAAGGCAGGGAGAAACCAGTTGGCATGCGTATGCAGAGAGGCTGGTCTTGAGGAATGAGTGCACCTAAAGACGTCGCACGGACTTCGGAAGTCTATGTCTGTGACAAGTGGTATCAGAGTCTGGTTAGACTGAAGAGCCTAGTTCCTCTATCAGTACGGCATAGGTCGAGTATGAGCCGACCCCATGCCCGAATGAGAGGCGTTCCTAGGTGTGCATACCAGGCGGTCCGGACGCAGATACACATGTGTTGCGCTGTTGTGGGGGGACCTCGACAGGTTGAAGATGCAGCGCCCGAGAATGCCGTTCAACCGAGGAACTAACGCGAGCGAGAGCGTAGGGTGAAGGTCGATTGAGGTACAAACGCTGGGAGTAGCGTAGGGTGAAGGTCGACTGAGGTGCTAGCGCAATAGAAGCCAAGAGTGAAGGTTGATGTCTAGGGGCGAAGCGGTATGTGCGCGGGGCGCAACAGGCTAGCGCGAGAGATGCGACCGGAGCCTACCCATCAGAGGATGGTATCGTATGCGGATGCCCACAATCGGTTCGAGTATTGAAATACATGCTACGGAGAGAAGCATTCTTCACTAGCACGAGGACGTGCTGCATTATGAGTAGTGGAGAATGTCACGACCCGAAATGTCGTGACCGTGTTGATCGTCTGAAGAACGCTGCCATCTGGTTGTCTTGCCACAAGAGGGGTAAGGGGGCGACATTAGCGATAAGGTGTTGTCTGCCTGTGCATCGTTTCTGACCTAGTCAGGATGTGGCTATGAAGGGGATCGTTGCAAGAGAAGGCACAACTGGTCGGAGGCTATTGTCGTCTCCCTGATGAGCCCAAGGCAGGGCGAAACCAGCTCGCATGCGTATGTAGAGATGCTGGTCTTGAGGAATGAGTGCACCTCAACGGGTTGGGTTGGGTTTGAGTTTTCCAAACCCAGTGTGTTTTACCCCGGGTTTTTTTCACAGATAAACCCATGGGTTTGGGTTTGGCAAAACCCGACCCATTGCCATCCCTATCTGTGTGGGTAATGGGTTGGGGTTGGGTTTGTGACTTGGGCCGGTCTGCAAATGGACTTCGGTTGGGTTTGCGGTTAGCACTGCGGTTAGGGCAATTTTCGGTTGTGGTTAAACCGCAAACACCCAATATCACCAACCGCGACCGCAAAAGAGATTGTTTTTGCAGTTTGCGGTTAACTACTAACCGCGCGATTTCGGTGTGGTTAGTGGTTTAACCGCAAAACCGCAACCGTTTCCCCAGTCCTACCATCAAGGTGTTGTTTTCGAGGAATTGAAATCCTATGAGCCTATAAGGTACAACACGACTTTCCGCACCACATGTCTGCAAGGTTGAGTTGCAAGATTGCACCATAAGACCGTTGGACATCACACTATCACATTAAGCAAGAACAACCAGAAGAAACTCCCAGGGCAAGAATAGATTACAGGAAGCGCATAGTGACTCGTACAATGAAGTTTGGCGTTTTAGTTGTCTCGTAACAGAATTGGGTGCCCAATGCTGCGAACTTATGAGTTCAATGACCGAGTTGGTGATCCACACTGTACTTTTCACTGTCCCTCTTTATCACTTCTGTAAGTTCATTACTTTCATGTGAGTAATTGACTACTACGTAAGAAAGGGTTCACAGTCGTCATATCACGAATAACGAACGAAAGAACAGGAGTACAAGTTCTAACTAAAATGAATCAAAATTAAGTAAATATAGAATATAGAATGGTCTAGTCTTCGGTGTTGTTCGCTATGAATTCTCCACTTGCATCCCAGGGGCGGCTTTCAAACGACTTCCCAATCATGCTTCGGTTCTGGTTCACAGTCCCATCCTGGCACCGGTACTCCGGAAAGTAATCCAAGAACCCTTTGCTTCCCAGTTCTTCAATTCCATGGAATAGAAAGTTCCTAATCACGTCCTGCCATTAAAACACACATCTTGCTGTTAGCAACTTACTACAATAACCTTGATTAACCGCTGAACAACAGAAGAATCAACAGATGCTTGTACCTTGGCACGCATTTCCCCCACTAACCTCTTCAGTACACCATGTCCTGGGTCCTGCTTTGCAGTCACAGACATGAGACAACAGAGACAAAAAACGAAACAGATTAACGGAAATCTTTTATCTGCTTATCTCTGACTCAGTCGAGTGAACTTAAAGCAAAATCAAGAAAGAACTCATTACAGGAGCAAAGGAAATGTTTAAAGTTACACCACCTTCTCAGCTCTCCATGTAAGATACCGGTGTTGCGCTTCACGATTGCTTAAAACAAGAGCGTCATCAGTTTCTTCTGCAGCTTCCTCAATCAGCTGAAGCCATGCCTAAACGGCAAGCAAAAACACATATGTTCAATTTAGGAACCTGGAGACCAACTTGCTAGACTTGTTTTTGAATGTATGTATGTACGTATGCAAAATCCCCCCCACCTTGTAGTACTCTGTGAATGCAGAATACAGATTTTCGTACATGCAATCAACCGACTGGAACTTGGTCCATATCACAATCGGCGAGAAGAATTTCAAAGACTCACTGGTCAGCTTGCCTCCCCATGGTAAAAGCTGCATGAAATCTGTGTTCAGTGCAGTCGAGCCAATACAAATTGAACTTTTAGGGTCGGTTGATTATGAAACAAAAACAAATCCTCGTCGTCATAATACTCAAACGTACCCTTCAGATTGTTCTCACCTCGGCATACCTAAGACCTAAATCCATCAGCTTCTCATAGTATTTCTCCTTATAGTCCTTTCGATCACTCATGTTATGCAAAGGGTTGAGGTCTCTACAAGTAAGCAACAGTCACATAGATCAGAAAGTCCAGATGCAAATAGCTGCCACAGAACAAAGAAGATGGATATTGTGAGAACTTACAGCACAATAATGTTGATGTTAGCAGTGGAGAAGAAGTTGGCACAGAATATGGGCACATCATATTCTGGTTTGGCAAACCCAGCAAAGTCCAAAACCTGGAAATGGACATTTGGTTAATTGCGAGGAATCAAATGAACTCTTACAAACGAAGCGATCAACTAAGCAATAGGAGAAAACAAAAACATCGAAAACGGCATCCCTCTGGATCAAGGACAGCATAACAAATCAATGTGTTCTTTCACATCTCAACACCTTGTCACGGTCAGATTTCCTGTCTAATTTCCAGAAACCTAATGAGTTTTACCACCAACTGAACTTTGTACCATTAACTACAAAGTGCACTATAAGTCCTCCCCTTCGAATTGCTTATAACGGATGACTGAGAGCAACTGAGTCTCACATTTCAAGAACCACTTGGTTTCACAAAGAAATTAAGGCTAATTATCTCAAGCTTAGATGAAACTTCAATTTGCATCCCCATACTTCCACACATGGACATGGCAACATGAAAAACAGCAGCAAGTTCTTAGTTTCACAGAACCATTCTTATGACCAAGAATTCGGCATGAATTATGAGTCGACCACATTCCATTGCACTAACTAACCCAAAGACCAAGAATGAAGAGTCAGTCAACCCGCCTTCTTATTATTTACCCTAACTTCGTCCCCATAGCAAAAGATAGATAAAAAAGAACAGTGCTTTCTTGGGTAATCAATCTTTTCTAACACCAATTACCTGCATAGATTCATTCTGGATGCTCAAACTTCGCAGTAGCCTAATCTTCGGAGGAGACTGAAAGGCGAGCATTTGAAGATCGGTCGTTCCATCTACTGCAGTGAGGGAGCTGTACTTTTCCTGGTCAGCAGAATTATCATTTTTTACATTAATGAGCAATGGCGAAATATAAGCTTTGTTTAGGTTCTAGCAGCAGCATCAAAGTCTAGTATAGATAAGAACCCATGCAGTCTTTTCGAATTAAACGACAGGGACATTCTGATTCTTAGTTTCTAGTTTACATAACAGAGGTAGGGAGTTGCAGACCTGGAGAGGAGATGGGAGCAGAAGGGTACGGCGCTCAGTTTCAGTGAGAGCGAAATTGAGGAATTCCCGATAAGAGAATGAAGGAGGAGGAGGAGGAGATAAAGAAACGGAGATCCGAAGTGGGTGGTGAGGGTTGCTCTGTCTGTTGTTGTTGCCGCAGCTCCAAGCGGTGGGATGCAAGTGGGAGTAACTGAGGGACATGGTACTAGAATAGCTGGAAGAGGAAGAAGAAGGTGAAGGCAAAGGAGATGTGGAGGGAAAAGAAGCCATAAATGGAATTAGTTCAGTGGTGGAACTGGAACTGTGGGAAAGTAGCAGCGTAGCTTGCTGATTGCTAACTCGTTTCGTTTTCCCTTTTTTTCACTATCTCACTATTTGCTCTGCATTTTCACTTGCTACTTTTTACTTCCGGCGAAGAGCGCGGCGAAATCAAAGAGCATCGCTTTCTCGGAAGCCCGTTGGTGTCCGACTGGGCATTGAAGTGTAGCTGCAAATTTACACGGTGCATTTAGGAGGGCTAAAAATGCTAATTTAAATCTCCTTGTTACTACCATAAAAGACGTTTAAGTTGATGATATTTTTAATTTGCATCGAAAAAATAAGTAGTTTTGTGATTTTTAAATAGTTGTATTGTTGTGATACATGTATATGTCATATCAGTTAAAAGATGATACAAAACAATTTCAATTCAACTATTTCAAATATCTTAGCTAAAAGCTGATATATAATAATCATTCATTTTGAGTGATATTTTATATTATATCATAGGAACAATATATGTATTATGTGTGCTAAAAAATCAAAACGAACGATGCATTCTACACAATACAAGTATAGTAACGATATCACAGAAACAATCACAACTTCCAAATGACCTTTAAGCTTTGGTTCACTCCGATTGTTTAGCTGTCAATTGTGCAAAAAGAACTTTCATGGCAGATAATGGGGTAGCCATGGATTGCAAATTAGTCAAGTCAAGACGAATTTTGACCTACTTTGATTTCAACTTGTTAATAAATGAGTCGAGTTTAACATCCGCTCGATTACAAAAGCCCCATCACATGTTTGACTTGAGCTCCACTCATTGATGAATAAGCACACTAGTTCTACTTTGACTTACGACTCATCAATCATCTCGCAAGCCCGGTTGAAATTTGAGTATGATGTTATGTATTTCATTTATTTCACTTATCCATATCAATTATTTAATAGTTACTAGTCTCTATGCAATCTATCATACATAGAGTAGTGAACATAATAATCTGGCGAGAAATACAATCAAACCAACATATGAGTTATCAACAAGTCAAGTCATAAGTTATACATTGATTCAATCATAAATCACAAGGCGAGTTGGCTCGCTAGCAACATTGTGAGTCAGCTCACAAGTTGAGCTCAACAAGTCACCAATTTGAGCTGGCTCACGAGCATGGTTAGCTGAACAAGATGTAGGTTAAACTAACGAGTCGAGTTTCATATGAGCTTTTCTCGAGCCAAACGACAAGTCGCTCGTGTTGCAGTCCTAGATATTGGGTGAGTTGGGTGGAATGTTGCTCTAAAACAACTGCACCACTTACTAACGAGTTGATATAGTTGTCAAATGCCATCCGCCCACGTTTTCTTTTGTGGTGGGTTTGATAGATGGTTAGTGGTGGGTGCGCTCGCATTGCAGATTGGCCCGCAACAACAATTCTCCAATTGACTATTAGGTAGGTTGTCTAAAATTTTCAATACATTCCATGTAAATTAATAATATGGCAACAATTTAATTAGACACACCTTGCTTTTATTCCTATTGATCCATCAGTACTTATGGTGTGCATTGTTTTTTACTATGCATTTCATCTTTCATTTGACCACTCTAGATGAAGTATTCATTAATAAAGAAGAGCAAGTTACCAACAACACATCCCTATGAACCAATATTCTTCATGCATGTGGATCTCGTTTCTTTGACAAAAATATCGATCATTTCACTAATTCATCAACTAGTAATACTCAAAATTGACGTTTGTTGTCACTTTGATACAAATAATTGTTTGTACTTTACATTCCAATATCTAATAGATATTAGTTAACATAATAATCAATACCAGTAGTACAAAAATATTTTGTATCTTTTCGTTGTTGAAGTCGACTATCACTATGGTGAGATTAGGATATATACAAGGGCACTCTAGTAGTATGAAAAGAAAATATTCTTTACGATGCGAATGTAAGGTGTGAGTTACCGAGTGACCTGCTAACGACCACCACCCACTCACATTAGTGTGAGTATGAGATTTGAGTACTCATAATCCATCCACATCAACCGGTCTGTACAATAATTCAGATTTTTTGTGAATAAGTTTATAGCAATCCGCTATTCAACCACCCGCTTGATCATTCTAACACACACATAATTTTCGTTAAACAACATGCATCAATATTAGGCAAACCATCAACATGTACTTCAGGTCAACTCATCACCTTAGTACCACTAGAAAATGCTATATTAGATCCCAAACTCATACTCCTAGACACCACCAGGAGATTCTGCATTAGCTGCCAAGACAACGATTACAGGGGAGGCAAGTGATGTTGTAGGGAGCACAAGCTCATTCCCTCCATAACCCTTCTCAACCCATGTAGTTTCCTCAACTTCAGCAACCTTGCACTTAATTCCCTCACCAATCTCATGTCCATGGACCTGACATTGCAAGCATCTAGAAGGGGCATGAAGATACTCAACTAAGAGAGAAAACGTTGTCTCACCTTCAGACATTACTTAAATAACATCCTATAAGGAAACATTAATTCTCAGACCGATACACAACTTAGCTACTCCAATCTGAGTCCCAAAATGCGTTGCCTGGTCCATCCACAATAGGATACCCAACACATTGGCGATCCGAGTCAAGCCATCCATGATACACAACTTAGCTACTCCAATCTGAGTCCCAAAATGCGTTGCCTGGTCCATCCACAATAGGATACCCAACACATTGGCGATCCGAGTCAAGCCATACATGATATGATACTCCAAAGGAATACCAATAATTTGCACCCGGGTTGGCAGTGAAGCTAACTGCAGATCCAAGGGATGAATACCATGAACCCAACGCCTAAAGAAGACATGGATGTTCTGGCAGTGCCACAGACCACCTTCAAAGACCCACGTACTGGTGGGAGCTCCTCCATGACCAAGAAGCAGAAGGAGAAGAAGAAGAAGCAGGTCGACGAATCTCCTCCATGGGTAATCTTGTTACAACACATTTGGTTTTCTGCATCACTTCATCTTATTTTGGTTTGTCTGATTTTGGTTTGTCAGTTAGCAACTCAGCGCGGGCGGCTCAACGCCAACTATTTTCAAACTAGATTAAAAGAAAGCTTAAGAAGAGGCCAACTACGTCAGCAACTAGATTGATTTTCTCCAATATCTCAAACCCATGATATTAGTTGAGGATAGTATATAATATGTGTTGAAACCATGCAAATGGCAACACAAATTGATCATGAAGATAAGGAGTTCTTTGTCTATCACACATTCTCTAATGAGAATCCAAACATGAATGATGCATGTCATTGGTCGTAGGCGTGAATTATCAATACATCAATAAAATACTAGGGGATATACTACATCAACTAACTAAAGGAAGATAATGATGTTAATTTTCAACAAGTGTTAATTAATGACTTAACTAGTTAATAGTTTGCCTCCATGATCTCATGCACATGTTGTCTTACTCTTCCAGTTTGGTTAAAAACAATGAAGGCCAAATCAAATCCGCCGCTAGATAATAGAATTGCACGGAGTAACCAATACACCTAGGACCCGAGTTGATAATTAAAATCTGAATCACTATATTGCATTTATAGACTACGATTATACTTGATCATAGTTAATTAATTGTGTTGGTAAAAGAGTGTCACACTCAACCTCTTTACTTACTCCCTGATCACATCCATAGTTAGAGTCTCAATTTATAGATTGTAAACAATTTAAATATTTTAATTTTTTGAATTGTTGAAAAATGATTACAAAATGTTCATTGTTTGGTATATGTGATGGTTAACATTCAATAAAAATAAAAAAATAATTTTACATTAAATGACATGTTTATCGTTAATAAAGATTGGTGTGGAAAAATATTGAGAATTTATTTATATGTATATTAAGTGAGCCATCACATACTTGATATTAGCAATATATAGGCCAAGAAATTGCCACCAATTATAGAGCCCAACTGTTCCAACCGCTATGTCAATTACAGGACAGGCAGAGAGCTAACCCACTTTTAGGTTTTAGCCAGATCTGAGCTTTCTTCTTTGTGGAGCTTCTGAAATTGGCGAAGATATCCTTTTATTTTTAGCAATTCAATGTCTACAAGTTTAAGGGCGATGGGCTTTGGGCCAGCGCCAGACAGAGGGAGGGGCTGGGGACTTTGATATTTCTTGATATATTTCAGATAACATCTCATTCATATTCCCTTAACCCTACGGTTTTGGGTAAAGATAGTGATGGGCTTTTCATGTATGGGCTTACGATCCGAGTTACACCAATTTTGGGTTTTGTGTTTATCTCTTGGTGGGCTTCACCTCCATTGTCGTCATTGTTTGAGGCCCGGTATGGTTGACAAAGCAAAGCAGCATCAACTTGTTCGGCTTCTTCCTTCCAGATCCAATTCTCCTGATTTTCTGTTCGGAAATACATTTTCGATTATTTTCACTTCTTGGTAATTTCAATTATTATATTGACAAAAAATAGATTATACGAATAATAATTAATGTTGGAAAAGATTTTATTTTACTGAAAAACTCCATTAGATCTCAACTGATACCGGTATCAGTTGCTCACTCCACTGAAGTAATCGCTTGACCGTATTTTAGTGATAAGAAGTTCGGTAGATACGATTTGTAATATATTTAGTAAGGAATTAATTATAATTATGTCATTAGCACAACTTGTTTTTCTGTCTAATTACTAATTTTCCAAAATGTTTCCTTTTGTCACCGTAAACCCAACGATTTCAACGATAGAGAAGGCAAAGTGGATTTAGCCTAAATCGGCTGCTTTATCATATCAACGACCCGTGATGTGTGGTGTGGTGTGTGGCTGTGTCATCCAGCCTTATCCCAAAATTCATCTACTCTAATCTTTCTTAACCAATTCATTTCGTTTAACTCAAACTTAAGAGTTAAGACCAGATGGATAAGCAAGAATACTTAATCCTGATATTTTATCCAATGGTGCGAAACCAAATGAATTAACAATAATAAGTAGTATAAATAAATTATCATGAAATGCTACATTTTTTTTATGTTCTTATATTAATCTCCATGCTCTAATAATACAAGGGTAAATGCAATTTAATATCCAAACCTTTCATTTTGAAACAATATAATATCCAAACCTTTTCGAAAACAATCTAATATCCAAATAGTCAACTTTCCGTTCGTTTGACCGTTAGTTGACACTTCAAAAAAGTTCAAAGTACGACGCTTCATCAATATCCATCGATATCTTCTCTGAAAAACCACCAACATATCGTGGTTCCAAACCCGAGAAGTCCATGACTCCACCATGATGGTATAGAATATCTAAATATTCAGTCATCTGCAATGCCAAAACAAGAAAACAAAGTTGTATTGTGACAATTTCCCTTAAACAAAACTTTTTTGAAGTGTCAACCAACGGTCAAACGGACGAAAAGTTGACGATTTGGATATTAGATTGTTTTCGAAAAGATTTGGCGATTATATTGTTTAAAATGAAAGATTTGGATATTAAATTGTATTTACCCATAATACAATGATGCACAATCCGGTTTATCTTAATATTTTTTTTTAATATTTCGTATGACACGAAGTACACCCTAACATTCATTCGGAATCAAAGGAGTGTAGGCAATACTCGTAAAGTAGGGATTGCAATTTCGATCCGACCCACTTTATCCGACCTGTTTTCCTTGTTTTGGAGTGTCGTTGAATCGACGAGAAAAGAATTGGTGCTCTCTCGACTCAGATTCGTCCCATTCTCGATCATATGACTCAATATGACTCAATCTAGACAACTACAAGTAACGAGATACCGTCACGACGTGCCCATTGCCATTCCTACCATAACCTCAGTTATGGAAGAGAGCCAATCACTTAAGACGTTGCTTTTACAGACCAACTAAGCAAAAAAAGACGGAGGGCCCCACATCTCCCTTAGCTTCAACCAAGTTGTAAGTTCAGCCCATCTGTCACCAATCACCATCCGCTAGTTGCAACCAACTATATTATTTGCGGCTTCCTACATTGAAGTCTTCTTCGACGTTTTTTTAATTTTTTTCTCTGTTCGTGACGGGAACAAATCTCAACGTTTGACTCACAGGTACGTTTATTTCTAAATTAATTTAGAACCAGATAATAAGTACAAAATTTGTAAATCTTTTTCCTCCTTAATACAATACTTTTTTCCTCTTCTTCGAGGATATTAAAAAAAAAAAAGAAGTTAAATCCCATTCGATTCTGCAGATTTTATGTTCAACTAAAACAGCGCTGGAGCCGTTGACTCATCTTAAAAAGGCCCAGCACACAGTCGTCTCTTCAAACATTTCCCGGCAGACGAAGGAAGTGAAACGGAGGAGAAGGAGAAATCATATCAAAGAAATCTGCTGAGAAATGGCGGGTGGAGGACCTGCGGCCGACAATGGCGTCCTGAAACGCGCCCATCTCTACGAGTACAACATCACCGGCTACTTCATCTTCGCCTGCGTCGTCGGGGCCATCGGCGGCTCTCTCTTCGGCGTCGATCTCGGGGTTTCCGGTGAGTTTATTTAGAAAAAACTGCTCTCACTCTCTTAACAATGGAGTTACAAGAAACTAATGGGCTGCGTTTTTTTTTGGTTTTGGGCAGGTGGGGTGACTTCCATGGACGACTTCTTGAAGGAATTCTTCCCGGCGGTTTACAGAAGAAAGCAAGCCCATCTTCACGAGACCGATTACTGTAAATACGACAACCAGATCCTGACCTTATTCACTTCCTCTCTCTACTTCGCCGCCCTCGTCTCCACTTTCGGCGCCTCCGTCATCACCAGAAAGAAGGGCAGACGAATCAGCATCATCTGCGGATCAATCAGCTTCTTCCTCGGCGCCGTCATTAACGCCGCCGCCGTCAACATCCTCATGCTCATCATCGGCCGCGTCCTCCTCGGCGTCGGGATCGGATTCAGCAACCAGGTAATCACAAAAAACCCCCCAAATTTAGAATCTAATTTAAATTCAATTGGAAAGGAAAACTCACGTTTTCGCCCAAAACAACAGGCGGTGCCGCTGTATTTATCGGAAATGGCGCCGGCGAAAATCAGGGGAGCGGTGAACCAACTGTTCCAGCTGACGACCTGCCTCGGAATCCTGATCGCGAATCTGATCAACTACGGGACGGAGAAGATCCACCCATGGGGATGGCGGATCTCTCTGGGATCCGCCGCCGTGCCGGCGGTGCTGATGTTCATCGGCGGGGTGTTCATGCCGGAATCCCCAAACAGTCTTGTGGAGCAGGGGAGGGAGAAGGAAGCCAGAGAGGTACTCGAGCGAGTGCGAGGTACCAAGAACATCGAAGCGGAGTTTCTCGACATGAAGGAAGCGAGCGAGGAAGCTCGATCGGTGAAGAACCCATTCCGCAACCTCCTGAAGAGGAAGAACAGGCCGCAGCTCGTGATCGGAGCGATCGGGATCCCAATGTTCCAGCAGCTCACGGGGAACAACTCGATCCTGTTTTACGCCCCTGTCTTCTTCCAGACAATGGGGTTCGGGTCCGGTTCCTCGATCCTGTCCTCACTCATTACCAACGCGGGGCTGGTCGTCGGAGCGCTCATGTCGATGGCGGTGGTGGACAAGCTCGGGAGGAGGTTCCTCTTCATCGAGGCCGGGATCGAGATGTTCTGCTACATGGTGATGGTGGGAGTTACCTTGGGGTACAAGTTTGGAGATGGCGTGGCTCTCACGAAAGGTTACTCGGTAATGCTGGTCATCGTGATCTGCCTGTTCGTGACGGCGTTCGGGCGGTCGTGGGGGCCGCTCGGGTGGCTCGTGCCGAGCGAGCTGTTTCCATTGGAGACTAGATCGGCCGGGCAGAGCGTGGTGGTCTGCGTGAACATGATCTTCACCGCGCTGATTGCTCAGTGCTTTCTGGTGGCGCTCTGCCATCTCCGGTACGGGATCTTCTTGCTGTTTGCTGGGCTCATCTTGGTGATGACGGTGTTCATTGTGCTGCTGCTGCCGGAGACGAAGAGGGTTCCGATTGAGGAGGTTTACCTCCTGTTTGAGAATCATTGGTTCTGGAAGAGGATTGTAGGTACCCGCCAGCCGCCGGAGAAGGAAATGGGAGAAAAGGATGCAACGGAAATACGAGAAAAGGAGGCAAATTTACAGGCATAGTTTGTCAAAGTTAGGAGGAGGGTGGAGGGATACTGATTACTTTCTGCCGTTCTTCCACTGTTATTGTTAGTGTCTAAAAGTGAATGTAAAGCAATAATTTGCTGTTCTATGGGGAATGAACTGTCAAGGCTTGTTTGGATGCTGAATCGTTAATATCTACAGATGAAATCTCGAGGTATTTAGATTTGGTGCACTAATCATCACCTTATCGAGGTGTTTAAACTCCCGATCAATCCTCGTTCTTTCGACTTAAATAGGATCAGCTTCTGGATATGATTTTGAGTACAGGGACACCAGAAAGAACAACAAAAGAGATCATTACTTACAGCAGAAAACTTTGCAAGGGCATTTAGTACCTATAGACACATGTAATGGCGGCGGAGAAGTATAATTCACTGGTTCCGGGCAGCTTCGAACAAATCCCTCCATTTCTTTGGATCACTTCCTGGACCTTCCCCCTGCACAATACACCAGACGCTCTAGCATCATCAGTACAATAGAATTACAGGACTTTTCACTGATTCAAATTGTCTGCTGTTATTGTAAGCTCACCACAACTGAGCTGATCTCGTAGGCATTGCCTTCAGTAAAGTCGATGTCCAATGCCTGAATGCAAGCTTCAGCCACTACAAGTCTGCTTGCTTCTCCAACGAGTTTATCTCCTGATCACCAAACCATCAATCAAGCATATGTCATCCCCATGGTTTAGGTTGCAACGTTGTATGCATTGATCGGTCATTAGATGCTTACCTTGGCCAATGATAACTGCACGTCGCTCACCAGCAGTAGCTTTCAGGAGAGTATTCAAATCGTATGACGTGTATGGTCCATCTGTTAATCTCCCCGGTCTAGAATGATATAAACACATGTATTCTAATCATAAAGCACAGGTCCTTGAAGAGAACTTCCAAAAATGTGGGGTGATCAGGAGAAGCTAAATAATGGCTACCTGATTATGGTAAATGGAAGTCCGGATATGCGAACAAAGTCCTCCCCCATCTTCTTATACTTGAGCACACCAAAAAGATTCATAATGCTACCAACAAAAATACACAAAAAAAGAAAAAAGAAAAAAAGAATAGGGATAAGGAATGTGACGTGTTCTTGCGCAGCAGTCTGGTCTAGATGCTTTACTGAACCAACATTAGGCAGCAGGCACTCTATATTTCTAGCATGCTAAATCATACCTCCAAGGTAGCTCGTTGAACTTGGTTACACCAACTGATGAAACAAGAACAAGCCTCTTCACTGATGGGGGTAGAGCAGAAACGAGATTCCTTACACCTTCCCAATCTTTACACCAAAAAGAGAGGAAAAAACAAGAGCAAGAAAACAGTTAAATGGTTGCATGAACTAAGGTGAAAGGAAGTTGGCCAATGAAGGTAGATGGCTCATGATGATTCATTCTACGTCGTTCATGTTAAAAGCAAAGCTTTCAAACATCAAGATTAGGTTAACAGATGGTTTTTAAGGGGAGATTCTTGTGCTGATTAATAAACAATCTTGGAAATGTGGCCTAACCCACTCTTTCTGGTGTATTATCTCCATCCCATCGCCTCGAAGGAAAAGCTGTCGTCCCCGTGCAACAGATCACATGTGTGACTCCCTTCAGTAAACATTTATGCACTATGAGCAACCACACTATCAAGAAAAGCAATTTCCTTTATCCAATTCTCCGCAACGAAATTGAACAAGTGCAAACCTCAAACATGGATGGATCGAGATCCGCAGAATTCCTAGTGTCCGCCTTAAGTACCTAAGCACACAACATTCCATCACTATTTATCATCACATTCACAAAGGAAAATGCCAGTAATCACTAGTACATGATGATGCATTATTCTTAAATCAAATTAGGGTACCTCCAATATCTCATTATCTTGATCCCCAAAGAGTGCAGTTGCCTTATCAGGATCACGCAGAAACAGCCGCGATTTGATTCCCCTGGTAAGCAGAGATGCCACTACCAGCTGCCCTGAAATCCATGGAAACAAGGTCTGCCTGTAAATACTGATCAAACTTTATATAGGCAGAACAGATAGATAACTAGGCCAGTTGAAACAGTACTAGAATTCTTGCAGTAGCCAAAGACAAAACTTAACAGTTTCGTGGATATATCAAAAGCCATTATATCACAGAGCATATATGAAGGCCAGTTGAAACACTAGAATTATTGCAGTAGCCCAAGGGCAAACTTAATAGGTTCATGGATATATCAAAGAATGTGATGAAAGATATTATACCCACACCGCCGGAGCCACCAACAACAAGGACGAGCTTCGAGGAAGAAGGAGATGCAGTCGCGGAATCAGCAGAAGTGTCCGAATTCAACGACTCGATCAAGTCTTCCTTCAAAGCTTGAACTTTCGCTGCTGCAGCTGAGCCTGAACCTGCTTTGAGATGGCAGTTTCTGTGAGAAACATTCAGCGGCTGAAGTGGGTAGAGAGGAATGGTTTGTGGGTACTTCGCGAAATTTCCAAGTCTCGGAGGGAAGTTGTGGGTTGGAGTGAAGGAGATTTTGGTAGCCATGGATGCCACTCCCCTGAAGATGAAGCGGTTGAGTACGGACTGATAAACAAGGGGAAGACAAATGATAACCAGAGAAAAGGGCTGAACTGCTAAACAAGGAAAAGACAAAATGAAAAATAGTGGTGGTTAAATTTCCCGGCGAAATAAATTCTGGAGTACAAATCCGCATTTTTCATTCATTCCGGTTTTTTTTTTTAAATACATTTCTTATATTCGTACAGTTTTATGCTTTATAGCGCCTCGCTCACCCTATTCGGCAATCCGCTTTGTTGAAAGCGATTATTTTCCTACCTGTGGATCGTCTCTCCTCTCTACCAAAATGGAAGCAAGCGGCGGCGGCGGAGAGAAGTTCGTGTACCGGATTTGTACAGCTACCGAATGGGAAAATCTGCAGAAAGACGGGTTCACTTATGGCGGAGAGCTCGACAAATCCTCCGGATTCATCCACCTCAGCGACCACAATCAGGTAAAAACCCACATTCAATTTCTTCCCTTTTCTACCCTTTTGTTCTTCCTCTCCTTACCCACATCCGTAACTTCAAATCCATAACCATCTGCAGGTTCTATCAACACTGAACAATTTCTTCCGAAACACCAAGTTGGATCTGCTGCTTCTCCAAATTGATGCTGGAAAGGTTTGAACTTTTTTTTCCCTGATTGTAGTATCATACTAAATTTTTCCTGGGCAGTTGGGGTTTTACTTATGGCAGGGTTTGCCTGATGGTGGTGTTCTTGATTTCTTGTCAGCTTGGGGATGGGTTGGTCTATGAGTCCGTCGATGGAATCAACAGCTTCCCACATTTCTACGGCCCGGCTCGAAGTTTCAGCCCTCTGCCTCTGGATGTAGTCATCAAATCTGACAAGATTGTTGAGTCGGATGGCCAATTCGGCTGTCCTTTACTCGGTTGAATATATACTCTGGTTTCCGCCGGTGATGTTTGCTTTCAGATGGAAATCAAGCTGTATTGAACAGAATGCTTCTATTTACTTGTTCTTATTGGCCGGCCAGCAGTTACTGAAGCTGGATCCATATAGGTTTCTTTGATCCTGAAATCTTCTGAATGTTTCTTAGTCGTCGTTAACATCTTGTCGCTGGAACCTTTGCGAGCTCTAATCTGGCAGCATGACGAAGAAGCTGACATAAAGTAATGCATAATTTCGAATTCAAGTTCTTCACTTTCTGACATCTATTAACGAGGAACGATTGGCATAGTGGCAGCATGATCTACTGTTGAATTGAGCATTCCTCGTTTTACTGTGGAAATCTTTTGTTGCAAGTGTGAGCTGGGTATTGCTATCTATTCACTTTGAAGTTTGAACTGAGGGTTGGTCTGTCTTCGCAAAGATTCGCCTTGAAAGCTGTTGAAGTAATGCATACCCTGGGATTGAGGATAGAGAGATGTTTGCCTGCAAAGAGAACTCCCCCCCAACCCAGGGAGCACACAAGGTAACTTCTAGCTAGACTCTAAAACACTTTTTTCCTCAATAAAAGCTCAGAATTCGTACCAATGGTGAATGCTATGTGAAGGTTCTGATACCTTGCTCAGCAACAGTTGATATTGTGATCCTGCTAGTGTCCTAGAACCTGATCCTTTTTGTATAAAGAGGGGAATGTGCTGATCTGATGTAAGCTAGGGATTGGGAAATGAGGACAGCTGTAACTGTTGTCAGCAACCCTTGTTCTAAATCTAGGCTTAGAAGTCAAGTGTATGATTATCAGCAAGTTTAATGTTCAGAGAATGAATTGGCTTCCATCCTACAGAGTACTATCTTCTTCAGGCGCTGCAACCGCAGATACTCAAAGCTACACCATTCTTCCTTTTCACTTTTTCTTTGAACTTAGAGCTACCATTCAAAGACTGGTAACTTTGAATAGAAGCAATGGATTGTGAAGCCATACCAGAGATGATGTTGGTGACTAATGTATCAGGATAACAAAACCGAGTAAGAATCGTAACGGTCAAAGCTCACTGGCCGTCCAATTTCGTTAGATTCTTCTTGAGCTTTGATGGTTAACCGACTAAGAAACCCTTTCTTTCTACAAAAGCAAAAGAAACTCCTTGCACTCTTTGTTTATTCATGTATACTGCTTGCTACAATCTTTCAACTTGTTAACACAGACCAAGTTACATAACTTAGACTTCAGACTTGTGGTTCTGATCACATCATGCTCAAAGAGCTCTACCCTTCACAATGCCGGCCATCGTTTTGTGCGTATTTGAACCTGTAGCACTCTACGTCCACGGTCCCTGCACAGTTAGTACCACGATCATAGTCCGATCCCCATCCCTTGTCCATGAGACCCTCGTACTCTATTTTGAGTTTTTAGGCTTGGGGGTGACTTTTTGTCAATGTTGTCAAAACCAGATGGACATCCACCCGAATTAGCAAGAGGTTCAAGATTCTGTATGTACATAAACATTTAGAAAAGAGGTTACTTACAATTTGTAAAAAAATAAATTACGAATTCACGATATTCTAAAAATTAAATAATAGTATAAAAACTCTATCTATACTGTCAAGAATCAAGAGCACAATCAATATTCATAATCTTCGATTCTCAATCACATACAATTTAATATTCACATTATTCTTGTTTGAAGAAGTTTTTTTTTATGAATATAAATAAATTTTGAGTTATTGAACTCTTATTAAAATAATGAAATGTGAAAATGACAGTAATATAAAAAAAACCAGATGGACATCCACCCGAATTAGCAAGAGGTTCAAGATTCTGTATGTACATAAACATTTAGAAAACAGGTTACTTACAATTTGTAAAAAAATAAATTACGAATTCACGATATTCTAAAAATTAATAATAGTATAAAATCTCTATCTATACTGTCAATAATCAATAGCACAATCAATATTCATAATCTCGGATTCTCAATCACATACAATTTAATATTCACATTATTCTTATTTGAAGAAGTTTTTTTTTATGAATATAAATAAATTTTTAGTTATTGAACTCTTATTAAAATAATGAAATGTGAAAATGAAAGTAATATATAAAAAAAACCAGATGGACATCCACCCGAATTAGCAAGAGGTTCAAGATTATGTATGTACATAAACATTTAGAAAATAGGTTACTTACAATTTGTAAAAAAATAAATTATGAATTCACGATATTCTAAAAATTAATAATAGTATAAAAACTCTATCTATACTGTCAAGAATCAAGAGCACAATCAATATTCATAATCTCGGATTCTCAATCACATACAATTTAATATTCACATTATTCTTATTTGAATAAGTTTTTTTTATGAATATAAATAAATTTTTAGTTATTGAACTCTTATTAAAATAATGAAATGTGAAAATGACAGTAATATAAAAAAGAAAAATAACTACAAATCAATGTAATTTATTTGGTTAATTTAACCTAACACTTATTTGTGGGATTCGAATTTAACCCACCAAAAAGGCATTTCATTTTCCCCCCCATGAACTATTAAAGAAAAGAGATAAAAATCGATAGTTCTGGCTATCACCCAGGCAACTAATTAATGGTATGTTTCAACTTTCAAGGCTTTCGAGTCCGAATATGTGCTCTGGTGCGGTTATTTCTAGTCGAATCGATATTTTAGTTCAGTTATGACAACACAAGTTTTGCTGATAGGGCCGATTGTTGTGGTGAGGCCTCGGTGGATAGGAAAGAGTCACCGAAGGCAAAGCTAAGGTGGTGACGAGGTGAAAATTAAATAACATAATCTATTTACAACATCATCTACTTAACAATCAAAATTCATAATTAATCGTCAAGTATGCCAAATCTAATCAAATTGAACCATCATCAATCACTAACCATGAAATGGGAATTAATAAAACGAATGACTAATAATTTTTTTTTATTACCGACGAGAAAATTTTGACAAACCAAAAAACAATGTCTAGTTTAGGGCTTTAGGCACTATTTTTACTCTCGCTATGCGTAGAGGAGATTGACTGAACTTAGAAAGCCTTCCCGGTACCCAATTCTCAAAGTTTAATAGCAAGCCAAGGTATTTCTCCCCTCCCAGTTCCAAATCCAAGCCCCAAGTCCACAAGTATTTGCTGCCGCCGGTCAATATCATTTCAGGAATCTTCTTCAGCACTGCTAACTTTACGCCTCTGGAGTTTCCGCCCAATTGCATCCATGGCTTCTTCTTCAGCACTGTCTAGACTATCCAATCTCCACAACCACCTTCGTCCTTTGGATTCCAACAATCAGGCAAGATCGTCTCTTCAAACATTTCTCCCTTTTCGTCTACGTTTGCTAGCGACTAGCAAGTCTGATGTCTGCGAGCCCATTTTATTTTCTCACCCGTTTGGCGGGTTTTTGCTGTATTTTCCCGTTTTAGATAGGTGGTCTGGTGAAATTTTCTCCAGAAGTCTCTCAGGCTTTGTCTAGTGGGCGTGCAGTTGTTGCTTTGGAATCCACCATCATTTCTCATGGTACTACTCCCCTGCCTCTTTCACCCTTTGCTGATTCCCCTGTTTCAGGAAAGAGGGTTCCTTTGTGCATAGACAAGGGAATTCCTATCTCCAGTTGTTGCTTCTAGTTTACACAATGGTAACTGTGTTTGTTTTGGTCTGTGCTGATTTGTTCTTCAGGGATGCCATACCCTCAAAATTTGGAGACAGCCAAGCAAGTGGAAGAAATTGTAAGGAAGAATGGAGCTGTTCCTGCTACTATTGCAATCTTAGATGGGGTTCCTTGTGTAGGTGTGATATAGAGCTAAACTTGTTCTGCTGACATATGTAGGGTGGTATAATTATGTGTACTTACCTGCAGTTACGAAAGTTCTTAGACAACTGCCCTGTTATGTTTATATATTGCTCATTTGACTAAGATCTTCGAGGCGATCAGGTTTAAGTGCCGAGCAGCTGGAGCGACTTGCCACTCTTGGAACCAGAGCTCAGAAAACAGCTCGGAGGGACATTGCATACGTTGTGAGTAACTTTATCATATTGGCCATGCTGCTCCTTCAGAGAACTTTTACTTCTTATCTTATGTTGTTCCCATTTGTATGTGCAATCAAGTTGTACTTTCTCGCTATTTGACATCAATGGCAGTAGTTTACGTTAGTGTTAGCACAGTTACTGGTTGACCATTCAGTGACTTAATCTCTTGGTGGTATGATCGATTGTGATTTGGTATTTTATTTTTCTGTTTCATTTGGTGGTTGTGCTCGAGATTTGGCATTATCTGCTTGCTTATGCTCTTTTCAGGTGGCCGGTAGACGAAATGGCGCCACAACTGTTTCAGCAACCATGTTTTTTGCTTCTATGGTCAGTAATGATCATTACTTGATTACCAGTATCTTGCACTAAACTTTCTAACGTTCCCAGTTTCATGGCCAACTTCTGCAGGTTGGTATTCCTGTGTTTGTAACTGGAGGCATCGGAGGAGTGCATAGGCATGGGGAGGAAAGTAAGTATTCAGGGCTTGTTATGCATCCATCTTTACTGAGTCTTTTCTCGACCAAAATTCTAGTTCTTTCTTGCAACTATATCATTGTCAACTAGAGTAATTATAATATTTCCTCTTAGACAGAGAGCCATTTAATCCTTCAACCCTCAGAAATAAAAACACTAGGGCATCCTACATTCCTACTTACCATACATGTCCTTGAACTGTCTCATTATAAGTTTCTGCTTTCTTCTTGGCAGCGATGGATGTATCGTCCGATCTCACTGAGCTGGGGAAAACTCCAGTAGCAGTTATCTCTGCCGGAGTGAAATCAATATTGGATATTCCAAAAACCCTTGAATATTTGGTAAAATTCACTTGTTTTATCACTGTTAAGTTTTTCCTAGTAATTCAGTCTCTAATGACTAAAATCATCTTCCCTCCTCCATTTTGTACTAGTGCAGGAAACACAAGGAGTATGTGTTGTTGGTTACAAGACCGATGAATTCCCTGCATTTTTCACTGATACAAGCGGCTGTAAGGTAAAGACAAGCTATAGTCTTAGTTTCAGCACTTCTTTTGCTGCATCAATGTATAAGGAATGTTTGTTTCAATGTTTGGTAATTGCAGGTTCTTGCTCTATGATCTAATTTATGTATGTACCGATAATTTGATTGGTTCTGGTGCTGACCGCTGAAAGCCATTAGAAAACACACTGAGCTTTATCTCCAAAAAGAACCTGCTTTTGAACTGTTCACGAGTCATAACTAATTGAGCATCTAACTGTTTAATGCTTGACTAGGCTCCATGCCGTTTGGACACACCAGAGGAATGTGCCCGGCTGATAGGCAAGTGGTGAAGTCAGTTCTTTCCAACTTTTCTGTTTCCACATATGGATGCGAATTTAAAAACTGGGTTTTTCATTTTCTTTCTATTAATTCCAGATGCCACAACAAAACTTAAGCTTGGGAATGGGGTCCTAATAGCAGTCCCAATTCCAAAGGAACAATCGGCTTCTGGAAGTAAAATTGAATCTGCAATCCAAAAAGCTCTTAAAGAAGCTAGGTAGGGTAATCAGTTCCTGTGCTTATAAATTTTGACTGTCACCCAGAAAAGTTTAGTATCTTAAAAAGTACATTGATCAAATGGATGACAGGGAGAAGAATATAATTGGCAGTGCTGAAACTCCTTTCTTGCTAGCAAGAGTGAATGAACTAACGGGAGGAGCCTCCTTGGCTTCAAGTATCCTTTGAACTGCACAAATATGATGTCTGAAGTCTTTTTAACCTTTAACATTGACAACGGAGGCTACAACTATCTTTTCTTTTTTTTGCTTCTTTCCATGGAAGGTTCCAGGTTTTGTATATTATCATTCTAGTGGTTTAACAGGATATGTAGGTTACTTATCACTTTAACTTCCTTAGCCAAGTGATAAGACATTGCTCTGGTGAAGAACAATGCTCTGGTTGGGTCTAAGATCGCAGTGGCCCTTGCTCGTCTCAGAGAACACTCAAGCAAAGGTGAGCTTCTTCCAATTCAGTAAAACGACGCTACTAAGCTTGTGAAAAAGGTTATGTTGTTTACGTAATCATTCTTGAAACTGGTTTTGGAATGCACCATTCTCATACAGATTAACATTTTCTGTGTATCATTCCAGCAGCTGGAATGAATTAATCTCTCTGAACCTCTTAGGCGGTGCGGAACAAGGATCATAAGACAGACTCGCCCCATTTAGTCTTTAACCAGGTTGAACTTCACTGGTCAGCCAAATCGAAATGGCTGTTGCATTGTATGTTTTGGAAGGCTATTTCAGGGAAATGGGGAGAGCCAACGGCGGAAAGATCACGTAAGCTGGAAACCGTTCCTGTCATTCTCTTCGTCCTTCCTCTTTATTTCCTTTTGGCTTCAACCAAACTTAGCATTTGGTTGCCATTTGAATGCCCTAAAGTTGGAGATAGACTGGAGATCTTTATGCTGGTTTTAGTCAAGTGTCTTGGTCTTGTAGTTGCCGTGGTCCATCATGTTGGCACAAGAGGCTGAGTGGAATTTTGCAGGCTAGTGTTTGTTGCTGTGTTGATTTCCAGCATTTTTCTCTGTGCAGTGTTTGTCTTCTTTGGTTGACGTGTCTTTTAGGCTTTTGAACATTTTGTATCCTTGTAAGAGTAGTGTTTTATTTTCATCCAAAGTACTCGTCTATGGTCTCATTGTCACTCAACCATGTATGTACATTAATTTGACAAGTTACCTTAGTGGTGATTGTCACTTACAAATGTCGGTTTCGTGTGAGATTTATCCATTAGAGGTGGCAGAATATTGACCCAAGCCACTAAAGTTGATGAAAATCGTATTAGTCCACAGTGAATCATATGATCAAGATGACTATACCTAAAAAGCAACGCAACGGATTAATGTTATTTTGTAAACTCATTGCATGACCCATACGACGTGACTTTGGGACTCATTGCATGACCCTCGAGACTTTGATAGCAGGGATGTAATCTCATCATTTCTTGCATTGTCATTATCCTTCAAAAATCGGTGTGAATTCAATGGTTTGTATATTAAAAAACCTTATAGTTGGACACTTACTCAGAACTGGATTCACAATAGATCCTAATCATCGCTATAACCTCATTTAGATGTGTTGATGAATATCAAATCGTTGCATGTTTTTATTGGACCTAGAATTCACAAGTAATCAAGACATTTGAAAACACCACAAATATGAATTCCAAACAATAAAGTCCTCATATTGAATGACACTCTTAGTAGAACCTGGATGTCAGAAATGAAGAATTCAAACTGTGGATCAGGCTAAAAGATGGAAAGACAAAACTAACCTGGGTTTTGAGGATGAAGCAAGAGAGACACGAAGGGATGGCATTGGGTCGGGTTGGGTCGGGTTTTGTCAAACCCAAACCCAAATCCATGGGTTTATCCGTGAAAAAAATTTGGGGTAAAACCCACTGGGTTTGAAAAACTCAAACTCAACCCAACCCGCTGGGTATCCGCGGGTTCATGGGTACCCATGGGTTTTGTCGTAAAAAATTTACAATAACAAGTTCCTATCAAAATTAAAGTCATATATCAATCTCTCAATACAAATTATCCATATTTAAAACACTATTCTAGAAAATTCAAGCAAATCACAAATTAACTATACAAATTGTTCAACACCAATCTAGAAAACTCAAGAAAATTGAAGCACAAATTATTCATAAATAACATGATTAATTGAAAGCTTCTTCCTTTCAATTAAGTTTCTTCACTCTCCACTCGATAATATCAACTTCATTCTACACAATTAGAAAGAAAAAATTAGACATGTCTCCACAAACATAAATAAGATTAGTTGTTTAGAATATTAAATATACCGAGAAAATTAATTATATAGGTGTGAGCGGGTACCCATGGGTCGGGTTTACCTAAACCGAAACCCAACCCGGTGAATAGTGAACGGGTTTAAACCCAAAATCCGTCAACATGAATTTTACCCGCGTTGACCGGGTTAGGTCGGGTGAGTACCCGTGAGTTCGGGTTTTGTTGCCATCTCCATTTTTGCCACCTGTTACAAGATAGTAGTGGGTTGTCTCAGAATGAACTCTTGACACGACTTCGTTGGCTTTGTTCAAACTTCAAACAAGGCGCCAACTTTATATGACTCCCCGCAACTAGAGAGATCGTTAAACTGTACAAATTCGAGTTTGGAGTTTTGTTCGGCTTCTTTGTCTCCTTGTCCGAATGTGGGGGAGATGAGATGTATACGTGAGTCATCCTATCCTAAGGGTCACCCCAGAAATAGTAGTGTAATTAACTTGTACTTCCTCATTTGTCCCTAATGTTTGGTCAAACTTCCAACAATTTGATCTCATTTTCCAAGGTTTTAAACTCTATGATCATGTTGATGGTCATACAATTACTAGAAGGATATCTATAATTATTAAATCACGATACATGATTTCGATATTTTTTATTTATTTATCTATTCATACATCTGAAATGAAAATCAATTCGTAACATTTCAAGACAAATGATCGTCCTAACCATGTTTAGTCTATTCATTTCGAAATCGACGATTCATATATTTTTTTATATGAATGTTGACTGTAAAATTCAAAGTCGGTGTTTGTTGCTAATACAGATCTCTATGTTTTTATGCTTTCAACCTTTCAGTTTAAAGCTGATTTTGCTACCATGCGTGGGGATGGCCTTTAATGGAATTGGGTTGCATCGTCTAGTGATCTCAACTAATGGATGCAGGTTTCTAAATAACGCGTGTGTTTCAATCGGTCAGACGGACTGAAATCGTGGAACGTGTAGGTTCAATGATATCAGCTCACATCAGGACCTATCCATCAACATGACTAGTTGTGTACAATATTTATCACAATTCACAACACTAAGAACATCAATAGTTACAAATTCTGGTTTCTAGACTAAAGTTTCATTTATTGGGGAGGGCTTCCCACTTGGCTTTCTTTCTTTCCCACCTAAGCAATACCCCAAAACTTAACCCCACTAGGAAACAAAATTTGGCGGGTAGTAATGGCTTCTTTGTCCTTGTTATGGCATGTTTGGACTTTTCTTTGCCTTTAGGAATAACAACATTTCCGGACAAATCTCATTTTCACCGGCAAAGAATTCATAACAATAGGCATAGCCCAACCTCTCTCTCTCTTCTTTTGTTTGTTTATTAATTCGCATTCACTAGGCCAGCATGATTCCATCCGCTTGGTGTCAGGACAAGAATCTAGAGAGAGAAAGAACGGGAAAGAGACAAAAATGGCGAGGATGGTGGGAAAAGGAAATGTCGTCGTCGTCGTCGTCGTCGGTGCGTTAGAGAGAGAAAGTATGGAAAGCTTTAATGGTGGTGGAGGAGAGGGAAACGAAGAAAAAGCCAAAAAGGGCTCGCCTTTCTCATAAATTCCACATTCCCGCTGAGACGAGAACGACAAGCCAAGTCGCAAAGCGACAAGAAAGCAGCCCCTTACACGTTGTAGACAAAGCGACAACCGGTAGCCATGAACGAACAACAACAAGTCGTGCCAAACCAAACCTCTGCCCCTCTCTCTCTCTCTCTGCTTTCTTGGTGCGGTACAGAGTGCAAAGAAAGGAGCTTTTAATTCGAGCCACAGCCAGCTGAAATCGAATCAGAGAGCAAACCGTAGTTACAAAACAAGACGAGGGCAAAGGACTCTGCGAAAAAAAAAAAGGGGAAACATTTCCAGGGTTTTAAGGATTTGGGTGGGTACGATACTGATTGCTGGCAAATTCTTCGAATCTTCATCCATTTTCTTTCTGGGTTTTCCACGAATCGTAAAACCCAGTAAGGATCTTCGTCTTTCCTCTTCTGGGTCTCTGTTTCTTTGCGAGCTTCAGTTTAAAGTTTCCACCTTTCTTTCCTCTAACTGATTTGATTCAGTTTCCGCTTAGGTTTCGTTATCCAGTTGTTTCATTTTGCTTGAGCTGTCGAAAGTTTTTGTTTTCAATTGCTGAAAAATGTATCAAGATGATGGATCATCCTCTGCCACATCATCGCCACTCCAATTCTTTTCCATGGCGCAACTCTCGCCAAATCCTTCCAATCTCGGCTCGCCTTATCCATACCTCAGAGAGCTGAAATCCGAAGAGAGGGGTTTATACTTGATCCATTTGCTGCTCACTTGTGCAAACCACGTAGCAACAGGCAGCCTGGAGAGCGCCGAGATAGCACTTGGCCAGATCTCTCAATTATCGGCACCGGACGGCGACACCATGCAGCGCATTGCAGCTTACTTCACCGAAGCTCTCGCCGAGAGGATCATCAAAGCTTGGCCTGGAGTTCACAGGGCACTCAATGCTACCAAAATCAAAATCCCTTCCGAGGAATCGATGGTCAGGAGTCTCTTCTACGAGATGTTCCCGTTCTTGAAGGTCGCGTTCGTGGTTACTAACCAGGCAATTCTGGAGGCAATGGAAGGGGAGAAAATGGTGCATGTTATCGATCTCAATGCGTCCGAGCCTTCGCAGTGGATTGCGCTTCTTCAAGCTTTGAGCGGGCGGGCTGAAGGTCCTCCGCATTTGAGGATTACAGGAATTCATCAGCAGAGAGAGGTACTGGATCGAATGAGTCACAAGCTGGTTGAGGAAGCAGAGAGATTGGACATTCCATTCCAGTTCAACCCCATTGTTGTTAGTGGCGGGTTGGAGAATCTCGATCCGGAGAAGCTTCGTGTGAAAACAGGGGAGGCTCTGGCTATAAGCTCTGTTCTACAGCTGCACCCTTTCCTTGCCTCTCACAAGAACCCGAATTCGAGGTTGCTTCAGAGGCAAGGCACGTTGGGGGAGCTGTTGCTTGATCAGAAAGACAATAGCTTTGATTCAGCCTCGTCGTCATCATCACCACCAATTGGTTCTCCTTCTTCTTCGCAAGGGAAGATGGATTGGTTTCTGAATGTGCTGTGGGGTTTATCGCCTAAGGTTATGGTGGTGACGGAGCAAGACTCGAACCATAATGGAGCCACGCTCATGGAGAGGCTTCTCGAGGCACTGTATTCTTATGCAGCTTTGTTTGATTGCTTGGAATCAACGGTGCCAAGGAGCTCGATCGAGAGGCTGAAGGTGGAGAAGATGATGTTTGGCGAGGAGATCAAGAACATTGTGGCATGTGAAGGCGGGGAGAGGAAGGAAAGGCACGAGAAGCTCGAGAAGTGGATTCATAGGCTTGAGATGGCTGGTTTTGGTAATCTTGGTTTGAGCTATTATGGGATGTTGCAGGGTAAGGGGTTGCTGGAGAGCTATGGATGTGATGGGTATAGGATGAAGGAAGAGAATGGTTGTGCTGTGATTTGTTGGCAAGATAGGCCGCTTTACGCTGTCTCTTCATGGAGGTGTAGGAAGTAGTGAGTTGGAGCAAGCTCAGTTTTAGTTTTAGCCATTTTCTTCTCTTTCCCATGTACTATTTGGAATGCAAGTAAATTTTTGTGATATTTATACTGTTTCGAGGATATTGAAAGGCAACGCTTTCGTTTTGAAAGCGTTCACAACGCGATCTCTTATTCATTTGACAGACCAGCAAAACACAACCAGCAACAAGAATGGATTTTTTATACTCACTCGATCTAGCAATCCTAAATCAAAACAATGTGAATATGTACCTTACAAACCAAAAGATGTTTTAACATCTATCGGTGATTCTGTGTAGTCTGTGCTTTACATGTATTTCTGCATAGTATCGTCCTCTGGCCATTTCCTTAACATCTCTATATTCAGAGCGTTCTCTGTACCTATCTATCTCTTGGTGAAAGCTAAGACGGTTTTCTGCCATTACTTGTTCTTTCTCTACACAATACCGGGATCTTTCTGTACAAATTTCTGCACAACAGCTTCCTTGATGGCTTTAAGAGAATCTTCAAGGTCACCACAGAGCACATGAGGATCAGGAATCAATCCCGGATCAACAGCCAGAGATATGGTTATCGTGTTGCAATAACTCTGGAAATGAATCGTCAGCGCCTGTAAGCCACAAGATAAGATAAGAAGAAAAACATCTAATGGTTCTTGGACATATGATAAATCCCAGGAGGGCTTGACAGTGGCAAGAGAGTTCCATGTTTTGAAAGTTCAGGGTTCAGAGAGGGTCTACTTACATGGGGATGGCCATAGACGGTTGGAGCAAGGTAAGAGAGTGGGTGACCATAAAAGCTGATTTCTTCTACAGGACCGGCCATGTTTGAGAAGGCTAATGTAGTGTTAAAAAGGACTCTGTTAGCAATCCAAGAAGCCACCTGTTTCCAATGTCAAGGGGGTGAATCATTAATCCAGAACAACACCAACTCAATGACCTCGTTTTCTGCTGAATGTTTCTTTACCTTGACTCCCAATGTCTGGATGACTATCCTGGCGCCCAGACATGTGAAAACGGGTTCTAAAGAGAGCTTCTTTCGATCAATTATGGACTTCGCCCTTCGAACATGTTCTAGAGGATCATCTTGTGAGGAAATGGTGAGAGGAAGCATTAGGTACCCTATCCAGTTCCCCCATCCCCATTTCTCCTTCGGTCCCTTGGCCATCAAATCAGCCAAATCCTGAGCATGAGAGCATATTTAAAGGCACATCAACAGGCGGCCCTTTCAAACACAATGTTGAATTCACACAAAAGTATTGGTTTAGACAGATCCTTTTCAGCAGGAGCTGGATAGTTTTGGTACCTGGATCCCGGTTGTTGGCCTTAAGTTAACTAGAACTGATGCTCTAAGCCTTATGTTCCTCGGAATATCGAGTTTCTGACTTTCTGTTCCCCTATGTTGCTGATCTTCACCTGTTAAATCAGGGAAATCTATTAGCTTCTGCGATGATAGGAAGAAAAACAGAAAATTTATCAATAGGACAAAGCTCACCATATCTTCGGTATAGATATTTCGAGAGACCAGCTTGTGTTACTCCGACTATGACATCATTGATCGTCTACTAAAGTCCGGATCAAGAAACTAAAAAGTCAGCACGAAGAAGGAAACATAATCTGCCATCATATAAGCAGTACGTTCAGCCAAACAGACAAGATGCAGTGCTTTCTATGGAAACTAACTCATCCGTGCTACCATTGAGTTATAATAAAAAGATTGCTACTTTCGACAGCAATCCTATAACTCTTTAAAAATGGTCATGAAACAGCTACATAGAAATGTTTCACAACTTGAACTACTGGCAGAACAAGTCAGACTGTACCATATTCAATGCATTCTTCACCAGCTTAATGTCATCCAAGCTAACAGTACGGTGCACAAACCTCCTGAGCTGCTGTCCTTCCACTTTTAGAGCTTTGATCGGAGTCTTTGTATCTTTCAGAAACAACATTGTAGCAGCAAACAGAAACAAATCCACCAAAGTGTTCCAAATCAGCTTCAGCAACGTCCAAATCAACAAAAACACCCCACCAGAGAGAGCAGCAGCACCAGGAGAAGGCTTGTTGTTCATGGGAACAGTAGGCAATTCTTCAGGGTCGGAGGATTTTCGGGTACAAGCTAGAAGAAGAGACACCAATGAGGCACCATCACCTATGGAATGATGGATCTTGAACACCCCAACAGCTTCTGCATCAGAAGTTTTCACGTTCAACAAGTGTAGCTCCCATAATGGCTTGTTTAAGTCTAATGGCAATGTGGTGAGATGAGAAACATAGTCTTCAACAAATTTATCCGGTGACTCCACCACATCGCCATCATCCAGATTTGGAATGATAATGTGATCATCTAGATTGACTTCAGTCTGCTCCCATTTCATTTTCCTGCCTTTGCAACCATCAACCACCTGTGATTGATTTCACACAACATGAACACAAGTACAACAGATCAGCTACCTAAACCATAGTGTAGATGCCAAACTCCATAGTTGGGGAAATTCTTTAGACCGCATAAAAACAAACCATTCTAGGGCCAGCCAGATGACAATATAGCCAGGGAAAGAAACAAAGAGAGGTATATCAAGAGATAGAATCCATTTGCTCAAAGCCACTAGCCATATCAATACCCAGTTGGCCAGTTGGTGCGGCCTTTTCTTCAACAGATAAAAGCTTAAAGTTTCAACCTTTCAGACCAATTCATTATGATTCCGGACCTTACAGTAGCTCAATGATCATGGCAAGAGTTAGGAAGTCATTCTTTAAGGAACCCACCACCCAGTTTGGCTAATAGTTGAACAATTTGAACTACCCACTAATGATTGATAACCCAATTTAAAGATGGAATGGAGTACTAAAATTTCCTCTTTTCTATTTCAAAGATACGAAGAGGTGGGGGGACAAGAATCATTAACGTTTGACACGAACGTTTTGATGGTTAACTTGTGAGGTAAGCTTACCCTAGACAAGAAAACCACCAGCTCAATCACCTTCAGTCCTTCACCAGAGGGAACAGGGTCAAATGACAAAAATGGCCCCCCAAACAATGATTGGAAGTTTCTCCAAAGTTGGATAGATGAGAGGACAAAAACCATCCCTTTTCAGTCTTTAATGAAAATCCAAAGAAGGAATCAAGATATTTGCTCAAAACACGCTGAAAGGTACCCACCATTAGGGTAACGATCAATCAGCAGGGAAGGCTTAGCTCAAGTGCCGCACAGAAAAGGGTACTCAAATTAAGGGTCAATCTAAGTAAATCGAAAGCAAAAACGAAAGAAGAAGGATTGGTGGGAATTGGGAGCGGGGGCGCTCACCGGTTTGCTGGAGAAACGAGGGTGTTTGATCAACGTGCGCTCCAGTCCGAGCTTGACGACGGCGGGGTTGATCTTGGTCTTGCAGCCCATGATGGCGACGATGTAACAGTTGAACTTGGGCGAGTGGAACAAACGGGCTGCTGGGCTCAACGCGTAGCCCGTGAATGATGATTTCTCCTTGTCGATGGCTTTAACATCTGCGGCCACAACCACTTCTTCTCCCGCTTTAATTTCGCCCGCCATGCTCTTCCGTCTTCTCTACTCCCTAGGTTTTGGGAGCTGGCCGGAGAGCGGAATGGTTAGTGGAGGTTCAGGGGTTCTGCTATTTATCTATCTTACCCACGTTTAGCTTTTTTGTGTTGCCTTTTGAAAAATTGAAACAGGGGATGGCTTATTGGATTTGATTTTCTTTCTGTTTTCTCCAACCAGAGCCAGCAACCAACCGCGACTAATTTCTACCTCTTCGAATTCTTTTGTTGTTGTTGTTGACTGGATGCATGGATTGAATTATCAATGAAGTCGTTTCCTTTATGCTTTTGTAATCTTTTAGTCAGTCTGCTTTGCTACCAAATTGTTGGCTTTTTGGGCCAAAGCCGGATGGTGTCCAATTGGGATCTACCGCCTATATGTTAATTGGTACACAAAATGCCTACGTATTTGCTTGCGAGTTGCAACCTTGGATACGAATAGTAATGAGTAATGACCCAGGTTGTCCATCGGTGGAAAAAAATGGGTGCTATTCATTTGGTTTGGACTTCATTCGAATTCCTAAAACTGGTTCAACCCGATTAAAATCTAGCAAAATCGGCTTCAATTCGGTCAAAAATAAGCAAAATTGGTCAACAAACTTTCATTGTAGAAGACCACTTTGTTTGGCTTTTATAGGTACAAAATCGAAAATCCCACACTACAACCATTTTATATCAAATTCACCTGTCGCTTTCCTTCACGGGTAAAGAATGAGATAAAAAACCTTCCTTTCAATAGTGTGCTCAGTTTTGATCATACCTCCTTTTGTTCCATATTGTAATTAGGATTTTCTGTGCTTCTGATTAAATGATTTTTAATTTCAGTATTCGATTGTTCAATAGCATCTCAAGTAATAAAAATATCTTCAAAATTGCAAATCGCAATACAAAATTCAACAACCCCTCAAGACGCCTTTTTTCTTTATCTCATAGAATTTCCTTCCAACCTACATTTGGTCCTTTCTTTGGGAATTTCAATGTAACAGCTTCCTTCATGATTCTGAGGGATTGTTCAAGCTCATCACAGAGCACATGCGGATCAGGAATCACTTCTGGATCAACTGCAACTGAAATGGTCATCATGTTGCAGTAGCTCTGGAAGTGAATCGTCAATGCCTACTCAAATGAAAAACCAATTGCATCATGGATCTTGAGAGATCACATCAATCCCATTCTTTTGTCATAGTGGCACATGGGTGGATGGATAGGGCAAGGGTAGTATGGAAAATCTCTATTAAAAGTTTTGCTCGCACAAATGAGCAAGACCCATTCTAACGGATTTATGCGAAATTACAAATTGAGATTCTAATGAATAACTACGTTAACTAAAAAAACGATCGTTAAAAGGACGACATACAAAGGCAAACTAGCTATTCAATCTAGTATAATCTATCATCAAGTTTGGTAGGTAGATTTCATCATATTTAGTGGAGCACTTACATGAGGGTGTCCATAAACGCTCGGAGCAATGTAAGCTATCGGATGCCCGTAAAGACTGATTTCCTCTATCGGACCCACCACATTAGAGAAGGCCAATGTGGTGTTGGACAATATCTTGTGGAAGATTCCAACAGTTGCCTGTTTTTTTACACATACTCATAGAGAAATGTCAGTCTTTCTCCATTAAGAGCAACACATATTGATAAATTGATTCCAAATATCAATCAAATCTTTTAATTTTACCTTGGCTCCAAATACCTTGGGAAGGATTCTAGCTCCTATGAACTCTAGAATTGGCTCCAAGGAGTGCTTCTTTCGATCCATTGTGGCCTTGGCACTCCAAAGGTAGTCCAATGGATCGTCTCGCAGAGCAATGGTGAGAGGAATCATCATGTTACCAATCCAATTCCCCCATCCCCATTTCGCCTTTGGTCCTTTGGCCATCAACTTTGCCATATCCTGGATTCCTGCCGTTGGTCTCATGTTGACCATAATGCATGCCCTAAGTCGGATTGTGCTTGGGAGATGGCTCTTTTGAATCTGATTACTCTGTTTCTCTTCATTCTTTTGGTTCTCACCTATAAGATTTACGACAACTCATGATCAGGTAATCGTCATCATGTGCACGATGGATCTGATCGTTGTAAGGGACAAATGAATAAGGATAGCGCAAGGGGCTGGATTAGTGATAATGTGAGAGGTTACAATTTACCATGTTCTAAGTTCGAGGATCGAAGCTAACAATTATCTAAAAAGAAAAATAAAGGACAAGGAAAGGAAACTTGCCGTATTTTCGGTTGAGATATCGAGAGATACCGGCTTCTGTCACTCCAAGTAAGACATCGTTGACGGTCTACTAAGTTCTCAACGACCAAATTGGGAAAATAACAATGATTAATTTGGAACAAACAATAAGCAAAGATTATTTAGTAGATAGCAAGAATACAAGGACTAAGATGCATGAGTTGCATTTACGATACGACACATACGCTAAACTATAAGTGCTTACAAGAACCGACAATGTTGGTTAGTTTGAAACGTGTAATTTATACTTTTGAAATTAACAAAACCGTTGTTGTGACAGTTCACATGTATTTGGAATTTAGAAATGTAATGTGGACATATAAACAAAAGCAATGAGGGAATAATAATCTGACTATGATGTTGATAATCATTCTGTGAGAACGTGCTTACAAGGTTCGGAGTCGTCAGATCAAACACTAGGAGCCCCACGTTTATTAAATGGGTCGTGAATGTGGGGTGTGCGGTTGATCCGACGACTCCCACCCTTCAATTGACGAAGGATTAACAAGGGATTAAGTTTTAACTTACCATATTCATAGCATTCTTGACCATCTTAATATCACCCAAACTAACCGTCCGATGCACAAACCGCTTCCCATTCCGCCCCTCCCCTGTCGCCGGACCTTTGATCGGAGTTCTCGTATCTCTCAAGAACAACACTGTCGCATTCACCAGCAACACATCCACCACAGTGTTCCAAACCAATCTCACCACCGCCCAAATCAACCAAACCAGAGACCAACAGAAACCACTAGCCGACACCACGCCCTGCCTCCTCGCCCGCCGGTTCTTCACCGGAACTGAAGGCAGAGCATTAGGGTCAGAGGATTTCCTCGCACAGGCGAGGAGCAGCGAGATCAACGAGGCGCCATCGCCGATTGAGTGGTGGATCTTGAAGACGAACAGCGACTCCGCGTCGCGCGTCTTCACGTTGAGGATGTGGAGCTCCCAGAGCGGCCTGGTGACGTCCATCGGGAACGTGGAGAGGCGGGAAATGTAGTCTTCGACAAAGGAATCAGGGGAGGTTGTGAAGAACTCGCCGTCGCCATCATCGTCGTCTAAAGTTGGGATTATGATGTGATCGTCGAGTTCTACCATGGTCTTCTCCCATCTCAGTTTCCTTCCTCTGCATCCATGATCGTCGACTACCATTCTGCTGGAGAAACGAGGGTGTCTGATCAAAGTGCGTTCGAGACCGGACTTGACGAGGGCGGGATCGATGGCGGTCTTGCTGCCCAACACTGCAATTATGCAGCAGTTGAGCTTGGGGGAGTGGAACAAGCTGGCAGTTGGGCTCAACGCCTCCCCAATTTCCACCGCCGTGAAGTCTGCTGATTTTGCTCCGCCGCTGCTTTTCCCGTTTGCTGCGGTCACCGCCGCCATTTCCGTTCCCCTGTTTTCAGTAATTAACTCCTGTCAGTCATCGTCCGGCCGTGTGGACCTTTATTTACCAATTCTCCGCCCCAGCCACATATATATATGTAGAGGAATTCTCCGTTCTCTCCCACCTCCATTAGAATTCGGACCGATCGATTTCTCCGCTTTCGATTTGCCTTGTTTTTGTAAACTCCTTTCGGTGTTTACAATTTGCCCTGCCTCAGCCTGTAACCTGATCCTCTTTGTTTCGGCTCTGGCTCCAAATTATTCCATTCGGGTTTTCTTACAAATTTCGTTATCATCTAAATCCGTGGAGATAATCAAAGAAGATCCGACATTTCCATAACCTTAACAATTCTTAGCGAATAAACCCCCCAAAAAAGCAGAGGAAAGGTTGTTTCAGATAAATCGAATTACAACAATATGCGTCCATTGAAGCTGTAAAGGAATTTTCCATTGCACCGGGGGCAGGAAACGAAAGCACTCTCCTAAGGCAGGAAAGACAAATCGAAACATGGTCGATGGCTTCAGGTAATTTGCAGATAATCGTCGGCCTCTGGGTTTGGATTTCAAGAACAGAATTTCTTCGTATCAGGTGACAGCAGGTAGGAAAAAGCTTTTTTTCTTCATCCTCAATGTTATCTATCCTCTGTTCCATTTGCAACCTTTTCTTCTGCCATTATCAGGAAAGAACAATTTCATTTCTTTGTTCAATCGGCAGAAGGAATATGAAATTCCTCCTCTGGGTTCTGGTTATCAGCCTGGAATTAAAAAAAAAAAAACCCTGTTCCTGGATATTGCTTTTTCCAGATTTCATCAGAACCCTCTGCAATTGCTGGAATTTATCATCACATATTCATTTTCATTGGTGTTCATCAGATTCCCTTTGCAGAGCTAACATGGGAGGGAAAGAGGAAGGGAACAAAGAGGAACCATCATCCGTCCTATCAAAAAGAGAGGTTTTCGACATCTCCGGACCCCTGCATCTCACCCAAATCGACTGGTAACAAAAAAAACCCTTACATTAATTTCCCCTCCAATCCATGAATCCCTACCATAATCTTCAACATCACAGGATAATCTTGAAGTTTGCCATGTCCCGGAGTTTGCAGGACCAATCTCGACCACCGAAGATCGGTGGCCGCGTCACTAGTCCAGGGAGTGTGCGTCCTGGAAAGAGACCGCCAGCAGAAGAGGTACGGCCCCGAAGCACAAGCCACACCATGGTGGACATTCTTCGACTTCCAGCTCGTCAACCTCCTCCTCGACGACAACGACAAGTCCATCTTCGGCGCCATTTTCGAATACAAAAAAACCACTACAACCACCATCCCCGATCCTCCTCCAGACGGTAGTAACAAGAATCGTCAAATCTCCGGTGCTCTAGTCCCTCCAGGCTTCCACCAGCACGCCCCGATCTACACCATCGCCTTCCGCGGGACACTAAACAAGCGCGACTCGATCTCCCGCGACATCGAGCTCGACCTCCTCTGCATCCGCCACAAGCTCCACAAGAGCTCCCGGTTCCGCGTCGCGGTCCAGGCGGTCCACGACCTGATCGCCATCGTCGGCTCCGACAACCTCTGGCTCGCGGGCCACTCGCTGGGTTCCGCCATCGCGCTCCTGGCGGGGAAGAAGCTGGCAAAAGGAGGGACTTTCATCGAGACGTACCTGTTCAACCCGCCGTTCCTGTCGGCGCCGATCGAGCGGATCAACAACAAGACCCTGAAGCAGGGGATCCGGTTCACGAGCGGGGTGGTCAAGGCCGGGCTCGCCGCCACGACCGAGACCCAGGACCGGAAGACCCGGAAGGAGTCCGAGTTCGCGGTGCTCGCCACGTGGATGCCGTACATGTTCTTGAATCCGAGCGATCACATCTGTGCTGGGTACATCGGGTATTTCGAGCACCGGAGGAGGATGGAAGAGAGGGGCGCGGGGAAGATTGAGAGGATTGCGCTGAGCAATTCGGTTGCCGGGTTGCTGTCGGGGAGCTATTCGGAGCCGCTGCATTTGGTGCCGTCGGCGTACTTGACTGTGAATTCGAGTAATCTTGCGAGCTTTAAGAAGGCTCATGGGATTCATCAATGGTGGAACCCGGATAATTGTTTCTGCTCTGCTGCGTTCAAGTTTGTCAACAACACATAATTGATGACAACTTTTTTGTTTTGTAGATAATTCTTGTAGTCTGATTTGTTAGGGGGAATTGATGGTTTCAGTGGTTTCTCCCCCAAGAAATGTCGAGAGAAGAGAATCACAAAATTCAGACACTAACCCTGCAAACATTAATTAAGCCAAGCAAGCTACGAAATGAAAGAAATTGCTAACTCTACAGCAGGCGTGACCATGGGTTGAAGGAAATGCTAGAACATTTTAGGAATTTTAGTTGCAGCAGATCACAACCATTTTTCAGGATGTTTGTAATTGCAATTTTGTTCATAAAATATATGATTCATCGTCACATACACCTATGGTTTTCCACCCCTCTTGATACACTACAAAAAAGGTTGAGATTGAGACTACTTCTTGGCTTCTTGCTATTGTTTTTTGTAAGTTTCTTTCGATTCTCCTACTCGTACGATTATCATTTTATTGACACATATTTAGTGTCACTGCAATGAAATTTCACTCATTCATAAAAAGATCGCGACGTTATCATTAATAGAGGACTCGAGGAACCACATCGAAGATAAGTCCACTACCTATAAAGAATTACAATTGTTAACATTCAATTCACGGAAAATAGTACGGCCTAGAGAGTCTAAGCATTTTGGCGAATAATTTAAATAAGTCCACAAGTCACAAAAACAGAACTAACGTTTATACAATTTTTTCCAAACACATCTCCACTTTTAGCTGGTTTTTTATTAATTAAAAGATGAGTGTACAAAAGCCCATAATGCACTAAGAGGCGGTTTGGATATCGGGGATTGTAGTGCAAGATTTTGCCACAATCTCTCATCTTCCCCGTTTTCATCACATTCATATGTTTTCGGAAAGCTAAGAAATGAGAGATTTTGACCATGAGGAATTTCCAAACCCTGCAAGTGGGAGATTTCGAAATAGTCGACTCCACTAAGCTATTTCTAAATCTCACACTATTTTCCTTCTTCCAACCATTGTCTTTCTACCCACTTCATCACACCACCAACACTAGTTTTCCTCCTCATCTCCTCAACTAGAATCTCCAGTCCTTCCCAAAGATGTTCCTCCTTCCCCTCGAGATCTCCACCAATTTTCGATTCTCCTTTCCGATCTGTCCCGACCTCCTCTTCTCCCCACTCTCCCCCCTACTACTCCCTCTCTTCTCTCCTATGCTCTTCGACCTCCTCCTCGACCTTGTCGTCGTCGCCTCACCATAGCCATCTTCCGTCAACGACGCCCGCCCTACAACCACTCATCTGTGTCTATCATTGTCGTAGACAAATTCTCCTTCCCTGACAGACATACAACCAAGGTAGCTAAGCCTAAATTAGCATGGTCAGAAAACACGCAACCTCAAGAGAGAACTTCATGTTCTACTTCATTAGTAGGCTTTGTTCTGGCCAAGTCGATGATAGTCAGTTCGTTGAAAGGTCATTACATAAAGAAGTTTACACACCCAGAATGACTTAACACCTAACTGTATGTTATGTATCAATAGCTTTGATTTAGTAGAGATTGGACAACCAACAATGTATGATTTCATTATTATTGATTTTGTAATGTATGTTCAGAATTTTGGGGAAAAAAACTATTCGATCGAAAACTATATTAGTACTAGAATCAATACCCGTGGCTACGCCATAGGAAGTAAACTTGCACTAACTGAAAGAAAATACAAATTATATGCATTTGTAAGAAGTGTTGAACATTAGTTCACTTTTGATATCTTGACAAAGCAGAATGACTATTTTTTATGTGAAACCTAGTTAAGTAGACTACATTTAGCCAACACGATTGAAAGAGAAAGTAAAAAGTCTATGCACATGTAAAAAGGGTTGACAATTAGTTGTTTTTCATTTATCAACAAAGCATAGTTGATATTTTTGTATGGAGTATCTACGGTTTACGCAACCAAAGCAAAATATGTTTCGAGCATCCTTACATGAGATATTATTATTATTATTATTATTATTATTATTATTATTATTATATACTTAAAAGAGAGGTTTGTTGGTTACTGTTTATTAGGGTCAAATCAATGGGGGCAATAAAAAATTAATTGTTGGTTACTTTCAAGTATTGGATACTTGAAAGTTGGAGTTTGTCTGCCACTTTCTCCTTTTTCTTTTTTTAGCCCTCTTTCAATTATGAAGAATGAAAAGATTGGTTTTGTTTTACTCTCTATGCATTAGTGGGACGAGGAAGAGAGAGAGAGTAATTGATCCATTTGCCTTCCTTTTATTCTCTGCATATACCATTCTATCTGGAGATGTCAAAGAAAATTAAGAGAGGGTTGTTGTACACATGATTAATTTTTTGCCCTTTTTAATTATATAACTGGAAATTCTTTCTATTATTTGCCCCTTCTAATTTTAGAGAATGAAGTCCTCCCAATTTTCAGCCCACGCCACATGAGTGACAAAATTTCATAATTAGTTACAACTTCAGTATTTGATTATAATTCATTTCATTTGTTATTTTCCTCCATTTTCTCTTCTTATAAATTCTCAATTCATCAACCAACATTCTTTCTCTGTAACTCAAAGAAGAGATGAAAACAAGCAGCCTAAGAACAAATGGTCAGGAGGAAAAAGAGGAAGAAAAATGAATTGGTGATCTCAATAAGGTATGTGTTTTGGATTTTGTTTCTCCATTTTGTTAATTTTTCTTGAATTTGTTGAACACTTTTTGTCGTTTGTTTCATATTGGAGTTTGCGAAGGAGTGCCTCGAAGGAAAATTAGCAAAGACGATGATGCGTCAGATGTGACTACAACCCATGAGCTTGATTTTCTGGAGGTTGAGGAAGAGAAGGAATCGTTTCAATGTTGGGGGGATTTGCAGAAGCATTTTAGGGAAAGGACGATTAAGGAAGTGCAGCGGGGGAAGAGGGAAGGAATGGAAGGCGAGATTTCATGAGGGGAGAGAAGGACGAGGCGTTGGTGGTGGTGGCTGGATCTTCGCTTTTTGTGGGAGATGGTGGCCGGAGGAGGGAAGGGGTGGAGTTGGCATTTGGCGGCAGAGGTGGTGGTGGTAATGGTAGATCGGAGGTAAAGGAAGTTGGAAGGGTAAAGAGAGATAGTTGCTGAAACTCTTTAAACTTAAAATTTCATTATAAGTTTTGTAGATATATTGAAGGTGTATTTGGTTGTCTATTTCATGGTTTTGTTCATATTGTTTCCCATTCCTTTCATATTGAAGTTTGATGGGCGAGAAACAGGATTGAAGTCGGTGAACTCACATGGTTAGTTTCTAAGCAGTGGTTTCCCTTTTGATTTTTGTTGGGTTTGATTTCACGAATTTCCCTTCCGTGCTCTGCCTTTTGCTTATCGTGCTTTATGGATTTGGTTGGTCATTTTTGCTAATTTTTCCCCAATGGAGCTCTTGATAATGATGACTCCGACCAGTCAAATCTACAATAAATGGCAATGAAGATTGCAGTGATAAGTAATTAAATGATAATGTAACTTAATTTACTATAACGAATGCAATGAAGAGGACTTCCCCCTTCCTCCACCCCTTACATAATACTTAATTCGTTACTTTATGTTTCTGGTTGGTTTTAGATGACGAAGCAAAGCTCTCAACATGGATAATGAGGGTATGAGATGAATAGTCCGAGTACGTACATGCAAAGGAGAATTATGCTTTCCTATAAGTTGATACCACAACTTTTGAAAAGTAATATGCTATTATTTGCTTTCTGATTATGTTGATTGGTTGAATAAAATTCAGTTTGTTAGAAAGTTGGTAGGCCAAATTCTTCAAAATTAATCAGGACAACTAGCCTCAATCTTTTACTTATTTGTTCACTCATTTTAACTGCAGATTGAGGCCTTCCGGGCCTTTCTTTTCTCTCTCTCTCTTACTTTGCATGATTTTTTACTTTTTGGAACTGGTATCTACTTTCTAGAATCGGCATGTATGCATACTTTTTGGAACTGGAGTTAGGTAGTCATTGACTTATGAAGGTGTTGCCAAATCCTTTACGTGATTAACCTTTTATATATATCTTTGATTCATGGGTAAGCATCTCGACTTTTCAACCAGGTCAATATACTTCCTGACATTTAAAATCCATAACCAAATAGCACAGCCCGGCGCGAAGCGCGAGCTTCCTATCTAGTATGTATTCTATATATAAGTGTATGGACATCATAAAAGGGTAGGTAGAGTCTTAATGGGTCTTAATGCTAATGGCAAGTGAATTCCATATGGTGATGACCTCAAACACCATATATGTGTCTGTCATCGTCGTAGACAAATTTTCCTTCCCTGATAGACACATAACCAAGGTAGCTAAATTAGCCTGGTCAGAAAACACGCAACCCCACGAGAGAACTTCATGTTCTACTTCATTAGTAGGCTTTTTTCTGGCCAAGTCGATGATAGTCAGTTCGTTGAAAGGTCATTACATATAGAAGTTTACACACCCAAAATGAATTAACACCTAACTGTATGTTAAGTATCAATAGCTTTGACTTAGTAGAGATTGGACAACCAACAATATTTGATTTCGTTATTATTGATTTTGTAATGTGTGTTGAGAAGTTTGGGGGGGGGGGGGACTATATTCACATGTCAAAAACTATATTCGTAAACTATATTCGTATGTCAAAAGTTAATGATTATTGAGAAGTTTTTGTTCTCAAACAGCATCCACATTCACTTCTAAATAATATATACAATTTTTTGGTAAACCAATTCACGAGCCACTTATCTAGTTGCATAATAAAATGAGTAAATTACTCAATGTCACACATCATAAAACAGAGCAGTATATCTTTGGGCCAGTTTCAATGGAGGAACTTCCAAGTGGAAAGCGAGAAAATGGGAGTCCCTTTCCATCCAACAATCAAACACCTCCCATCCATATCCAACGTACAACACTTGCCCTTCACAAACCTCCCCAGCAACAGATTCACAGTCTCCATGGCCGACGAGCTCAACCCCACTTCCCACACCGAGAACTGCCCAAAGAACTTCCTCCACACATCAACCGTCACCACCCTCAGCATTTCTTCCCCTTCCTTCACCAAAAGATCCGTAATCTTGTTCAAGAACATCGACTCAATCAAGCCCCTCTCCCCAGTCCCGCCGCCACCATCATCGCACGATGAATCCAAGCAAGCATCGAGACAGTCGAAGTATGCCCCATAGTGGAACAACATTTCGACGAACCGGCGAGCGAAGTTAGAGGAATTGAGGTTCACTTCTGATTCAAGCACCACCATTATGCTAGGACTGATTTTCTTCAAAACTTCCGTCAGTGCCTCCAATTCATTCGGATCTGAAACCAGACCCTGTAATGCGTACTCGCCGTAAACAGCCACGGTTTCTCTGGGATCGAGGTCGAATTGCGCCTCGTCGAGTTCGGTGAAGCTTGATACCACTATGGTGTTAAATTCAAAGGGTATCTCCATCGACTCGGCGAACTTTGTGAGCCTTTCCCCTGTTCCCCGGACCAAATTTTCCGAAATGGTGACGATGGCTGTGATTTTCAGAATCTCCGGTGCACGACGACGGCGTCGTTTTCCTTTGGAGGCGGTGGATAAAGCCTGCATCAGGGCCGTCCATTGCATCCCGTTTCTGATTCTGAGGTCGATTATGTGAATCCTCTTGGCCTTCTCTACGCTTTCCACGATTGCTTGAACTCCGGCTAGCTGTCCGACTTGGAAGAAGGGGATTTTCTCGTACAAGACCACGACTATAGGGGATATAGCAGTCATTGTTTCCTCGACGTTCAATCGTTGGAAACGGTTCATGAGATCGGCTATCGGGTGGGTTCCGCTGCCGGTTTCTTTACGGAGCTTTTCGCGAAGAGCTTGGACGAAGTAGTGGGTGATTCGCTGTGCGAGATTACCTGTCCTGGAAGACGAGAAATCACAGAGGTTTAGGAAGTGGGTCGCTTGCTCGTACTGCTTGTGGTCCAATTCATCGGCTGCACGCAGAAGCTGGTGTATGAGTTCGACGTCGTTGGTCACCTCATCATCGTCGTCGTCGGAGTTTCCGGATGGTGGGTCGGTCGGTTCCGTAATAGAATCTATGAACTTTTCTGCCGCAAATCTAATTATATCTGCAATGGAAAAATCTTGCTCTGGCTGGGTATCTGGGTTCTGGTTCCTGAAAAAGTTGTCAATGCGGGTCTTTTGCCTCTGCAGATGCAGGGAGGCTGAAGAAAACAGAGTATCCACTGTTTTTGGGGTATGATCGGAGCGGCGAGGAGAAAGCATTTTTGGCAGTGGTGTTTCTTCTTCTTCTTCTTCTATTAGCTTTACTATGTTCATGAATATGATTTTGGATAGATAGGCGAGTGAGAGAGTGAAGAAGAGAGATCCAGAGAGGTGGTTTATATATACTCTGTTTTCGCCTCTCCTCTGTTGTCCCGTTACTTAGACTCGATCGGGGAAGTGGAACAGATGGTTTGGGAAACAACAGAGCTCCTGGGCCGAAAGGAGATCATTCGACCTGATAAGTCCAAAAACCAAAACCAAGAAGTGGACTTGAAAGCATCTTCGGTGCCGAATCCCCTGTTCCTTGTTGTCTACTTGTGGCCGAAAGGAGATCTTTCAACCTGATAAGTCCAACAGTAAGGGGACTTGCCTCGCTGACTTGTTGTTGTGCTTTTCGCCACCGTTCTCCTGCTGTCAATTTTGGGGATTTGTGTTTTGAAGTGTGATGGATTACAGAAAGGGAAAGGTTACTTGTAATGGGGGAGGATTGGAAATCGATTGTGAGAGGACAGGAGACGCCGGTTTGTATGGCGGCAACGGCAAGGCAACGGCGGCGGTAGAACAAGCGACGCGGACAACTGGACAAGGAAGGAGAACGGTTCAGTGGGGATGGGTTAGGTAGGGGTGTTCAAATGGTTACCATGGTTATAACCAAACCAAATAAGACTAAATTCCATTAATCATGGAATACAATATCATAACCAAACCGTCCAAACTAATACAACAACCAAATTAATCAAACTAAAGTTTAATCGGTTTGGTTAATTGGTTAACCAGATTAACCAATATAAAATCGCATTATCATTGACGATGAAAATTTTCCGGTTAATGCAACAATTCACAATTTATATAATGAATAAAACATAACAATCAACACGTAGTTATAGTTGACCCTTAACAAAAATACATGCAACTAAGACAATTATCTTACGATTAGTATAGAAGTATTCACCTAACAAAAATTTATGACAATGGTATGGGTTAATGAATTGTTGTGTTTGTGTAAATTGACTTAGTCTCTTAGCAATTATCATAGGCTGGAAATGACCTTCCTTTCAAGTTTTCATCCATCATAATGTATGAAATTTATCTAAATTAGGCGTCTATATGTTGTGGTCTACACTTTACATATACAAATATACACTATATGAGCAATATTGAGCTTTATATTTTATGAGTCTAAAAGGGATGAACGTTAACTCTTGAGTGGTTATGCAAAGTATTAAGTATGTGTATATAATATATGTTAGATATATGACTAATTACTTAACTGATTAATTTGGTTTGACTGGTTAGGAGTGTCTGAAACCAAACCAAACCACCTAAACCAAACAAGCTAAAAACTTTAACCAAACCAAACCAATTATCCAAATCAACCAAACCAAATTATCCAAATAGTACCGGTTAAAATGGTTACCACGGTAACCAAACCGTTTGAACACCCCTAGGGTTAGGTATTGAGTTTGATTAGATGGTTAATTTGGGTGATTCGGTTTTTTAGTAGTACTAGTTATTTGGCTCGTGCTTCGCGACGGTAAAATCTACGTAAAATACTTGTTTTTATTGATACATAAGAGATAACTGTTCCTTCAAATTATGTACTGTATTTAAGAAAATTTACGTTATAGAATGGTGTTATGTAAATTTTATGTAATGTATATATAATAATAACACCAAGTTAAGAAAAAGTAAGACTGATTAATTATTATGCAACAGTTAATTACCTTATGAAACATTTGTGTAATGCAAATTGATGGATGGTGGATATTGTAGTTAACAATTAAAAAAATTTAATTGCTAATACAATAATTAAATTATGAAAATTATTACATTTGATCCAATTGATATGTAAATCTTATAAAATCGTTGTGTAATGGAGTTTGATGAGATGGTCAATCGTTTTTTTAATAACAAATAAATTTTAATTAGAAATAAACCTTATAGAATCTTTGTGTAATGTAAATTAATGAGATGGTAAATCATTTAGTTAATAATAAAGAAATTATCAATCGAACTCATACTACGGAAGACTATGTAATATATTGTTTTATTTGATACATAATAAATAATGATCCTTTCATAAATTTTACAAAATGTCTTAATCATTACGAAAGACTTAAACATATCACGTTATATTTAATTGATACATAAGAAATAACTATCCTTCCATAAGTTTGACCTACTATTTTTAATTTATATAACTTTTATGGAATCGTGTTACATTTCATATTTTTTGGACTAATAATAAAATAAAGTTGCAAAAAGTATCATATTTGATTTAACTATTATGTAAAAGTTCATTTACCTTACGAAACCTTTGCGTAACACAAATTGTTGATGTGGTAAATATTGTAGTTAATGCAATAAAAGCTTGTTTAATTGTTACATAAGAAAGAACTATCATTTTATAAGTTTGACTTCATATATTTTTAATTTACCTAAATTTTATAAATTTGTGCTACATAAGTTATTTGTAATGTTGGGTCTAACAGTAAAATCAAGTTACATAAAGTATTACATCTCATTAAACTATTATACAGAATTTAACTTACCTTACTGTAAGGTTGTCAACCCGTGGGTCGACCCCCAGTTTAACTCAGATTGATCCTGGCCCAGTGAGTAAAATGGGTCACACACCTGCTGGTCGACCAACAACAAGGTTCTAGGGTTGGAGGTCACACAATGTCGCTTTATCTTTTGATTTGCAAATTGCGCCTCTTTTCCCATTCACCTAACCTAACTTTATTTGGAATTCTGAGCTGAATATTTGAGTGTGTTTGAATTTTCATTATATGTTGGATCCAAGTTAATGTTATATGTTATTACACATATGTTATATGAGATTGATATAATTTATAAATGTCTGAATAATATAATAAATTCTTTCATATATTCGAGTCAAATTGAGTCAAAAGCAATGAAACCATTAACCCTCAATTCTCTTACTCGACTGAGCCAACTTGCTAAATTGGGTTGGACAACCTTGTCTTATGGAACCTTTGTGTAATGCAAATTGATGGTATAGTTAATAATGCAAATAAGTTATGAACTTGCTTTACGAATTATTAAGTTAATAATAAAGGTATTCATGAAATTGGTGATGCAAAAATTCAATATATATATATTAGTTATGTAATGGGATAGAATATGTTATATGAGATTTGATATAATTTATAAATGTGTGAACAATATAATAATTTTTTTCATATAGATCAAACCGAGTCAAAACAATCAGACCATTAACCCCACTTACTCGATTGGGCTTACTGAATCTTTGCTTAATGCAAATTGATGGTACATTTAATAATGCAATTAAGTTATGAACTTACTTTACCAATTATTAAGTTAACAATAAAGATATTCATGAAATTGATGATGCAAAAATTCAATATATGGTAGTTAACGTCATGGGATGTATGGTAGTTATAACTCAAATTAATAAATCATAATAAATGGCCAATGAACAATGTTTTCCAAAAGGTTTGGGATTAGCGGACTTTTCGTATGGGACAGTAAAATTAATGAAAGATTACTTGCGCTATTATTATATAATAATAATAATATAATTATTTACCAAGTTATTAAGAATTTGACGACGTTAATGAAATTTTATATGGACAGAGAGACAATAACTTATAATGAAACGATGTGTAAAGATAGTGATGAATAAGAGAAAAAAATTAGGTGGCAAACGTGAATTTTTTTGTATAAGTTGAGTAACCAAACGTGTAATATAGCCCTATAAAAAGTGATTGGTAAGAAATACTAGAATTAATATTCACTGACCATGACTATGTCGCGGAAACTAAATTTGTAATAGCATAATCATTTGACAGGCAACTCAGTTGATGGCAAATTGGGTTTGTTGTATACTTGTATTCATGCTAGTGGTTTTGATTTCAAGGTATTGGAAGTGTAGTTGGCGACTTTTTCATCTCAAGTTTCATTGTTAACTAGATATTGCCTGCTCGCTTGTGCTTCACGACGAGTGCAATATAACACTCCAAATGTTGTCTAAAATATTTAGTAAAATATAACTCATAAAACATAGTTGCAAAAGCAAGAGAAAAAAATCACAAAGATGTTGTGCGAGAACTCAATCCATTTACAAAGATGTTGGCCAATAATGTTGTCGATCTACACAATATTGTGTAAGAACTAAGGGGTCGTTTGGAACCTCTGATTTTGGAAATGATGTATTATGAGAATGTGTGTATTAAAGATTATGTGTATACTAAGAATCTGTGGTTTTGAAAATTCATTGTTTGAAACCCATACAAAATGCGTGGATTATAGTTTAAATGAACTATGGATACTAAAATCTCACAAAAAAAGGTAAGATTATTAATACATCATTTTCTATGTATTGAGAATACAACATGGATTATGAATACATGCATTCTGTTATTACATCAAGTCAAAAAAACGGTGTATTCTCAGGATACATGTATACTGAGAATACAACATCTGGAATCGGAGGTTCCAAATGAGCCCTAAGAATAGCTTACAAGCTGGGAAACCTCCTTCCAAATTTACTGTAGTGCAACGGTAAGTGCTATATGGCTTACAAAGAGTGGTCTGTAAATAACCAACAACAATTAATATGTGAACTATAAAATAAACAGTCCGACACCATTTGGATAAATAGGTTACTAGGAGAAGAATCGAAACGTTTTCCCTACAATGAATCGCCCTTCAATCCCAGGATCCTTCGTCAAGTTTGCTGATGTCATGCTCTGCAACTGCAACTCCTCCTTCGAGTTCTGCACAACTTCCTATCTATTCAAGTCCATAGAGCTTTCCATATACAACATCAGTTTCAATGAAGGAACTTCCAAGTGGAAAGCGAGAAAAATAGGTCTCCCTTTCCATCCAACAACCAAACTCTTCACGAATGTCGGAAAGTTTAGGTACTAAAAAAAGTTATAATAAAAGAATTTAGGTACCAACACTTAATTTTCTAATTATATTTTTCATTTAAAAATACATTTTAGGTACCAAAATGTAAAAAAAAATAAAAAGTATATGTACTAAATCATAATTTTCCATATGGAGCATCCATGAACCTAGCAATCCAATTGGATTAGCTGGATACTTTAGTGGATAAATTGAATTTGATTCATGAATATGAATTCTAATTACCACCTCTGATCAGTAGTGTGAGGGGTTAATATGTAATTTTCTCAAAATAGTAAACTCCTTTATTCATAAAGGATGACTAAATGTAGCTAACACATTGTAGAGGTGGGCAAGTGGGTGGTTAATCCGCGGATTGATATCGATCCACCCAAAAATAACTCGATCCGCAAGTAGTGGGTGATTGATGTGGGTGGATTGTTGATTGATAAATCTTCCACCCGCACTTATGTGGGTGGGTGGTGGGTGGATTGCGGATCACCCGAATGACCCGCATCCTACTTTCACATGAAAAAAATATTGTTTCTTATAGTATCGAATATTCATCATATTTCCGAATCACATTACAGTCTCACCATATACTTCTAAAGGTGGAGAAAAAAAATAGTTTTGACTATTATTGTTGGATATTGTTTTGTGTAATATCCATTAGATATTGGATATTGGAATGTGAATTATTGTTAATATCCATTAAATATTGGGATGAAAATTATAAATTATTAATTGCATCAAAATCAAATAATGCGTAAGTTTCTCTACACAATTGGATGATAGAGCAGTAGATTTTTTTATACAAATACTACATGGATTCATTTGAGACAAAGTGAGAAGTGTCTAAATTGATACGGTCTTCCTGATTTGCTATGAGCTTATTATAAATGTTAGTCAACTTTCTTAATGGCTTGTTGGAGAATTGCTTTTGTGGGTTAACCCACGACCCAACCGCATCCATCTGCCACCCACCCAACCCGACCCGCAGAAGAATGTGGATGGATTGCGGGTCATAATTATTCCAACTCGCTATTAAGCGGGTGAGTCAATTTGAGATGAAAATCCACCCAACCCGCCCATTGCCCACCGCTAACACATTGTATCTCTATCTATCTATCTATCTATCTATCTATCTATCTATCTATCTATCTATCTACTATACTTATAATACACCGAAGGGGAAAACAGCTTCCCCATTTCAAATTTCCTGCAACGAGAGTGAAAATAGGAAGGACATTTTGGTCTTCACAATAACTTTTTTTTATTCATTAAAAAGACATGTACTAGGATTCAAACCATGACCATTTTATAGAAAAGCAAGGATCATAACCAATCACACTAAGTAGATTTGTTGTATCTTTTTAAATTAAAAACATATAATAGCAGGGAGGAAAAAACTCTTCCCCCATTTCAAATTCCCTGCTCCAGGAGCGTTTGTAGGAAGGGTAGAATAGGGAGTGTCAATTTTTTTCTCTTTCCTCTGTGGAACGGGCCAACTTACCGTACACATGCGGATTTAAACGGGTCCAAGAGTGTCAATTTTTTTCTTTAATCCCTTTTATTTCTCCGTGGTGATAAAATATATATGAAAAGGCAAAAATAATACTCCTTTTATTGTTAAAAATAAAAAATTTAACAATAAACTAATGAATGGTATCTAATGGCTAACCGCTAACCATAAAATAAAAGAGTTGAATGGGTCTGACCTACACGGGATTTGGCCATCAAGTAAAACAAATGAACATAATTGGTTTGCCATTCTAAAACAAGCTATTTTCTCTGGCATAATATATATTATGCTATTATTTTATATCTTAGTGGCTAAAATATAATGTATTTTAAAGTTATTCAATGGTTCAACCTCGACCAACCCAATTAGTCCAATTTTTATCATTTCAAATATATATTATATAATTATTTGATATCATAATGATCAAATTATAGTGTATTTTATAGGGAATCGTTTGATATTTGTTAGTAAAAAACTAAACTGAAAGATCTATTTGGTTATTTTAAACATTAAAACGATCCTAAACATTTTCAGTTCCTTTTGAATTTCTATGGTTTTATTCCCGAATAAGTGATGTGCAAATGGCGAATTGCAGTCATCTCTTTTCTTTCACTATTTTTTATTTTCAAATAGAAAGTTTAAAATTAAAGAATAATTAGGATTTTTGCCCGTTTGTTTTATGCATTGCAAATTTATTAGCATGTTGATGGAAATGGCTTGGAAAAAAGACATATAAGTTGTACCTTTGCAGAAATGTACTCAAATGTTTGAATGCTTTGCGAATCAGGTTCCATGACTTTTGTGATGGTGTATGTGCTTGACGATTGCTCGATGTTGTAACTACTTAATTTGAGAGTAAATCTTTTTATTTTCCCTATGAGTTGTGATACCAGTTCTGGTGGTTGCAGCATGTTGTCGTTGTTGGCCTGTAAAAGTTTTTCCGTCGTGATGCTAAATACCTTTATTTCCTTTTTAACAAATTGTGTAGTAGTGCTATGAAACAGACCACCCATGAACGCTACGCTTATTATGGTCTATTCTTACTTCCGGTGGTGAGAAATTGTGAATTGAGAATCATATTCGCCTACCGCACTGTGTCTGGCTGGTGGCTGCTTACTGTGCTCTCTAGAGTTATGAAATAGACTACCCATGAACGTTTACTTAAGAGTCCATAACTTTGCGAAAAACCAAATTTAGGCAATCAAAGGTGGTGGATGTGTGATGATTTTTTATGGCTTAATTGTTTGTGAATTGGATATCTGATCTTTGTATGATTAGAGGGGATGTTTTCTTAATAGAATAATCCATTTTAATTCATGTTTATTTTTAACATGAACTTTAGTAACTCAAAACCTTCGAGACACATATCACCTATTGCATTGTATCATTTTGCCTGGGTGCTTGTTGTGTTGTCAAACTTCTTTGTTGCTGCTACATTTACACTAACAGGGGAGTTAAGAACCCATGAATGTTTTCGTTTGACACAAACATGAGGACTTGCTTCTAAATCGTGCACTAAAGATGATTGGAGGAAACATCTCTGATGCAGTTGATATACTGGAGACCAGAACAAAAGCAACGTATAACATCAAAACCAACCATCTGAACTATTAGCATTGTTGCTTTACTCTTTTTTTGTGGTTGAGTCTCCTTAAAAAAATTTAGTTTGATTTTAGAAAATTTTGCTTCTGCAGTCCTATCTTGCCACCAACGTGTTCAGTAGATGGAGATGGCGGAGGCGAAGGCTATTTTTGTGTTGTTGTTTCTGGTTTAGGGATCGGTTTGTGAAGAAGAGGGAGAAGAGAGGGGGGAAAGGGAAATGCAGGAGAGGGGGATAACTCTTTTCTCCGACAAAAATGGAGTGAAGAAAGGAATTATGATCAATAAGGATATGGTTATCTTACATAACAGTATCTATTCCGTTTGAATTGAGCTTGGGAGGCAGTGATAAGGACGAGCTGCAACCAATTCATAGTGAGAAGAGAGCTATGAACTATAATCATGTCTTATTTCAAGTTAGAAGGTAGTTTCAGTATAAGGATTATTTAAATTGACAAGTTGTTTCGTCCATGATTCTTGGTAGTTTCAGTGCCATTCTAGCCATTGTTTAGTCTGTAATTTTTTAGAATTGATGTGCGAGTAATGACTTTCACTTAGCTTCAACTATTATGTGTGTATTTATTGGCATGTGATAGAATTCTCTTTTCCTTTTCTTTGAATTAAGTTTCATACTCTAATTGTATCATTTGTACATAGGCAAATCATGCTCGAGATGACAACTCGCTGATATGGCTGGTGCAAGAAATGAAGCCATCAGTAGAATTCAGACCGACAACGGGGAGGGATGCCCAGGACTAATTCAATGATGATTGATGATGGTATAATAAAAACTGCAGTCTGATCAACACCAATTTCTAGGCCTAAGTAAAGTTATTCAACCCAGAACTCTGTTTAGCGCTAAAAATTGCCCTCACCCAACTTTGATCCTGTTTGACCCACTTCTGAAGAGTCAAGATATATGACTAATCCTCTCCGTTCGTATTTTCTTATTGACTCTTTCTGACCCTTTAAGTTGGGGCGGGTCGGGAAGAATCGGATTAGTGGGTCGATCCTAATTAAGTGGAATCCCAATCCCTTCACTCTCACTTGCTTTCTCTCCCATTCCACAAGTGGGAAACATACAGTAATCCGGCCAACGAGTCGGGTAATAAGCTAGTATAAACTATGGTGTATCATTTACTTTCTTTCCTTGGGGCTTTCGTGATAGTCCACTATTATACCATGCATGGCCGTATTTTGTGAAACCAACATAAACTGGTTGCACCTCGATTAAATCCTACCACTTACTATACCGGTATAAAGTAGTTTGACAACTTATTTTTCTTTCGTAACACCAAGCCTACCCATCGCTAAATCGCCCTCGTCGCAGACATCTGCAAGAATCAGCTGCTGCTTCAAAGTAAACCACTTCTCACCAATTGATATAATGAAATGGAGCCTTCATTATTCAATTGCCAACGAAGTTTCAATGGAGGAACTTCCAAGTGGAAATGGAGAAAATGGGCGTCCCTTTCCATCCAACAATCAAACTCCCACCATCCACGTCCAACGTACAATACTTGCCACCCACAAACCTCCCCAGCAACAGATTCACGGTCTCCATAGCCGACGAACTCAACTCCACTTCCCACATAAAAAACCGCCCAAAGAACTTCCTCCACACATCAACCGTCACGACCCTAGCCATCTCTTCCCCTTCCTTCACCAAAAGCTCCCTCACATGGTTGTTCAAGAACATCGACTCAATCAAACCCCTCTCCCCGCCACTCGATGATTCCAGGCAGGCATTGACACAATCGAAATATGCCCCGTAATGGAACAGAACTTCAACGAACCGGTGAGAGAAGACAGAGGAATTGAGATTCACCTCTGATTCAAGGACAACCATAATGCTGGGACGGATTTTTCTCATAAACCCCATCAGTGCCTCCAATTCATTCGGCTCCGAGACGAGACCCTGTAATGCGTACTCACTGAAAACAGCCACGGCTTCTTTGGGATCGAGGTCGAATTGCGTCTCGTCGATTTCTACTAAGCTTGATACCACTACGGAGTTAAATGAGAAGGGTATGTTCATGGACTCGGCGAACTTTGCTAGCCTTTCCCCTGTTCCCCGTACCAAATTTTCAGACATGGTGACGATGGCTGTGATTTTCAGAATCTCCGGTGCACGACGACGACGTCGTTTCCCTTTGGAGTCGGTGGATAAAGCCTGCATCAGGGCCGTCCATTGCATCCCGTTTCTGATTCTGAGGTCGATTATGTGAATCCTTTTCGCTTTCTCGACGCTTTCCACGATTGCTTGAACTCCGGCTAGCTGACCGACTTGGAAGAAGGGGATTTTCTCGTGCAAGACCGCGACTATAGGGGATATAGCAGTAATTGTTTCCTCGACGTTAAATCGTTGGAAACGGTTCATGAGATCGGCTATCGGGTGGGTTCCGCTGCCGGTTTCTTTACGGAGCTTTTCGCGAAGAGCTTGGACGAAGTAGTGGGTGATTCGCTGTGCGAGATTACCTGTCCTGGAAGACGAGAAATCACAGAGGTTTAGGAAGTGGGTCGCTTGCTCGTACTGCTTGTGGTCCAATTCATCGGCTGCACGCAGAAGGTGGTGTATGAGTTCGACGTCGTCGGAGTTTCCAGATGGTGGGTCGGTGGGTTCAATAGTAGAATTTATGAACTTTTCTGCAGCAATTCTGATTATATCTGCAATAGAAGAATTGTGCTGTGGCTGGGTTTCTGGGTTCTGGTTCCTGAAGAAGTTGTCAATGCGGTTTTTTTTCCTCTGCAGATGAAGTGAGGCTGAAGAAAACAGAGTATCCACTGTTTTTGTTGTATGATTGGAGGGGGGAGGAGAAAGCATTTTTGAAAATGGTGTTTCTTCTTCTTCTTCTATTAGCTTTACTATGCTCACGAATAGGTGAGTGAGAGAGTGAAGAAGAGAGATCCAGAGAGGTGGTTTATATATACTCTGTTTTCGACACTCCTCTGTTTTTCCCGCTTCACCATTACTTCGATTCCAACGCAGAGGTTGAACAGTTGGTTTGGGAACAAAAACCTAGACGTGAACTTGAAAGCATCTTGCCGAGTTTAATGTTCTTTGTTGTCTATTTGTTTGTGGCAATGTGGCCGAAAAGAGATCTTTCGACCTGGTAAGTCCAAACATAAGGGGACTTGTGTCGCTGACTTCTTCTTGTTGTGCTTTTCGCCACAGTTCTTCTGCTGCCGATTTTGGGGATTTGTGTTTTGACTTTTAAAGTAATGGATTACGGAGACAGAAAAGTTTATTAGTAATGGGGGAGGTTTGGAAAAAGAGTGCGAGAAACTAGAATGGTAACCGGCCGGTTGACCTGGAAAAAGCAATTTGTTCGATGTTTTATGCAGACCCGTCCTATTATATTCGGAGGCCCTGTTCGAAAATTTAAATGTGGCCCCAAAAAATTTTCTCGTAAATGTGTTCAAACTAAAAATTACATAATTTCAAAAAATTATTACAAATTAATATTATTATATATATTATCAAATATTATCTACACTTAGAAACTATCTTTTTGAAATTTTTGGGTTGATATAATTAAAAATTATAACCAAAGATTAATAAATCCAAATTTTCAATCAATATAAGTTCTCTGCAAAAGATAAAGAAAAAAGATTAGAACTTAAAACAAGTTGAGTAGGAGACTTGATAGTAGGGATGAAGACTTAATCAGGATTGAGTATGAACAATTCATATTTAAGCGTTGTACGATTATGGGAAGTTGAGAAATTTTGGGGAAAGAGAAGAATAAATAAGTTAACTGATATTTAGATTCAACAAACCAATTGTAGCTTAGTGGTTTAATCTTTTTTTTAATTAAAAAGAGGTCAGTGGTTCGATTCTCCTCCCTCCCTGCGTTTTTGTACAAGGGGTTTTTGTCTGGCCATGTGGGCTTCCCTAGCCCAAGCGGGCCTCTTGTCTTGTAACATGGGCCATGGGGTTTTTGTGTGGCCATGTGGGCTTCGCTAGCCCAAGCGGGCCTCCGATCGTATGGATTATGGGCCTCCAAAACTTGAGGCCCTGTGCTGTGGGTCTGACCAGCACAGGGTCTGGGCCGGGCCTGGTTTTATGGACTTGGCCAGTTGGTTGGAGTCATTTTGCATATAGCAAAATAATGAGTAGCAAAAGTCAAGCGAAATACATTTTTATTTGGTAGCATAAGAGAATCCATATTATTTAGTAATTAGTAACATTCAAAAGGATTAACATCATAGTATTAACTAACATCCTAACCAGTTCATCAGCTAAAATCCTTAACATAAAAGACAGACTTAGAACCAAGGAGCCAACTCCTAAAAAATTGTTCAAATGACACTTCTATTTACTCCACTTTGATAGAAATTACTGCATATTTGTTTGGCTTTGTTTGGTTTCCTCTGCCATGAGCATATCATAGTCTTCATCAATAACAACGCATTCAACTCCATTAATGACACTGCACCTCTATATCAATTATCAGTTGTCTCTTCCTTACTCTACTGTATTCCAATGATCTCCTCTTTCTTTTCCTGCATTTGATCGAATTAAAAAAATTAATTGTAAAATATTATCAAATATAAAGCACCATTTTCACTAAAGTAGAATTTACCTCGTACAATTTATGAATATTTTCCACAATTTGCTTTGTTTCGTTATCACCTGTATTATATTAGCTTGAAATCGTAACTATAGGTACATGTTATAAGGAACAATGAACCGGTTATCAAGTGAGACTATACTCACCATGATTGATTGGTTGTTTTCTCGACACTGATACCTTGGAAATTCATTCTCATTAGTAGTTGTTTGCTTGTTGATCTCTGGAACATACACTATTAGATGCACATGGAGCTTTATGTCATCGAATGCCATATAAGCCATGTAGCGTAAAATTGGTAATTGTTTGATAAAATTCAAGATCTACTTAGATATGAAATTTCATCAAATAGAATTGAATCCATTTTCAAAGGACTATAGAATTCATCTTCCATATATATAAATACTAATACATGAGAAGAGGTAGATCACGTTTTTGAAAATTCATTTGCCAACACATAAAATGTAAGAAATTATCAATAGCCATCTAAACTGAAAAATAATTACCAAACAACTCATGAGTAAAGAATGATTAAAGTAATCCTATAGAATATAACTTATATGGGCATGTCTTCTCAAAACAATTCTCATTCAACAATTGATTTAGCTTCAACTTAAAAACTCTTGCGATGATATCAACTCTTTTAGGATCTTTCCTAAAAGTAGTATTTATCTAATCAATCATGTAATGAATATCGAGCCACTCGGGTTTAAATGAAAATGTAACAGAAAGATCAAGGTATATTGCCCATGCATAAATGATCATAGCATGTTAGAAGCTTCCATACTTGCTTCGAGAACTACATTGTACGTGATGAAGTCACAATGACATGTTTTCCATTCAACCTGGTTCAAATCACCTTTGAAGTAAGAATTCAAAAGACCTTTGTAGTAATGTTGTCGCCGCTTTGTTTGATTGCTTTTAATCCATCCTTAATATTCAACTCCAACCAAAGGGTACAACACTCAGGGTGTCATTCATTTTATCCATTACATGTCAAAATATTTGTACTAATAGTAATATATTACTCAAGTCTAACATATCTTACAATTGCTAAATAATCGTATTGTGCAAAGGATTCCAAAAATGGATCTCTAGAGAAAGATCTTATAGTTTTTGGATTTTATTGCCAGTGTCATGGATGTAGACTTGAGCAAATTTTGGTAATGTTCCTTTCAGAAAATACCAGGGTATCAACTCATTTTATACTTGACCTTCAATAGATAAACATATACTCCACATACATAATTTATAAATAGGTCAAGTTTGCCTCCAATAGAAGTTAATGAGAATACTCTGTTATAGCCACGTATGTGTCCCATTATGATATTTTAACCTCCGATGATGATTTCGAGGAGGGAAATTCACTTTACTTGAGTAATAGTATGGAAACTTGGTGTAAATGGAATTTCTTGTGTGTTTCCTACTTTTATCTTTTCACGTCACTACTACACAATATTCACATTTATATGATGGATGTCCAATATTAAATACTTTAACAACTACCATAAAATAAAGTTATAACTAAAACATGAGAAATAATTTGATAAATTTTTTTAGAATTAATTAAAGAAGAAAACTCAAATACTATAAAGTCTCTAGAAAGCATGACTTGAATATGATTATTACAATTTTTGGCAAATTTTATTGATCTTAACAATCCATCTCCCTTAATATGCAAGTTATACATCTCATTTTGAAGCCCTATATAGGAATTCACAAAATAAAAAATTTACGACCAACATAGAATAATATATAGATTGAAAACAAACATGAAATCAATGGAATGTCATTATGAATGTTGATAGTTCCCATTTTGTTCTTATGCAAAGATCATATTTCCTTGTTGGTGATCTTGTCAATGGTTGATCAATTCTCTTCAACCCTTATTTGTGTGGATTAGTTTATGAAAATGTAAGAAGAAAAAAAGCAATAATTTTGTAAGGTGAACAATGCGAAATGGTTAGAGATCATAAATAATTAATAGTTACCATATATGTTCAGTAACAATGGCGGAGCCAGGAATCTGAATGAGAGGTTTAACTTGAACTGTTATAATTGGAGGAGGGGGGCTAAAGCCTTATCGACTACTCTATTACCTAAATTTGTTGCGAATTTTATATGTAATTTTATTTATATTTCAAATTTGAGTGGATGGGGAGGGGGGCTATAGCCCTTCCTGCCTCCATTCTAACTCCTCCTCTATGTTCATCCCATTTGAAAGCTTACTTGTGCTTCAGACACGGACTAAGTAGAATCAACCGCATCTTATAGTGATATAAAACAACTCTCTCTGAATCACTTGTCGCATAAACACACATTAATGTATAAGATGTATATAATTATGCTAATAATTATATGTATTTACATTGGATAAGTTAAGATAGAGATAGAGCACTGTTTAGTTGTTTGAATAATTCTCCACGGAAAATATTTCTTAGAGGTGTCAAATTGCCAAAGATAATTCTAAATAATATAAAAATTAATTTGGCCAACCTTAGACATATGTCATTCGCTGATAAATAACTTGTTGGGGGTATTACTAAAGGGGCCCAAGAAGAGCCCATTTAGGTGAAGGTAGCCCAAGGCCATGGGCCAGGAGAAGAAGCCCGGAATTGTTGAGGGCATTACTAAAGGGGCTCAAGAAGAGCCCAGTTAGGTGAAAGTATCCCAAGGCAATGGGCCAGGAGAAGAAGCCGGCAAAGCCCATTGCACTCCAGGCAGCATAGGCATGGAGACAAAGCACTAAGGGCCAAAGAGGTCCAGGATGGCAAGTGGTCCCCCGCCTGTGGGCGCCTGCCAGCCGACAGAAGCCTGACAAGGTGGTTGGGGCTTCTGACAGAAGTGAAGATACAAAGCATTTAATGAGATGGTGACGTGGAGGAGATCCACCTCGAGCTCGGTGAGTATAAATATGGGCAGTTGGTAGCATTTACACAGGTTGGACTCTGTCACTAAAACTTATAGTTTCATACTTCTCTCTCTATAATTGGAACTAACTTGGGCGTCGGAGGATTAATGGGCCCAGGCGCCCCCCTCAGTGTGTGTGTAGGTCAGGCGCCTAAGGATTGGCTAGTAGGACTAAGGCGCACCAAGGAGCGGGCTTCAAGTGCGTGTGTGTAGGTCAGGCGCCTAAGGATTGGCTAGCAGGACCAAGGCGCCCCAAGGAGCGGGCTTCAAGGTGAGGCGCCTACAGGGCGTTAAGTAGGAATCGGGCGCTCAGAAGATCAGGCTCCAAGGTAAGGAGCCTAAGGTGTGACCAGTAAGGCGAATTGTATGGGCACAAACAATTGGCGCGCCAGGAAGGGGAATATAACCAAGAATCATGAGTAAGGAGGCGCCTACAAGTGGGAGAGGAAGAGGAAGCGCATGACACAAAATAAAGAAGGAAAAAGAGGCGCTTTCAAAATTAAGAAAGAGAAGGCTTTGTGCCACGACTGATTGGCGTCGCAAAGCTAGAGGCGTAATAGAGGGACATTTAGAAAGAAGAAAAAAAAAAGGCACCGAGTCCATCTACTCGACACAAGAAGCACTATATTCGTCGCATCATGACAAGCGACTCTAACCCAACATGGGCTTCAACATTGAATCAGGCGCCTATACTAGTGGACTACTATAAAATTCTCATTTCACCGGAGACACCTATAATTAAAAGAGCATTTCAAACTAGGCTAACGTCTGGGCACCCATCTCCTATTTGGGCTCGACGCCTCCCTATCTGGTTTAAAAGAGGCCCTAAGCGCATAATTTCATTGAGGTGCCCATTTCATCTATGAGCCAGATGTCTTCTCCTATTTTTATCTTGAAATTTGGGAGCAAGTTTAAAGCCCAAAACAGAGAGGCTCGTTAAGCCCAGGAGCTCGGTCCGAAGCCCAAGAGAGGTTGACACGACTTATTAAAGCCCAGATGCTCAGTTTAAAACAAAGGGCTAATAAAATGCCTGAGTGAAGCTTTGCACCTCATACCTTCTAAAGAAGAACGGGCGCCTACGCCATCAGGCTAAGTTACAAGTTGTTGTCATCTATTCGTATGCGTCATTATTTCACTTAGGAGCCTCGCAAGCGTTAGCATGGGCTTCGCCGCGGTTGGCATGAGCTTCAACACACTCAAAACAAGCTAAGTACTTTGTTTTTTTGTGAAATTTGGTGTTACCTCCATGATATATCGCTTTGTTTTGAAATGTTTGGTGCACCCAAATAAAATCTTTTGTTCGTAATACATAAAGCGCCCGAAATATAGCGCCCTTGATTGGAAATACTCTCCACGCCCAAATCTAGCGTCCTAATATTTGAAAGATCTCTAAGGGAGATGTAAAGCGCCCGTAATACACAAAGCGCCCCGCAATACCTAAAGCGCCCGAAATACTCAAAGCGCCCGGAATATCAAAGTTGTCGAGATAGAATGTTACGTGGCACTCCAAGCCTCAAGTTTACACAATTGAAGGGAGGCATTTTATAGGCGTCTGTTTCGAGAGTAAAGATGTTGGGTCGTGTGTCTTGCAAAAGGAGGCGCCTGTCATGAGTTAGCAATGTATGCAACGGTCAGGCGCCTGTCACGAATGTGACGATGAACGAGAGGAGGCATTTTACAGGCGCCTACTTCGAAAGTAAGGATGTGGGGCGTGTGCCTTGCAAAGGGAGGCGCCTATCATGAACGAGCAACGTATGCAACGGTCAGGCGCCTGTCATGAATGTGACGATGAACGAGAGGAGACATTTTGCAGGCGCCTGTTTCGAAAGTAAGGATGTGGGGTGTGTGCCTTGCAAAGGGAGGCGCCTGTCATGAACGAGCAACGTATGCAACAGTCAGGCGCATGTCATGAATGTGACGATGAACGAGAGAAGGCATTTTGCAGGCGCCTGTTTCGAAAGTAAGGATGTGGGGCGTGTGCCTTGCAAAGGGAGGCGTCTGTCATGAATGAGCAACGTATGCAACGGTCGGGCGCCTGTCATGAATGTGACGATGAACGAGAGGGGGTATTTGCAGGCGCCTGTTTCGAAAGTAAGGATGTGGGGCGTGTGCCTTGCAAAGGGAGGCGCCTGTCATGAACGAGCAACGTATGCAACAGTCAGGCGCCTGTCATGAATGTGACGATGAACGAGAAAAGGCATTTTGCAGGCGCCTATTTCGAAAGTAAGGATGTGGGGCATGTGCCTTGCAAAAGGAGGCGCCTGTCATGAACGAGAAACGTATGCAACGGTCGGGCGCCTGTCATGAATGTGACGATGAACGAGAGGGGGTATTTTGCAGGCGCCTGTTTCAAAAGTAAGGATGTGGGGCGTGTGCCTTGCAAAGGGAGGCGTCTGTCATAAACGAGCAACGTATGCAACGGTCAGGCGCCTGTCATGAATGTGACGATAAACGAGGGGGGGGGGTAATTGTTGGGGGGTATTACAAAGGAACAAGTTCAAGTAAAAGCTCAATGTAGCTCATTGGGGCAGTGGAAAGCAAACCCCACATTTGGGCCCAGAAAGGTGGGTAGGTCGAATTTGGGTAGCAAGGAGAGCACGCAACCCAGGCGCCTAGGTCCAGAAGGAGGAAAATCAATAATTAACAGGCGCATGATTCAATAAGACGAGGTGCCTGTAACAAGGAAAGGGGAGCATTTACTGCGTAAGGACGAGGCATCCCACTGAGCGAAGATGCGTGAAGTGCCTAAGTACGGAAAAGTTGCTTAGGAGAAAGCGCCCCACCTTGACAGAACCAAGCGCCTGCCACGAGACACAGTGGGAGCCTTATTCTAGTGGTAAGACGAGACAATATAGTCAGGCCCTCAAGCTTTGGGAACTTGAGAGCCTAACTGGGGGGCAATTGTTGGGGATATTACAAAGAGGGCCCATTTGGTCACACGAGCGGGCGCCCGAGCGCAGGACGAGCGTAGATTGATGACAAGGACTCGGGGGTCAAAAGTTAAACTCAGGCGGATAATTGAGCGCCCGCCAAGAATTAGTGGTGCATACTAAGCGTCCAAGCCAAGAGATCAGTTAGGCACTCAAGTAAGGGACTATGAGCGCCTAACTGGGGGGCAATTGTTGGGGGTATTACTAAAGGGGCCCAAGAAGAGCCCATTTAGGTGAAGGTAGCCCAAGGCCATGGGCCAGGAGAAGAAGCCCGGAATTGTTGAGGGCATTACTAAAGGGGCTCAAGAAGAGCCCAGTTAGGTGAAAGTATCCCAAGGCAATGGGCCAGGAGAAGAAGCCGGCAAAGCCCATTGCACTCCAGGCAGCATAGGCATGGAGACAAAGCACTAAGGGCCAAAGAGGTCCAGGATGGCAAGTGGTCCCCCGCCTGTGGGCGCCTGCCAGCCGACAGAAGCCTGACAAGGTGGTTGGGGCTTCTGACAGAAGTGAAGGTACAAAGCATTTAATGAGATGGTGACGTGGAGGAGATCCACCTCGAGCTCGGTGAGTATAAATATGGGCAGTTGGTAGCATTTACACAGGTTGGACTCTCTCACTAAAACTTATAGTTTCATACTTTTCTCTCTATAATTGGAACTAACTTGGGCGTCGGAGGATTAATGGGCCCAGGCGCCCCCCTCAGTGTGTGTGTAGGTCAGGCGCCCAAGGATTGGCTAGTAGGACTAAGGCGCACCAAGGAGCGGGCTTCAAGTGCGTGTGTGTAGGTCAGGCGCCTAAGGATTGGCTAGCAGGACCAAGGCGCCCCAAGGAGCGGGCTTCAAGGTGAGGCGCCTACAGGGCGTTAAGTAGGAATCGGGCGCTCAGAAGATTAGGCTCCAAGTGCGTGTGTGTAGGTCAGGCGCCTAAGGATTGACCAGCAGGACCAAGGCGCCCCAAGGAGCGGGCTTCAAGGTGAGGCGCCTACAGGGCGTTAAGTAGGAATCGGGCGCTCAGAAGATCAGGCTCCAAGGTAAGGAGCCTAAGGTGTGACCAGTAAGGCGAATTGTATGGGCACAAACATAACTCATCCTAACCATGAATTGTTGTGATCCTGTTGCATAGTCAATTAGTGTAAAACTAATTGCTAAAAGACACGTAATAATGAATTCATGCCAATTTCGTTAGTCGATGCATATTGATTGAATTCAATGGCTTCTCTTGCAAAGAAAGAAAATTCAACCATAAAGCAAAGATTGAAAAATCGTATCAAAGATTGTATCGGAAATTCAATGGTAGGGTATTTTATGTTAAAACTGTGATTTAACCATAGTTCAACCATTTCATACCGCAAAACACCATCTACCGATTTAGATTCCAGTATAAAATTTTTTTGGTCGAACCACCGGTACAATACAATTTTTTAATCATTGCCATAAAGGCTTTTGACATTGCAATTTTTTAATTGAGTCACATAACTACTGTTTTTTGGGTTTTGGTTTTTGACTTTGTTAAAATTATTGTTTACTAATGTTCTCTTGTTATTGATTTCCCTTTGCTATATTCAGCTTTGTCCTAAATCAAAACTATCTGTCCCACAGAGGAAAAAAACCGAGATACTTATAAAACCTAAAAAATTATTCAGGCCCAATAAACATTCAGACACACAAATATGCATAGCAAAAAAGAATTTTGTTTTATGCATTAAAAAATTAAAAAGCAAAAAGACTAAGAACTCCTTCCTCCCTTTGCGCAGAAACCTAAAAAAATTGAATGGAGTAGGTCTTCACCGAGAACCTCCATATATTGTTTGGAGGATGAGAGGAGACGTCGGGTTCTATGGTGGCAAGGAGACGGCGAGAAAACAGGGGATGCGAGGCACAAATAGGAAATCTGGGTCGGGACAAGGAAGGACGATGGTTCAGTGGGAATGGGTAAGGCATTGAGGTGGACTAGGTGGTCAATTTGCACAAGTCGATTTTTTTTTTTCAAACCATTAATCAGTATCGTTTGACACGTCATAAAAAAATTGATGGCGAGACTCATAAGGACAGATGGACGACTACTAACAGTGAAACGATTCGTAAAGATAGTGTAGAATAAGAAATAAAAAATTTCAGGTGGTAAATGTGAAGTTTTTATAATTTAAGTGATCAAATATGTAATTTACCCCTATGAAAATGTCCTTGGTAACTAATCCTTAACTAGATATTTTACCGACATTTGGTAGCAAGTTTTAAAAAGAAATACTAGAATCAATACCCAAGGGCCATGGCTCTGTCGAGGGGACGGGATACGGTGACAACCCCTAAGGGGGTTGTCAGATTCACAACCCACTTCATAGCCCTT